CTGGATGATGGATGATTGAGCCAGGAATCGATTGCTTCCCCCTGGTTACCTGGATGTTGAGTCGGTCTCTTTTACACTGAATTTTTTGACACTGATTTTTTTTACATTCAATTTTTTTTTCATGTTGAATTTTTACTAAACAAATCTTTTGAGAAACAGATTTTTTTTACACTGAATTTATTTCATCATTGTGAAAAAATAAATTTAAGAAATAAAAATGTGTGCTTGAAATTCGATAATTTCAAAATTCAAAGTCTGATTTTGATGCAAAAAAAATCTGCTTTAGAAATTCCAATTCAAATTCAGATGGCACATATTTACTTCCATACGGGTCAGATTTTGCATTGTGGTTAAAACAAACATTTATATGAAATCGCACTGTTTGTACTTTGCTGTGGCATTGGCTTATACCTCACCTAAACGTAAAGACTTATTCTTCATCATAATGTTTGATGATGTGCGTGCATGAGCAGGTGTTTGTCCATGTGTCATCATTTTAATGGTTATATTTTTGTAGAAACAGCATCAAAAGGTAAACACAAGAACTGGATTGGAACTCGTGTGCAGTTTTGAAAGAGTCAGATCAGGATCAGGGGCTGAGCAGATGTATGCAGGAAACCTGCCAATTCAGTTCATGCACAATACATGTTTTTTTTTCCCTCTGTTTTTAGTGATTCAAAGCTCTGTCTGCATGTGCGACAGGCCAAAACACAGAAAAAGCTATAAACAGACCAACAAAACTCCTGTCAGCACACCTTGACGAGCATTTCTTATTTCCATATGGAACAGAAATAAAGCATGAAACATAAGTGTGCAGATATGGAGGGAAAATGGCAAATAAACTGAAAAAAACTTAAGTTGATCATTATATTTCCTGTTGTTAAATAATTAAATGCACTGTTGTTAATTATTTATGCTTTCAATTATACGTTTGACTAATCAGGCTGCCAACTGGACTCCATTCTGCTCACTGGACTCCCTGTCCCTCTAAGGAAAATATAAAATATAAATCCACCCTATAAATCACCTCAAGTCAGAAATCACTCATTTCAGCTGAATTAAGCAGTAATTAGAATTCATAAAACATTTAATTTATTGTTTTCCTGCTTTAAAATGCGTCCAGTGATACGCTCTGATTGACATTCTGCAGACACTCTTTAACCTGTGGGCCATAAATAATTATATATACAACAATAATCAAAATGCATGGAAGCTCAGGCCTGTCAGTTAATATTTAATGAGCAATATGCAGTTTGCAAAGTGGAAAATGGAATTACTGATGGAATTGTTTTCCCCGCGCTCTTAATTTCACAAAGGGCAAATAAAACAGCTTCTCCGGTTAAACCTGCAGGCTGTGGAAATGGGAAAACTTTAGAGGAGGAAGTTTTCCTCTCAACTTTGAGAAAATCTGAGGCCAAAGTTCAGACTGGAGCTGTCGCTGATGGACTCTGCCTCCATGCAGTTTGAGATTCAAACCTCCACTCGCTGCTTGTTTGAGAAGCAGCAGGTTTCCAGCTCCCCGGGGATCCTCGCTCATAAAACAGCCTCTCCCTGACGTTATGTGACTAATCACTTGCTGAATGTTCTGCTGAGACGCTGGTTTCCATTTGTAACAGGGCAGATAAATCCTCTCCGTGTGCAGGCTGGGACATGTTCCACCTCTGGATGACCACAGCTGACAGCTTCTCACGGCCCACAAGTTTTATTTTCCTCATTGTTCAGAGTTTTGACAGGGACGGATGTCTTAGTGAGGCATGGAGGACAAATGATGACAAATCAGATCCAGAACATCGAGTATCCTGCAAACTGCCAAGAGGAATTCAGATTCTCAACTGAGGGCTTTTTTTCCCCTCTGGTTACAGACTTTATTTTCTCATCTCTTCTAAGAATCACTTACCTTTCTAAAATCTCAGCTTCAGTGACTCAGAGACGAAAAAATCTTGAATACCAGAGCTACGACATTTGATGGTCCTGCATAGTAAATCCCATTTTTGCCAAATTTAACAAGTATCATCATTTCCTTATCATTTCAATGATATTATAATATCAATTATAGGTGCTGTCTGGATGCCCTTCCAGGTCATAATAGTCAAGAAAAGGCCTCCCCTGTTTGATTCACCTCAAGACCAAAACATGTAAAAAAAAATGCTCTCTGGGCGCCCTTAAAGAAATCAAAAATGGAAAAAAAAAAAAAAAAAAACCTGGATGCCCTTTCAGTGAATAATATGTAAACAATAGTGTCCTCTGAATGTGCTTCTGAGACGCCTTCTGGATGACTTTTCCGAAGATCGGTGTTTTGCATAGTATGTGTTTGATGCTTTTTCAGGCTATAAATGTAGAGAAAGTGTTCTCTAGTCTGAATGATGTCCAGGCAGTGGATAAAATTTTTAAAAAAGTACCCTCTGGATGCCTTTTCAGTGGATAAAACTTTACAAAGTGCCCTCTGAATGCCCTATCAAGTACATATAAACCAAAAAAGAGCCTTCTGGATGACCTAACAGTGAATATTGCCTGAAAAAGTATTTTCAAAAGCAGTAGACAAAACATCAAAACTACTTTCTGGATGCCCTTCCAGAGCATAACATAGGTGCTCTCTCCATGGACAAATTTTACAGCTACTTGAAGTATATATTTTACAATAGCAATCTTGTTGTTACTGTGCATTATGAATGTCATTGAATGGCTCTGCAGCAGGATGATATTATAGTCACAAATCTGTGGGCACTGATTTTTAAACTGTTAAAACTGGGTTTGTGCTTCTTCCAAAGTAAATTATTTGAGATTATTTTGCGATCTTTATTTTCATCTTTCTTTGGCATTTTAAAACAGATTTACCAAATACTGCGTCATTATAATGTCCCACTGATGAACGTTTGAGCATAACAACCTCTACGCTGAAGTTTGTAGACTGAAGCTGAAAAAAAAGTCTTTTAATTTTGACAGTTTTTTTTTTTAAGTCTCTGCAGGTGAGGCGTGTCATTTCTAAACTTGATGCAGAGAGTTTCCAGCTGCAGTGTGAGCAGAGCACTCCTGTTTAAACTCACCCTGGACGATTACGTACATCAGACCTGTGAAAAGAAGCCTACAGCTACTCCTTAATTTGCACATTAATTCCTGCTGACAAGCGTTAAGAAAGCTGCCGTGAAATGACTCAGTGAATTGACCTGCTGAATCTCTTAATAGAGCACTAGCATGTAAAAATACTGGGATTTAATGGGACATCACTGCTGTGTGTTTGTCCCTTTGAGGCATCAGAGACTGAAGAGCAAATATTAGGACGTGGATAATCACTGCTCAAAGTTTGGTGATTTAATATGTCAGCATGTACTGCTACTGCAGTCTTGCCTGTGTGTTTTTTATGCTATCAATATTGTGTTAACTCGTATTGAAATGCATGGAAATACATGTGAAAAGTAATATTTAGCTTTCCTCCACCTCTAACAGAAAATTGGATGTGTACCTAGGCCGGTGGCTCTCAAGTCTAGTCCTCAAGGCCCACTGTCCCTGTTCCAACACACCTGATTCAAATGATGAGCTCGTTATCAAGCTCTGTAATGGCTTAATACTGGCAGACGGCGGCACCAAGTTGTCCACAGTATATACAGTCTATGGATGCAGCAGATGATGATACAGTGGCATCAGAGTCGGCACCTCGTTAAACTTGGGTGTTCTCCTCTTGTACAAAGCCGATGGGTACAATACCTGCAAGAACCATATCCTACTTTAACCTCTGTCCATAAGTAAGTCAGTTCCCAATCTACAGCTACCAAGCTCCATTTTTAAATCCCACTTACAAGATGACGATAAAAACACTTATTAAAAACTCTTAAAATTGTTCCACAACGGTGAAAAAATATTTAAACTAACACTAAACATTTAAACAGGGGTCTCTCCTACAGTCTATGGTCAGAAATCGGCCTCAAACCCCACCCATAAAACGCCAACGACCATATAAGGACCTTCTGGTTGTGAAGCGACAGTGCTAACCACTACACCACTGTGCCGCCTATCTACACCACTGTGCTGCCTATCTACACCACTGTGCCGCCTATCTACACCACTGTGCTGCCCATTATGGAGGTAATAATGGCAGGTATTTAGATTGAAGTAATTTTGGTTGAAGTGGAGTTAAAAAAATACATTTTATTTTCCTTTTAGCATCATATGTGTTTGATGAAAATATGTCAGTAAAGGACTGAACCTAAACACATCTCTTAGCTGGGCTACCAACACTTACCAACCATGTACCAACAGAAATGATGGTACATGTTTTTTGTTTGGAGATAAACAAAGACAGCAGGTTTTTGAAGGTCACATCAATGATATGAACTCCGGTTAGCTGCAGTTTTTAATTCAGCTTGTTGTGGGGGGGAAACAGATTAAGGTTTCCTCTGCTCATTGTCTGAATATAATCACTTTGTTATCCATCTCCCCAACATTAGAGCTAATGAAGCCATTCAGCCTCCTGATGAATCTGATGAACTCTGTGGATGCAGACGGTTGTGCTTTTGAACTACCCGTGGTTTTGTTTTTAGAGCCGAAACAAATGAAAGCCCAACCTGTGACCTGCAGCCATATAATGTAATTACTGCTCCATAATTAAAGCCTAACGTGGTGTGTTTCCACTTTTCTTCTTAAACTGGCACTAATTTATACACTGAGGCACATATTGTGGAAAGAGCCATTGTGTTAGCCAGCCGTGCTTATTACGCCCACGCTCGGCTCATTCATAATTAAACTGCATATCTTAATAGCTCCAGTTGAATCGTCTCACTTTGCTGTGTGGATGTTTTATGGGAGGGGGTGGAGGTTGAGTGGGGCTTCCTTTATTTTTCGTCATTAATTGCACGTTTGATGACTTCTAGTGGGCCGAACATGGATGAAGAATTACCATAAACGTCAAAGAAGCTGCAGACAAAGGCTGAGAAATACACAAAAATGGAATAAAATGAGCATGTCAGAGCATGACAAGTAAATCATTGTTTTTATTCAAATAAAGAGCCGTCATAAAATCTTCATTATGAGGTTAACATGGATGTCTCTTTCATAAATCACCTGCCCGCATCTCTGGATAGTTGACCCTACTCTCAAACCAAACTTCTGAGACCTCTCACACCTCATTCTTTATTTTTTCTTCTTAAAAACTAAGATTTAGTTTTCGAATTTGCCTACAGAGTCAAACTAAACATCATGTTCCTCTGTTTCTGCAACATCAGCCCTGAATATGAAGCTGGAAATGGTAAAAATCATGTCTGGGGAGGAGAACAGCCTGCAGGCCTCATCCCGCAGTTTGTCTCTTTAGTTTCAGTTTCAGTTCGAGGAAGTCGCCCTTCAGAGCTCTCAGAGGGTGAAGCTGACGAGATGCACTGATAGATAAACGCTGGCGGCTCGACTCTCCAACACTTGTCATCCGGCGCCCGTCACCGTGAGCTTCTCGAAGCAGGGATAAAGATGGATGAGGTTGCCACACAAGATCCCAGCCAGACAAATCACAAGTCAGGAGAGACGATGATGGAAAGGCTGTGGAAGAAAAGAGGAGAGCTGTCTGTCTCATACAGGTGTGGTTACCTCTCTGTTCTGCAGACACATCTTTAACTGAGTGACACCTTCTTTTTTAGAGCACACAGTCTAAATGTTTGGTTTCCTAATAAATTAAAAGTCCATGCACCAGTCTGTCATGAGGGGAATCCATCTTGCAAAGCTTCAAACTGACACAGTGTTCTGGTTAGAAAGTGACTGAAAGAGGTGGTAGCTTACAGGATGGTCAGCGGTGGAGAACTTAAAAATATTGGTATGGATGCAGATGGAGCAGCTGGTTTATCAGAACTCCTCAGAGGTGTTTGGTGAAAAGTTAGCTGGGATAGTTGTGAATGAGGTCCTCTGTGGTCATTATCATGTGAACCAGTCCTTGTCAGGTCAGGACTTTCACAAATCCATTTCAATTTGAATTTTTTGCTGCCAGCCTGTTGTAAGAGTGTATACCATAGACTGTATATAAAACGGACGCCATCTACTTTGGGTTGTTTTATGACTACAAAGCTGTGTAAAAAGTAACACCCATAAGCACTACATGACTACAACAGCAGCCTATGTAACCAAAACTAAAATAGAGTTACAATTGACACTGACAGATAGCTTTGAACATTCGCTCAAAAGGTGTAACTGGTGGATTATAGCCATAGACTGTATATAGAGTGGATGCTATCTGCCTCCTCGCTGGGTGAAGCCACTCCGGGAACAGCACCCTCTGGTGACAGGCTGCACTGTAGGTCATAAATCCCGCCTCCTCCAGCAATCCCTATGGATTCCCTAAATGTTGAATATAGCTCCCCGCGACCCTCCCGCCGAATATGTACAATGTTACTGTGCAAGTGGTGAAGTGCGTACAACGCCACTGCGGTTTCAGGAAATGGAGAAAAATCACAGAATTACTGGGAGCTTTTCGAACCTGTATACTGGCGGAAGGCAAAACCAAATTGTCCATAGTATATACAGTCTATGGTGTATACTAAGGAGGGAGTACTACAACTCTCTACATTTTCCATGGCATCAGTTCGCTGAGTTAATGCAAAAATCAAAGAGAGAACAAACTTCAGTGGGAGAAAAATTCTGAGTGAAATCACAAGTTATACTCTTCTGAAGTTGGAAACACATTTACAGGTTTTTCCAATCTCAAAGGGACAAACCCCAAAGATCACTTTACAAAGCCATCAAATTTTCCAAATATATTGAGATAAGCAAGCTACTCGAACAAAAGTACCTTTTTTATTCATTATCTTTGACTTCTTATACCCATTATATTCACAGCTCTTGCTTAAAACTGATATAAAATCACATTTGAAAGCTGATATCTGTTGCACTCGTGCTGCTATCACACCCCGTGTGGAGAGTGATTTAAAACACAGACAAAAGTCGTAATGATACAGAAATGATCAATTTTCATTTTCCTTGTGTTTGCTACCTGTCTTGTCAAAGCAGCATGACTCAGAGTGCATTCTGGGTAATCAAATTGTCCCGGTAGATCCTCTTTTTACATCAGGTTCTCATTAACAGACGAGCTAATTCATTACTCTCTTTGTGTTGTGACAAAAACAATCCCTGGCAATGACCCCAGCAGCTGTTTCCTCTGAAACAGGAGGAACAAAGTAAAGTTTGATCATTAGATTGCAGTGATTTATTAAAACAGGACTTATTTAAATGTTTTCCAGGAAACATAAACAGATCAACAACGCTTCATTACGAGTCAGCTCACCGACAGAGGCTGTGTTTCCGTATATATCTGTGTGTATACAACACCCTCCTGCCTAATAATGAGACTGCTACACTATTGATATGCTGCTCTCCGTCCACAGAACATCTGGGCCGACCTTGTACTGCAGAGCCGACTAAATAAGACTGAATGATAATGATGTTTTTACTGGCCCCGGTGCCCACATTAATCTCTATGAGCAGGTGCCCGTGTTTACCTTCACTCTGTTAGCATTGTGCGTGTCAGCTAACGGCTGTCTGGGGGCTGGGCAGTTTATTCTGCTCACATAATGCTCTGTGTGAGCTGCACTGAGGCACAATTACACACCCATACTTGAGCCAGATAAGGAATAGGAAACAGTGAGATGTTGTTGCCTTTTGTGCCCTGTGCAGGTATACAAACAGGAGTACGTGAAACTGCATGTTATTTTCTATCAAAGTACAAAAGAACCTGATTTGAACTAATTTTGGGGTCCTATAACAACCCTGAGGATGTGGAAGTAAGAAAGCCTCTGCAATGAATCTGCATCCCACTGAAAAGGCAATGTGACCTGGAGTGATCTGCACAGGCATGTATGCAGAACCACTTTCACTTGCTGTGCAATTTAGCATCCTCCTTCATTGTTGCTATTATACTTCAGTGTTGCAGAGTCGAGATGTCAAAGGTTACCCCCAATTTCCACTGCATCTGGAACGGCTATGAAAAGGCACTATCTGCCGATTGTAGCTGATTGTAACCATCCAAGTTAATGTGTCAATTTCCACCGGCTTCTCTCCGTTCCGCTGCGGATCGCTGGATTCTGCAGCTGATCGCAAGAGTTCTATTTTCCAGACGCCAGAGTCTGCCAGATAAATTCAGCACGGATTAGTCTGTGCTGGAAAGGAAGTCGAGCACAGATGCAAAATAAAACATCCGGCTTCTTTTCAAAATAAACAAGTGAACAACAAACAAACGAACAAGTGAAAGGTTTTTAGACAGAATTTTACCCTGATGACGCCATGGATGAGAGGATGCTGATTTTTTAAGTCTACAAGCAGATTTCCTCCCCTGGAAGGACACAATCTACTGCTTATATGTTAGCCTATGTGGCTAAAGACAACTTTTTATCGAGCGATTGCATGTGAATCTGCAGGTTCTTGTCAGTTTTCGTGATTCCTGCTGTCTGTAATCTGCCACGAAATTTGCCTCACAAACGGAGCTGGTAGGAATTGGCGTACAGCGAAAATCTTCGCCGTTCTGGATCGGAGCCGTTCCGGATGCAGTGGGAATCCCGGGTTACAGCCACACATGCCAACTGCTCTGTGCATGCATGAAACGAGGACAGAAAACAGAAAGTGGATTAATGAGTTCTAATCAAAAGAGTCATGTTATTATAACTGCAGCTGCAGCTCTTCAGTGGTCACCTCTGGTTGATGGTGCAGGTTCTTCTGGGGCACTCGCCATTTTCATTTTGTTTGGCGATTTCAGCTCTGGATCTGCATCCACTGGTCTGCAGTATTCGCCGACAACATTCAAGCAAATAAGTGCCTCAGTTTCATAACACCATGCCCACCTTGATCACCGCATACATAATGAGACAAGAAACTGAGAGGCTGCAGATCCTCCATGGAGACTGAATTTGTGATGGAGACAGTTGTTTAAAAAACAGTTGATATTTCATTATGTCAAACCTTGAGAGGGTTAGACCTTGTAGAAATTGAGCATTATATTCATAGGTCTCTTTAACCCTCCTCCTGTGTAAGGGTCTGCACCGACCCGTTTTTTGTTTCAAATGCTTAAAAGAACCACTTAAATTTGCTTTTTTGGTATCATGACTTTTTGAATTTGTCAGTAACCTCTATTTCATCAAAATAAAAATAAAAAAATTAAATTGACTAAATTATAAAATGCTGTTATTAAAGTTATGGCACTTGTCGTGTTAGGGTTGCTGTTGACCCGGTTAGATCAATATCTAATAATTAGAGCAAAAACTGAAATCATAGGTGCACTGACAGGCACCACACTGTCAGTCAGATCCTCTTCCAATCTTGTGAGATTCATGTTTTTCTCTGCACAAAAAACAACGACAGGCATGTCCAGACATGTGAGGTCAATTCAGTATGGATGTATGTGTGAGGGGTATACTGACAAAGAAAGGCCCAGAGATCCACAACAAAAACTATTATCAGCAATATTTTCATGGATAATGATGCCTAACAAGGTAACCTAGAGATGAGAACCAAATTGGATAATAGAGGATTGTTTTTAGTGTAATTTACAGCTGATTTAAGACATGGGTTGAAAGCGACCCTTAACGTAGTGGTTGCATTGTAAAAGCTAACACAGGAGGAAGGTTAAATTACTCTTTTTTTATTATTATAACATGATTTAAATGTTCCATAATGGGGTGCCACGGTAGACCCTTGACCCCTTATACAAAAGCTGCTGTCCCTCATGTTCAACGCCAGTCCTCAACCTTTCACAGTTTTCTTTCTGTGACCACAAACTCATGGTCTCTGTAGAAGGAAGGGCCAGGCATCTGTCCTGGTTCTGCCAGCTCACAGTGACGAGGGGCCGCATTAATCAACCCCGTCCAGCCGTCAGGAGCAGAGTCCAAAATTAACACAGCACCAAATTTAGCCCTGCCCCCCCTTGCAGGAAAACCCTGTCCTGAATCTCCCTCTGTCTCTGCAGAGACATAAAGAAAGTCGCCGTTCATGCTAAAGCAGGTAAAGGTTAAAGCAGTCTGAGGAATAACGGATCCTGGCACGTTTGTCTATCCATAAAATATACTACTAAGGTTATTCTGTTTTAGAAAAGGTCAAACTCAGCTGCTTATGAAAAGCTCATTAAACTCAGATTATTATACGTCCAGATCTGACGGGAGATGAAGCTCATAAAAACTCCTTTTTATTACTCAGTGAGTCAGTGGATCCTTCTGTATTGGTCAGTGATTGATCATTATAAGATCTCCACTATTGGCTCTTTGTTCAGACAGCATTGCTGCAGATGAGATAACATTGTTAGAGAGTGAGGCAGGATTACCCAGAATGCAGCGGGCAGGATTTTGCTGTGATTTGGCGCTCTTCCCGCCGGCTGACACGAGATGTGATTTTGTGGCAGCAGATTGAGCATCTCTCTGCCGACCTGCTGGGTGGTCGGCGCTCTGTTAGGGATGGTGACAGAGAGAGCTCCATCTATCAGGCCGTGCACTTTCTGTAAACGAGGACATGCTGGCAGGTGACCAGATAGAGAGAGAGAGAAAGAGAGAGAGAGACAGGACGGAGGGTTCATGACGGCTAAAAACAAGAGGTGACAGTAGAAACTGTCTCTGGTTTACTGGGAATGAAAAAGAGAAAGTCTGGTGAGACAGAGTGGGAATGGGTGCTTGTTTTTGTCCTCTTTACAGGCAGTTTTTCAGCTTCAGCTCTTCCACTTAATCTATGCATTTTGATCTTTAATTATCCAGACACTTAAACCCGTCAGTGAGGTTAAGTTGTTTTTAAAAGACTGAAACGACTTCCATACAAAAGTAGAAATGAGGCTTGAGAGGTCATTTCAAACACTTTTCAGTATGCTTTTATTCATCTATATGACTTCTGCAAAGACTTTTTTAAAGTTGCATCTTGTTGCTGATCTTGTCCTGTAAGAATAAAAGTTTTTTTTTTTTTGGTAGCACTTTACAATAACCATTATTTATAAATGGTAACTAAATATTTTATTAATATTTAATCATCATTTAAAACCAGCATATATACCAAATAGATAGGCAAATAGATAGATTGTAAAACATCTAGATTTAAATTTGTGTCAGTAGCACTTTGTAAATGGTTAATATTTGTTTTTTTAAACAACCTATAAATATTACTTAGATGGTTATTGGAAAGTTATGGTTAGGGTTAGGTTTTTAAAGATGTGAAATTTACAATTTATTAATGGTCTATATGCTGTTTATAAATGATGATTAAACATTAATAAACTTTCTGCTTACCATTTATAAAGGGTCTATTTACCATTTATAAGTTATGGTTATCGTAAAGTGATAACTATTTTTTTAATTTGTTTGTTTCAAGACAAAAATTTCATCCTGAAGTTAAAAATGTAAGAAAAGATTTTCTGCAGCATGAGTCAGTCTCTTCAGCCACAGACCTGGCTGATTACTGTGTTTTTGTTTGTTTGCTTGCTTCTGTGGTTCATGAAGGTATTAGAGATAATTGTGCTCCCTTTAATCCTTGTACATTTTTCATTTTTTCAAATGAAGTTCTCTCATAAAGGTGCCATAACTGAAATTTTTCTTTTAAGATGTTTAGGTTGATTTCCGCACAGCTGTTTGTGGTTTTCTGTAAATATATGAATACTTTTTTAATTGGACAAATGTTCTTGTTTTCCAATCTAGACAAATTAATTTCCAGATATTTGTGGATTTTCAAATATAAAACATTTTGCTGTTGTTTTAAAAATGCAGACAAGTTTCTTTCAATTTGCTATTATTTGCCCTTTTCTTTGCTTTGGGAGCTCATTTTTGAACAAGTATGTTTAGTTAAGGTTGCTATATTGCCAAATTGGTTCATGTATATTCATACAAATCACGCATTGTTGCACTCTGCATGCTCTATACATTTTAATTAAGCACAAAAACAGTGAAAAAAGCCTGTTGAAAAATGAGAACAGACAGTTTTCCATGTATAAATCAATAAAGTTGTTCTGTTATCAATTACAATTGTTTCTGCAGAGGATGCAGGATAACTGCACGGGCTGCATGATGAGAGATGAGACAGACTCTGTGATTAATCCATAACTTAAGAGTCAACAAAATAAAGAGCGTTGTACATCACCTGCTGCAGACAAGACAAACACGAGCACTGAATTATATTTGTTGAGATACAAACGTGGATGGATTACCTCTGCTCACAAACACTAAATTAAAATGCAGCATATTCACCTCCTCCTGCTGCAAAACTTCTGTCTTATTATTTATTCTCTTATTTATTTATTTGGGAGCAGACAGGAGGATGGAATAATAAATCCTGCTCTTTGGTTGTTGGTTAAGACTCATTAAAAATCTCCATAAAGCTGCAGAGCCAACTGAGGCTCTGCTCCCTGTGAATAGCCTACTAAATAAATATTATGCCAGAGTCATATTTTCTTGCAGGGATTTACATTAATAAGATAGTGTGTGTGCAGTAATCAGCTAATGGAAGCCTGGATGAGGAGGGCGGACTACAGCCAGGTTGTGCTACAATTAGCTGCTGATTTCAGGCAACCGCTGAGATGTTAGGAGGAGGATGGAGACTTTGGTTTAATGAGAACCGAGTTTAGAGTTTAACTGCTTTAAAATGTAGTGCACGCTTCACCTGATACGCTAATTAAACACACCACAAGACAGAATTTGCAGAAGTACACACCTCTGATCATTAACACGGTTCTCAGTAACAACAAAAGCTGCCTTTTGATTTTGATTGCAACGATTCGTTTCCTCCTGAGACCCAGTAATTCATATTTTTCTCTGTGGTGGACATAAGTCTCTGATAGCTTTTTCTAAAACCTTATAAGCTATCAAACTGAAACATTCCGCGCTATGCAGAAGACATAGTCTAGACTTTTTAATGAGCCATTATTTGTTGTTTTGTGTCATTCCTGACAGGAATTATTCCATCTCTGCAACCACGTTTAATCCGGGCGAGAGAGGTAAATCGTTGTTAATGAAACATGTTCAGAATTAAGAGTTTCTAATTGGTATGATTAGCTTCCTGGAGTTGTATTTTTATGTTGTTTAGTACTCTTTTGGAAAAACTTTTTATATATCCAAATATCACCGGTGACAGGGATTAGACGGGGCAGAGCAAACTTTTTTAGAGACTGTGGATGGACGTTTGGACTTTGAGTTCGCAGATTAAGTTGACATCTTTTTTTAATTTAACATGTCCAACATAAAGAAAGGTGAACGAAAAAAAGAACAAAACAGAAATGCCCACAAGTTTTATCAGCCAGCAGTGAAACATTTTAATTTTCACGTGCAAACATAGGCAGGAAGAAGTATATACTTGGATATGGATATTGACTTTGCTGTACTATTTTTGGATATTGTTGTAGTTCTGTATTCGTCTTTTCCATAATTTTCATCTGCAGATTACAATATTACAATGTTATTAAGTAGATGCTTTTGTCCAAAGTGATGTACATTTGAGAGCAAATACAATAGAAGCAAGATCTAGATAGAAGGAAACAACATGAATAAGTACCAAACACTGATATAAGTGCAATTGGGCAGAGCGCTGTCATGCAGTAAATGAGGCAATGGAACTTTTTTTATGCTGTATGAACACCAAGAGTCTTGAAGATTAACTTCTTTTCCAAAGTTGACAGCAAATTGTGACCTCTTTCTACGTTATTTGTAGTGAACAATAGTGAATAACTGTGTTCATGAAACCAACGTTTTGGACTATTTGCTCCTTTAACAGGTCTAAAAGTGGTGCATATTTTCCTCAAAACATCTAAACAGTTACTGGGCTGTCATACTGTGGTGGGCTGTTTCACTTCACCATAGCTGGTGTCTGCCCCTCGGCGGTAATAAACCTGTTGGCGTCAGTGGTAGCCACATTCTGTCCCTTTATGGCCGTGGCCTGATGGGTGTGTTGTGGGTGATTATGAACGTTCCCAAGGAGGCGCTTGTAGAGAAAAGTGTGAGTAAAGTTTTACAAATATCAAGCAACATCCTCAAACTACTGTGAGGAGATGGTTTATATGGCAACAGAGCAAAAAGTCAGCTCTAGTGTATCTTCATGAAGAACAAGCAGTTTCCTCTCAAGAGGGTAAGATTAGATGCCAACACATGACTGACATGATTGGTTTGGTGTATCAAGGTCAGCTCTGAAACTGGTTTTATTGTATTTAACTTATTAAAGATTTTACATGCAAGTTGAAAAGCATGTTTCCTCTTACTCTGAGGGGAACTGTGGAGTCCCTCAGGGGTCAATACTTGGACCATTTTTATTGTCTATCTACAAGCTATACCTTGGCCGTGCCAAATAATACACAGACACAATGGGCTCTATTTTCGTGCCTCGCTGGAGATGTGCCGCAGGCGCGGTGTAAGTCAGGTCCGCCATGCCAACAAGGCGTTCCCAAGCACAATTTGGTATTTTGGTGAGCGGCGCAGCCCGGCATATCCCCCCTCCCTAACTTAGCTCCTCCCAGCGGCGTAAGTCGTAGCAAGGGAGGAGAGAGGGCGTGGAGTGGGTTTAACACAGCCAAGACCTGTATTGACCAATAAAATCAGCTCCTCTCCTCACCTTTAAATCCGCCACCGGTGAGTTGTATTACTATTTTCGTGAAGTAGTCAAAGAGATCATGAGATGTCTGAAGACAGTTATGCCACACGATGGCGACAGAGGACAGCTCCTCAACAAGTGTCGCTGCAGAGGGCGTCCTCCACCCTCTCAAGAAAAAACATTTTCAATACATGGGATCACTGCTATTCTGTCAACTTTACATAAGGGTATGCCACAAGGGTTTATACCAGGTCCAGTTTTGTCTGAAATTACACTTCATATTGGAAATTTGCTGATTCTATGCAGATAAGACCATAATAAGAGCGCAAACTTCTGCCTTTCCCTGTGTAGAGAAACACTAGCTCCTTTGGGTCATATCATCAGATCAGATTGAACTAACTGTCTCGCAGAAACAAACAGAAGAAAATCAAGGTTAAAATGGATTTTCTTCAAAGAAACAAGAGTTCAAGACTTCTTTCTCCACTGAACAACAGAGACTGTACACTGAGTGTACTGTGATCCTGGATTTGTCTGATTCTGTGTGTTTAGCGATAAATCAAAAAGCCGCTCAGTTCCAGAGCTGTCACATAAGTTGAGCCCTTTAATCCAGCAGTTAAACAAAGAGCCTGACAGTGAGCAGAGGACCTGACCTCCATTTTAAAGGACATCATGAAAGCTCCAACAGTGGAGCAGAGAGAAAATAACAGCATCCTGGTTTAGGAGGTTTTCTTTGAAGTCTTCCAAAACTTTCTCAGATAACATGTTTGCTCCCAAACTTATAGTCTGAGTAGAAAAAGAAAGTAAGAACAGACTGACCCCACAACTGTTGACTGAATTAAAGACACTTACGGTAGAGTAAGGTTAAACTGATGTTTAAAGGCTTTTTGATCAAGTTTCTAGTTCTCAGGTTGAAATAAAGTGGAAACTGTTTCAGCAAATCTGTGGGTGCAGGCACAGAAAGAATCTGATTTCTACTGAAATACTCAAAGTTTTATTCACAAGCATATAAGTAATAATGCAACTTCTGAACCCATCTGTAGTTGTCTAACAGCCCATTAAGGTAGAAAAATGAATGCTGTCAGTGCAGGGTGGTTGCCTCTGTGTCCTTTCCCCTTTAGTGTGCACAATGTAGTGTTCATGATTTCCAAAGCGAATGTAAAATTTAGATTGTTATGATTTTTTGTTTTACTCTTTGCATGGTTCAGTTTTAACCTGCTTTTGTGGATGCATTGAAAAAATAACCTCAGTTGTGAGATGTTCCTTCAGCTGCTTTTTTAGCATTACACAACTTTTTATCTGTTCAGGGTTAGGGTTAGGGTTTCTCTAACAACTTTTTAAAAAATGTAGCTCGCATCAGTTAAAAAATGAGCAAAAAATCTTGAAAACAAGTCGGTTTTGGCAAACATTTTACTGGCAACTTCACTTTTTAGCATAAAAAGGTTTATTTTAGGTTTTTAGGTTTATAAGTACTACCTATTCAGCCTTGTTTCCTCACAAATTAAAAAAAAACTGCACATGAATCAAAATCATGGCCTGCGAGTGTTAACTAAAGACCAAACAGACCAGGTTATACCCTGGGTACAAAAAGAAAAAAAAGTTCCTGGAGAGTCTTAGCAGCAAGAGAAACTGATTCCCCTCCTCACAAACCTTCAGCTTGACTTTAAAGACCTTTTGGACCTCGACCTTACTGGACCTCCACATTAATGCTGATCCTGAAGATTGCTTAAACACCTTCGCTGGGATGTGGTCACGCTTTCAATTTGGCCATTAACACAACGAGTGCATGAGAGCGTGTCTTAATGGCAATCAGGGCCAACAGAGTTATAGATTATACAAATTTATAACCTGGGCGTCTGCGTCACTTCGCTGATCTTTATTCCCCAAGTTAATGAGGGTGACACAAAGTCACTTAATGCCAGACCTCCAACTCACAGAGTCAGGGCTGTGGAGAATTAGATAAATTAGCTTTGCATATATTTAATATTGAACTGAAAGTTCACTCTGCAATGTTTGAGCTTGAATTATGTCATTTTTTATCCTATAGAGTAAACACAGTGAAGTTGAACCTACATGTGAGCACCGTGACATTTTCTTTACAGCATATCAGATTAAGTTTAACATTAATCAGACATGTTTAGTGTAAGGTATAGACAGAATCAAAGCACAAAAAGCAGCAGCTGTCTACCAATTAGGATAACAAACAGTAAGTTACACATTTAATGTTTTTCATGTGTAGTATTTATAGCTTCCACAGCAAGTTTTGTGTTTCCATCTCCAACAACAACAACAAAAAAATTAGGACTTTTCTTTTTAAATATAGAAAGTTAATCATCTGTCTTTGAGGGTGCTGAAAAAATAATGAAGTACTTTGAAGAAGAATTATTCTATATGCTAACATTACTCTGTATGTGCAACTGGATTATTCCATAAATGCTAAAAGACAAACAACTAACATTATTCTGAATGTGCATGCAATGACAGAAGACATAATTCTGTAAATGCAAGAATGACCAACGTTTCTCACTCAATGTATAAAGACAAACATTATTTTCTGCATGCAAACTGCCCACCATTATCCTGCCTATGCAATGAGACCAACATTATTAAGCTCATGCAAAAGGATGTTCACTATTTCTGCATGGATCAAAACCAAGAGTTTTCTCTTTAAGTGTTAAGGCCAACATTATTCTGCACATGCAAAAAACTGACATTATATGGGTCATGCGAAAAGAAGAATGCTATTTTCTGCGTAGAACAAGACCCACATTATTCAGTACACACTGATACTGTACATCCAACAAGATCAGCATTATTTTGCGCATGCATTAAAGTAAACATGAACCAAACAGTTCAAATGAGAAGACAAAAAGTAGAAATTAACTGTCACCATCATCCCAGATTTTAATTTCCCCTAATTTTATTCTGAAATAGTCACTTTTTTCATGTCACTGGTCGACTGTCACTTTAAAAATAGTTCAGTCTTTTATCTCATTCACACTTTTCTAAAGTCCCCTGTTGTTCTTTCACCTTCATCGCTGTTATAATGACTGCTGTTATTGGATTCCAGTTTTCACCAATAGATGAAGAGACATAATAAGGGTCAGTTCCAGAAACCTCCAGCTGTTTTTTTCTTTCGTCCTTTACTGGTGAGCCTTTAGGACGTTTCAATGATTGTGTTTTTTGTCATCCTCCTGAGGGCTGTTCTGAAATGACAGGTACGAGCTGTGATACCATACACCTGCCTCACATTAAAAGGACAGCCATACGTTCCCCTTCCTCTGGCAGCTTCTTTATAGAGGATTAATGATTTATTGCTCTGGTTTCTCGCTCCTTCTCATCTCACTTGGAGGGGGGCAGTTTAACAAGCGCTCTTTCTTTGCCTCTCTCGGCCTGCGGATAGGCCTCTCTCTCAGAGAAGTGTGCCATGGTGCCACTGTGTGCAGCACAGCTGTGACCCATTTCAGAGACTTTTTTCACCAGAGATGCCTCAGCGGGGAGCAGAAACCCGACGAGAAAACCAAACCTGATGGGGACGGCTTGCTCTGAAACCTCAGCGCTGGAGCTCTCGGTGCTGGTCTGCACGAGGAAAGCTGCATCAGGGGGACGGGGTCATGTAAACACTTCTTCATAACACCATGTTTTGCCCTCTGTACTCACTCAATGACTTTGACGTGATGTTTTCTGCAGAGTAAATTCAACTTTTCGTCACTGTTTTCTAACAGGGTGACACACCTTCAGAATAAAAGCATTGTGTTAACACAAGGCCAGTCTCTCCACAAAGAGAACAGATTGTGCTTTTGCTTTGAAAAACTTTGTGAGAAGAGCCTTCCGAGTAGTTTTCTTATACATCTGACATTATTACAGCTGATACAGAGCAGACACAGCCCTAAATGTATCATTTTTATGTCATCATTTTTGGTTTTTGAGGGTTGGAGATGGTGGCCAGCAAGGGCAAAAATTCTGCAACACTATATAAATGTGCGTGTGGTTGGTTCAGCTTTTTGCTGCATGTTTTTCAGATGCATTGAGTAATTGCTTTGGACCGATGCATGTGTTTTTCTAGTTGAATTGTTTTTGCATTTGAAGATCCAGCAACATTATTATCAATTTATGATGCAATAAAAAGCAGGTTGGCAAGTAGGGGTGGGAATCACCACTGGCCCCACAATACGATATTATCATGATTTTTAATATTTTGCAATACAGTGAGTATTGCGATACAATATATTGCAATTTACACAATCTTTTCAACTGTTTAGCTAATTTAGCATTTGTCTTTCCTTTATGTTTGTCTTATTACACAGTATTTTATTTTCATGGAGCACATCTTGAAAACCTTATGTGTCAGGTCCATCTCATTTGTGACCTGATGCATTCCTATGTCTTTCCCCACGTGCTTCTATATTTGTTGTACTAACTCTCTCCTGCTCGATGATGTTGCCTCTGCCAACCTCCCTGGACAAACAGTTGATTTTATTTTTCCATTATCATAGATTTTACTTAATATTAGCAATTAATTTGAAAAAAAATCGATAAACAAGACAATATGATATATCACCAGACAAAATATCACAATACTATGCTGTATCGATTTTTTTCTCTCACCACCATTGGCAAGCGTATTCCTACTGCTTTCATAACTCCCTGCTCACTTGGCCATGCACGCGGCTTACACACCATAGACAAATGTTCTTTTACGTGGCGAAACGTCACTTAACTGTTTGCATAGCCCACTCTGCTAAGTGTGGAAAATGGGACAGCACTTGAGCGTCTTTGCTGTGTACCACACCATCATCCAGAAACATGCTTAAAACTCAAATCACCGCCCTGCTACCAGAGTGTGAAATGAGAACACCTTTTTTTTAATCTCTGATAAACACTGACCAAATATGCACGCTGGAGAACGCTCTTAACCAATTACTTGATTAGTTGTGAACACCCATTTCTTAAACCTCATAGGTCTTGCGGTGTGTTCCAGGCTATAAGTTGAATCAGCATTTTCAATATGGTGGCTGCTATCGTTTGGCTTCTTTACGCCTCTTCAGAAACTAGCAGATGGCTTCACTGGGACTCAACTGCCACTTAAAACAATATGGGATTTCTGATACGATTTTTCTCTTTGTTGGTGTTGATTCCTCTTAACTTCACCTTCTTTCCGATCTGATTCCCTTTAACAGTTCAATTCTCAGAGAAAACTTTCAAAACAGCACACAGACTTCTGCAGCCCTTGTGTCAAAGCTGCTGTAACCTTCAGGTCGTTCCGGGTGATTATGGGTGCTGTGGTGCTGCACCAACATGGCAGCTATAATCCCAGAGAAGAATGTCCTCCTGGGTGTTTTTGCCGGAGGCAATAACAAACTCATCATCAGCACCGTTTGAGTTTACGCCACTTATTTTGCCTTTTAGGTACATGGGGAAAGATATGGTGAATCTCTTTCCTTTACCACCAAATGAGCTGTATTTATGTTTATATTATCTTTAATCTGCATGCCATTAAGTGTCACTGCAGCAAAAGTTGACTTTTGAGAAATTTGGCTCTTCCAAACCTTATTTTTACCCACTCATAACTTTACCAATCATGGGATAAATGGCAGCAGTCTGAGGCCATCTGAGGTTTTATTATTAGTTCACCTGAAATGAACAGAAACCTATTTCATCTCAAAGTTGTGGACTTTTTCCACTCTGTTCTTCCGTCTCTCTATGCACACAGAGATTTTCCCTCACTAATTTATAGTCTGCAGTGTTGGAGTCTGTAAAATATCTGTGAAAGAGCCTTTTATATTCAACCTGCCCAGTAACCTTCAATGTTTCATGAGTGTAACAACACAGATTCAGGAAGTAACAAGAGGAGAAGACGGGTTTTTATCAGGTTTCTACTTGAACAGAGCGATCGACAGCAGAGGGTCACGACCTTTTTTTGATATAATCTGACTAAGACGGATCATCCTTGAAGAGCTGAACAGTTCAACCAAACAGAGTCAGAGGACTGTCATGTAATGAAAATGTAGACGAGTAAAAATAAACCAGATATTTTCCCCTGAAGGTTTTCTTTTTTCACTTACATCATTCTCTGAGCTTTGTTCGACTTCAAGTGTGGTTCAGTTAAAGTCGTCATGATATCAGGTTTTTGTGGTTCTTGTGTATCTTTTTTATCATTGTGTACATGTGATGTGATTTGTCTTGTTTTGCACAGCTAACTGAAAAACAAACTGCACCTCAAGGACAAGACAGCCCTACAATGTAACTCAGGAGTGTGTTCAACCAATACACAACTTTTACTCTGTAGACCTCTGTTGTGTTTCTGCGTGTGTTTTTTTTTTTTTTTTTCCTTTATGTGGAACTTCTTGTGCTGCTATCCTGGCCAGGACTCCCTTGTAAAAGAGATTCTGAATCTTAATGGGTTTATTTCTGGTTAAATAAAGGTTACTAACTAAGAACTAACCAGCAACCAAAGAGAGACTGTTGCTTAGCCGTGTGGATAGATCGAAGCGATCTCACATCACACCCATGCACATCTCTGACACAATCTCATCTGACTTGATTCAAGCAAACGCCTTCTATCTGAAGTCATTATGATCTACTAACGACAAAATTAGGGTGAACATATTCTAAATCCCCAAAAAGAGGACACGACTATGTGGGAGCAGAGTCACGGGTGTAGTTCACAAGACACAAACTCAACACTTCCGTACAAAACCCCGGACATTTGAAGGATTTTATAAACTCCCCCTGACAAAGCCAGACAAGACCAAACAGCCCCCCAAAAGAGGAGATGTCTGGGTAAAAGAGGACGTATGGTCACCCAACCTGAATGGTACCTGGTTTTCTTTGTTTGTTTGAAGTCCTTGTCTCCTATTTGTTTTCTGAAATCGAAGGATAAAGAAGAAGTCAGTCTTTATGCTGACAATCTTGTTTACTTTTGTAAACTGTAATCTTAATTTTAGTCAAACAGCTTCTTACTTGAGTGGACATGACTACGCGGGGGCGGAGTTACAGAGTCTCGCATAGTAAATTTTGATAGTTTTCCGAGTCCCGTTGAGTGTTTTTTACGCGCTTCTAACTAAGTTAGTCCACGCAAAAACAAACTCAAAACTTCCATACAAAAGCCCAGACATTTGAAGGATTTTAACTACCCTGGACAAGGCTGGACAAGGCTCAGAAAAGAGGACATGTCCAGGTAAAAGAGGACATATGGTCACCCCACATTATATTATATTCTAACTTCAAATCAAAACCTAATTTTTGGTGTCTTGACTGAAATCACACCAAAACAAACCTTTAATAGTCAGACTAACATGCCAGGATAAAGCGATTTTCTCTGTCATATACTCTCCTCTCAGACTGATAGAAGAGTATACATCCAAACCAGTCCCAGTCTAGATCTTAACTGGTTTAACCGATTCAACTCAAACATCACAGCTGTCTAAAATCTCAACAGATCAATGAAGCAAAATCATTGCTGCTGTATTCAAACCATTTCTGTGTTCAGAGTCTAAATGGTCAGGGGAGCTTTGCCGATCAAGCTTATGTTATTTTAGCCGCCGATGTTCCCTCAGGACTGAATCAAGCTGGTCAAACATAGAATTAAAAGCCTCCCTGTGCTGATGGACCTGTTTGTGTGACTGTCACACAGCAGCCCACCTGGGAGCGACGCCATCAGCGCGGGATGTCCTGGTTAGGATTCTTGTTCAATCACCGCTCCTGGCTGCCGCTCGTGTTTCCTGTGGCATTTTGATTGAATGTTTTCTATTCACACACAGAAGTCCCCTTAATGGCCCTTTTTTCATGTGACAGTGATCTATATGCAGGTAATTACAACTGGCTATGATGAATTGTGCTGTCAGATTCAGCGTGATTATCCTGAGATGAAACATGTTTCAGAAATCTAAAATGTCAAAAACTATTACAAGGTCACAGGAAGAGCCGCTCCTCCTGTATCTCAGAGTTACATGTATTTAAAATGATATGAACTGCTTTTTATATCCGATTGTTTGACGTCCAGGACATGGATGGATGAGTCAGAGATAAGTTTGTGGTTTTCTTTTAGAGATTTTCTGTCCTCCTGTCAAAACTGAGCACAACAAAGTAGTGTTCAAGTCAAGACCGCACCAGCCGAGACAAAGACATTATCAAGACCAGACAGTATCGAGACCGAGGCATTTGGAGGTCGAGACCGAGACAAGACCAAGACTTTATATATCAAAGAAAAATCACCACAAAACAGAACAAATGACCAGTATCTTTCTTTTTATTATCAAGTTTGCTTTCACAAAAAATTTAGATTTGCCTGTTTCCCAGTGTAGCTAATTGAATGGTAAATATTTGTCTATATACTTCTTATACTGTGCATTGCAAAATTTGTATACTGCATAGTGTTTCCGCTTGTGTGTCTGTTTACAAATAAAGTCTGTATGGTTTCCATGGAGCACAGCGTCTTCAGTCCTTTTCATCCGCTCTGTGCAGAGGGCATGTCACTGAGAGGGCAGCTTCTGCATTCTTCTGTTCTCTGTCGGTCTCGATTGGTCTTGATCAAAAATCCCAAGACCAAGACAAGACAGAGTAAAAACGCCTTCAAGTCCGAGACAAGACAGAGACCCTTAAAAAGTGGTCTCCAGACCGGTCTCAAGATCAAGACCAATCTCAAGCACTACACCTCATTACAACCAAGTCTACTCACCGTAATTCTTTTTGTTCCTTTAACAGATTATTCCTCTTTTTTTCAATGTCCAAAACGTAACCGAACATAAGTTGTCGATGCTGATCAAAAAGCCTCAACTTAAGTCCATTCATTGTCTAACCAAAGTTGCCATGGTTGCAAATTGCCTTAATGATTTCTTAACTTCACCGTCCACCAACCACGACAACACTTAGGTGACCAAATTCTGACTTCCCAAAAAGAGGACATGACTACGTGGGGGTGGAGTCACGGATCGCTCAAAGTTAATTTTGAGTTTTTCCAGTCGGATCCAGCGTCTTTTATGCGCTTCTTTTATGCGACTCATTTAGTCAATGTAACACAAACTCGAAAACCGTGGACATTTGAAGCATTTTATAAACTTCCCTGGACAAAACCAGACAAGGCTGGACAGCCTGGACAGCGCCCAAAAAAGAAGACATGTCAAGAGGACGTATGGCCACCCTAGACTACACCAAAATTATCTGTCTTGATTTGTGCCTGACCTAACTCGGTTTATTACAGCCTTTAAATACCCGAGTCATTTTATCTCTAAATACATCCAAAAACATTTGGTGTTTAATTATAACCAACCTTTTTAGTCCCTAAAATGATTCAGGGAAATTGGCCCCTGGCGCAGTTTTGTGATGAAATAATTGACCAAATCATAATTGTGTGTAACTGAGGTGAGTTTGTTCAGCGCTTAAACCTAATAACGTTTTACAGCTGATTTAACTTAAGTTGTAACAGCCTAAAACTGAGGAAATAGAGTTTATGCTTTACCAGAAAAACAAGTCCATTCAGCGTCTTAAAACTGAAGAGAACTTCAGATAAATTGACGGTCTAGTTCAGAGGCAGATGAATCTTCATACTTAAAGCGTAGGGCCTCTGACCAAGCTGCCGGTTTTTGAGGAGAGGTGTGAAACTGTGTCATTCGTCCCTAATAAACTGCGTGTGCCTTGTTTGTGATGATTAATCCTCTTAGCGTGGCTGTCACAGTGCAGAGTGGGAAAACACACACGTCTGATGTTTAGTCAGACAGGTTTCACAGGCTTATCTGACTGAGGCCTGCCAGGACCGTGACGGATGTTTCAGAGATGTGATGACAGAGTCAGAGATGTGCCTTCTCCTGTTTGTGAGTGTGATGGAAACAAAATGACAAAAACCGATAAAGTACGGCCAAAAGCTGCCTTTTGTTAGTTATTCAATTATCTTTTTGGCAGATAACTCTCGTGTTGGTTTTAGACCCTCCAGAGACATTTATCCTGGCTGTCATCATGGCTAAAATACTTCTAAATTTACCTCAAATGTCAAGAAAAGGTTGCGTAGAATACAAAACAATAAAAATGCTCAAGGTTGTGCTCTGAGAGCTCTTCTGGGACTGAGCCAAACAGGCGGCAGGAATTTAAATCGTCTCCTGAACCGAGAGGACATCCCGGTAAAAGACGAGGTTTAAAGTCTAATTGGTCTGATTAGAGGGGGGCCTAAGCCAGCATTTCTGATTAAGTGGAGTGATGGAGGTGATAAAGGCCCACTGGCAGGGGGCTGTGGAGTATAAAGTTGGCTAACTGAAGTAAAGTTCACTCCTGGCTGGATGAAGGTCCATCTGTTTTTGTGCTCTGTGGGCTCTAAGATGTGACTAACAGCGATGGGCATGTGTGTCTCACAGACTGATGCTCACTTTGTAGACTTTTTAAATAGACGGCCGACACGACAGCTTCCAAAAAGTGAACCTTTCAACCGACTGGCTGCAGCCTGCCTTCTCCATGGTAGCAGATTGGACTTATTTAACAATAAGAAAATGGATGCAAGAGGATTTTTCGTAGGTCTTGGTGTGATATATTTGCCTGGACAAAAATCATGCAAATGAGTTGAACCCAGTGGCTGGGCTGTATTTAAAAGGTTTCAGGAGTGCACTTGAGCCAGTCAGTACAATAAACTGAATTATTGACTTACTCCAATTTAGACCGGACAACTGAAGAGCATGTAAACACCTTAGTCCGACTATAATTGGAGTTTGAGAACTCTGATTGGAGACGGAGAACTCCGAGTCAGACACTAAGATAATGCGATTGGAATTTGATTTTCTCTACCATGTAACCAGAGTAGTCGGAGTACGATTGGACAATGCATGTGTGCATGTGCCACGCCCCTGTAACACCAGAGAAGAAGTGTCACTATCATTTAAAGAACTTTCAACTCAGAAGCAACTGCAACGTGGCTGAAGCACGAAAGAATTAGCCTGGCTGGGCCATCCGGTTGCGTGAATCACTTGACGTTCCTTCCCACAACAGTCTGGATCGGCCCATTGGGAGCGTGTATTGGCGATCAGAAATAACCGGGCCAATCAGAGACTGCGGATATAAACGATTTCTGCCGACTTTGCAAAGTCAACTGCAGAATTAACGGCGTTCTGAATGACCGGCGCTTTGAAAAGTCCCGCAGCATGTGTTAGACATCACCATCTACACATGGACCAATCAGGGGCTGTCTTTCCCTGTTGTCCGGGTAATAGTGGAAACACGGTCTCTGATTGGCCCGGTTATTTTCTGATTGGGAGTACACGCTCCCAATGGGCCGAAGGAACGGCAAGTGATTCACGCAACAGGATGGCCCAGCCAGGCTACGAAAGAATGTCCACTCTTGGAACAGTGAAGAGAGTGCCGTTATGCTTTCCCTCTTGAAAGAAATGGACACTTTAAAGTATATGGACAGTGGCATATACACGACCATCCATAGCTGAAACAGCGCTGCTGAAAAGACCCATATTGCTCCCTAGTTTTAGGGAGGAGAACACGTTCACGTCAATCATTCGATTTTATCAGCTGCATGTATACGCGGACAAGGAGAGAAGTCCGATTTGGTGAAAAAACTGAATTATGAGCTTAGTGCGATTAAAGCCGTGCATGTAAACGCACTGAGTGTCTTGATTGCATTTGTCTTTAGCAGGCGAATGCAATGACTTGGATTTTCAACATCATGTAAACATGCTGACTGACACAAGGAGCTGTTCTGTTGTGAAGTGTACCGACCGTAAGAACGAGGGACTTTTTATCTCGAAGTCAAATGTCTGTATCAAAGAGAGGAAGAAGCAGGATGCCAATTTTCACTGGCTATTCCTCGCCGTTCAATCCCTGACTGATTTCACCACAGAATACCAGTATTCCCCAAACAAAGAGACTGATGGATGATGGAACAATTTAAAAGTCTCATATTTTCCTTTCCTCATTCTTTTTCATTCTTCTGTGTTTATGCTGCTGGAGCCAAACATTTTTTTCCCTTCTGTAATATGCACGATTCAATATTTAACCGTACCATGTGTAAAATAAGATGATTGGATTCCCCTTTCTTTTGCAGACACACCAACAAGCTAAATTCAGTTTAAAAACAATAACTGGAGAAAAGAGGGAAGCAAAGACATCCGTGCAGCTCTGCAGGGCGTTCGCTCTAACTCAGTTTACCAACCGCAGAGAAGAAGAAAGAGCTGCTCTTTTCTTCTAATTCTGGAGAAGTGTGACTCTTTTCTGTTCTTCGGCTTTGACAGATGTGCCCCTCCGTCTTTAGAGTTCACCCTGACATCTTAAATAAACACACTTTAAAAGTCTTAACACCCTGAGCATAAATAAAACACCGAATGTTAAAATAAAAGCAGAAATGCGCCTCGTCAAACACAAGGGGCAGGTATTTGTCAGGGGCTCAAGTCGGAACACTGTCAGTCTCGCGGGGTAATTTTGGGACATGAGTCCTGATAAAGAATTAGCTCATTAATGCCGGGTAAGCAGGAGGCACGGCTCGCCTGGAACAGAGAATATTAAAACTGCAGAGGGAACTTAATGCTAATCCTCCCACCTAACAGCATTAGAATGGATTTATAAGCGCGGACACGAGGCAGCGACATGTTATTTAACAGAGAGCATCATGTAAGACGACAGGAGTGACCACCAAGACCCAGGTTATCATGACTTCTCCTTCTTCTTCCGCTCATTTCTCTAATTTTAGCTCGTGTATGGAAATAAAGCTTAAAAAGAAAACTCAATTAGTTTAAGATGACAAGTGGCTGATCTTGTCAATCCAGAAACAGATCAGGACTGTATAAATAAAGGATGTAGCCACTGTGTGATTCTGCATTGGTTTCTAGATGGGTAGTTTGTAGTCATGATGGAAAAACAAACCAGAGCTTTTTAAAAAGTGTTTGTTAGGAATATTTTCTTCAGCCAGTCATGTCATCTTTTAGGGTAGTGGAGCGGTGTCACTCAAATACCCAGAATACTTTGGTGTTAGATTCCTGGAGCCACGGGCCTCCTTAAACTAAAATCTATAAATGTAAGGTAACAACCGAGACCTAATGGTGCTGTGACAGCAACACGACTGAGTTTGAGACAGTGAAAATACATATGGTATGTTGTATCTGTACAGGTTAGCTTACGAGCTAAAGTTACTTACCACAGATGAAAGTTAAAACAAACTGTTAAAGCACGCAAACCATCGTCATATGAGAAATCTGACGCTACGACTCTCCGCAAGTTGTCCTTCAGGTCGTTATCTTTGTAATGTTTGTGTTTTTTATCAAAAAGCACTCTGTTCTCTGACACGTAAACAATCAGCTGGTCGGCCATGTTGGATATACCGGTGAATCTGACGTCGCAACAACACGCAATCTGATTGGTCAGAAGTGGACAGAAACTGTAGAAAATTCGACCGTGATCCGAAAAAATAAATGCCGCAATATCGCAGTAAGGGAAAACGTCGCTGATGTGAACACTTGTATTGACAGGATACGGGTTCAAAAAAGAGATATTGACGTCTGAAATAATCGCATGAAAAAAATGCTCCCAGTGTGTAAGGACCTTCACTCATTCATATCTATACCTTTTTATGAGGTGCTTCTTTGCTATTCATGGGAAAGGGGATGTGTTGATCACTGACTGTGGAAGCCAAAGCCAATTTGTGATTGATTTGCATTCATGAACGTACACACGTGCCTACAAGCTTATGATTAAATCTGTGTTTTTGGCCTTGTTTATTAATCAGGTTTTTAGTGACGAGGATTTTAATGCGCAAATCTGCATGCAGTTCACTAACAATTCATAAATGAGACATTCATTCTCAACGGCAAAAGCGAAAACCAAGGGCCGGCACGTCAAATCAGCTCTCAAAATCGCCACCTCTTTTCCAGCTGTGTGAGCATGTGCATGAGTAAAATCACACCAACTCAGTTTATTTTTTGCAGCTTGAGACCTGAAACTGCACCTGTGAATGAAGTTAGAGCTCTGTGATCTTATCCAGGTCCACTCTCAATGAGAAGAAGAGGAGGAGAAGGAGGAGGAGGAGGGCTTAAGAGATTCCTCCTCTCATAATACACATCAAGTCCTTATTGCCTCCAGGTTATTAAAAGTAAATGTTATATTGACTTTTCAATCACTCAGCCTTATTGCTTTCTGCAAAACCCTGACAGTGACCGCTCCTGAGTGAGGATATCTTCTTCCTCTCTGGCTACATGCAGAGCCCATGTAGCTAAAGCAGAGGTCGCCTATAGGGTCATATAATTATGGTTTTCATGATAATTTATGGGACTTCAAGTGGAGAGTCTCTAAAATCAGCCGCACGACATGCGCAGCTGGTTTTTCATTTAATATCTGCGGCTCCTGTGATGCATCTGCGAGTGAAAAATGATTGTTTAATTGGAAATGTACGATTTTTTTTTCTCAGCAGTGAGATCGCTCGTGTTTAGGAAACCCTCGGCTTAAATCTGGTCCTTAATAAAGCAGCTTTTTCCTCTCAGTCCCTGCCCGCTGACAGTTTCCAGAGCTGTGACATTTATATCCAAATGGTAATTGATTCAGAGGAAGCTGTTAGTATGCAGCTACAATTTAACAACGCTCCTCTGGGGGGGAGGAGGAGGGGGAGGCAGAGGAGGGGGGAGGGATCAAGCCCTGGAAAGCAGAGACAAGATTTTTTGTTGTTGTTTTCAGTGTTTTAAACAGCCATCCCCCCCTCGAGATGGGAGAAAAGATTGGTAAAAGAGGCTTGTTTTTCCTTGTTTTCGCTTCCTGACTCTGACACACACATACACTTTCACCCACAACCACACACACACACATACACACACAGCCTGTGCCTGTGCAGTGAGATGCTGCTGCTGCTGAGGCTGTTATTGATTGGATGCCACCAGCAGAATGGACTTTGTCACAGGCAGTCCTCTCCTCTCCTCTCCTCTCCTCCCAGGCTGTGTTTACTGGTGCGTCTTACCTGTGAAGTCGAGGCACACACACACGGACCATGGACAACAACGACAACGACAACAAAAGCAGCAACACGAGGGAGCGACAAGCCACGCTAATCCTCCCCAGATACTGTCAGGCCTGCTGAACAGAAATAATGGCTTCACATTCAGGGGCAGAGGGTCCGACAGAAACTCCACAGACGTCACTCTGAAATACAGCGCTGATCCAGGACTATGAGCAAAAATGTGATTACCATGAGAAAAATGCAGGGCTCTCATCGTTTTGAGGGCCTTTAACTGTTTTTATGAAATGCACAAAAGCTGAAAATCAAACTGAAAATAAACCCTGACGTAACTTAACTTTCTGCAGAATTGAGGATTATAAGAGATAAATGTGTTTTTATCAGCATCTATACACTAAATCTGTAATGATTAACCATATTCAACATGTACACTTTTCAAATAATTGTTTCTGTGTTTAAACTTTCACACGTCCATTTAGCCACTTTTTTAAAGACTTATGTAATAATAATAATAATAATGCATCAGATTTCATCTAGCGCTTTATCAGAGACCCTCAAAGCGCTTTACATTGGATACATCATTCATTCGCTCACACAGTCACACTTTGGTGGTGGTGGAAACGTGGCTGCCATTCTGCGCCTACGGCCTCTCCGACCACCTCCACACAACACTCACAATCATACACCAGTGGAGGACACACACTGGGAGCAAGGTGGGTAAAGTGTCTTGCCCAAGGACACAACGGACAGACTTGGATTAGGGGGGAATCGAACCGCCAACCTTCCGGTTATTGGACGACCGCTCTACCTCCTGAGCTACTGCCGCCCAAGTAGCTTATGTCTGGTCTATTCAGTTTTCAAACTTTCTAATCTCAATGTCCATGCATACTTTATTTTATTGCCATTTACAACAATGCTTTAAATTCATTTGCAACTAAACATAAAAATCCAGTCTTTTTGGAAGATCTCATTTTCCATCTATGTTGTGATCTGAGTGGGTAGAAGTGCGATTATTTTTGCATCAGCATGGACAGCCATCAAACTGTATTTTTTATCTACTTTTGCTCATCAAGACAGTTAAAGTCTCTCTGAATTATCTCTGAGGGGAGAGGGTACACATTGGTGCAGTCAGATGCAGAGGCGGAAAAACACCAGATCGAACTCGGAATGCCCAGAAGCAGCCAGGCCAGATTACTTCATATATGATCTAGAGCTGATCCCAAAAAGGAGAAGCACTTGTTCCAACAAATGCAGCTGCAGTCACAACAGCACATCTCTTAGTGTTGTGTTAAAACTCAAAGGTTTTTCTTTCTTGTCTATTATGTGTAACTTCGTGTAATTGGCCTTCATGGTTGAAGCAGCCTATGGTTGAATGGTTGGTAGAGTTTTACCCCCCAATTTCCACCGCATCTGGAATGACTCCGATCTGGAACGGCGGCAATTTTTGCCATCTGCCAATTCCTACCAGATCCATTTGTGAGGCGGCTTTTATGACGGTTTTGGACAGTGGGAATTGCGAGAACTCACAAGAACCAGCAGATTCACTCGCAATCGCACAATAATGAGTTGTCTCTATAAAGACAGCCACATAACCATATAAGCAGTAGATTGTGTCCTTCCAGTGGAGGAAATCCACTTCTAGACTTTTAGAATCAGCATCTCTTCATCCATGGTGTCATCGAGGTGAAATTATGTCTTAAAACCTTTCACTTGGTCGTCCCCGTCCGTTTGCATGGTGTGAAAAAGATCTGCCTGAAATGGTTGTTTTATTTTGTGTCTGTGCCCGACTTCCTTTCCAGCACAGACTAATCTGTGCTGAATTTATGCGACATGCTCCGACGTCTGGAAGAAATAGAACTCTTGCGATCAGCTGTGGAGTCCAGCGATCTGCAGCTGAACGGAAAGAAGCCGGTGGAAATTGACACATTACCGTGAATGGTTACGATCAGCTGCGATCGGTGGATACAGCCTTTTCGTAGCCATTCCAGATGCAGTGGAAATTGGGGGTTAGTCTCCTGTTAGCGAATAAAAAGTATCAAAAAAATTCATGCACTCTGCTAAATAGGCATAAACTTCAGCCCGATTGCGTTCTTGCACATGTTGTTTAGTTTCTCGACTGAAAATAGTGTCAGCTTGCCCAGCTGAAAGATGTTTTTTATTTAAATGATTGTACCACTTACTCACTCACTCACTTTCAAGTAAGAAAATGCAAAAATCTGGTATTTGAGGCTGCAGAAAAAGCATGCAAAATCACTAAACGTCAACCACAGATCGCAGAGAGAAAAACAGAAAGAGGGAAAAAGCTATTGCTGCATCTGAAAGTTACATGAGAGTATCCATAACCATGATGTTCGGAGGGTGGTCTGATGTCAGAGCTGAAATTAGCTTCGCAGCACAATCTCAGCAAAGCAAGAAAAATGCAGCAGAGTCTTCACCCTCTAATCCAGTCTGTCCCTCTGATCATTAGTGTTGCACGAGTGATGAAGAGGAGCAGATCAGTGGCTCTCTGAGGCCTCTCTGTCCTCTGGCATCTTTCATCACACTCCACTTTCTCTCACAGTTGTGCAAACCAGCCCGATAAGGAAGAAACTGTGACAGCTTGAATAAATAAGCTTCTCCTTTGCTACAATAAAAAACATGTTTTATCATTATTTGACTTCAATGCCGAGCAGAAATGAATCTTTTTACTTCAACATCCCTCTTTAAGACGAGAGTGTTTACTCCTAAAACTGCAGCGACTCTGACGGCCAGATGTCTCCTCATAAAACCCTGTTTGTCACAAAACACCTGTGATGGTTTGATGCTCTAAACACACACCGGAACACACAGTCTGCTTCTCCAGTTTCTATTTGATATTTGCTTTACATCCCCTCAATCCCCTCTGAGGACATGTCAGCAGATCTTCATTCCTTCTCCCAGCTCTGAGGTCTCAAAAACACAGAAACATGGAAACAAACAAAGATGCTAAAGGTTTTAATTTCCCTTGACCCCACTTTGCACTCTTAAAGAATTCATTTAGTGAATCTATAAGGTGCAACTAATCTAGTCAATGAGGTCCAAATTTAGAGTAAAAACGGGGTGAATAATCCCTTTCTTTGCATTGGGTGTACAGGAAACGGCACATTAGCAGGTAACTTTAGCCGTCCGCGTTTGATTAAGTCAGATAAATAAGACGGATCAGCTTCTACAGCTTTGTGTTACATTTTCAGCTGCTTCTGACTCTGACATTTTGGGTCAAACACATCAGACAGCTTTTATCCAGAGCTTTCAACCTTTGCAATGCAATTAAGGTCTGTAACAGGTACGTTCACTTGTTTTTTTACATTGTGTATCTTTTCCTTTACTGCACATCGTAGTTAGATTGCTGCTCCTGCTGCCACAGCAATCGAGAATAACACCACAGTGCTTTTAAGATATCACTCAAGGATTTTCTGTTTGAGCTAAGCATACAGGTGCAAGTTGCTGGCAAGAAACCACATCACAAAAGTCAACTAAGCACGAATTCGCAGTGTGCAAATCACCGTAGATCTGCGGCTCGCAAAGACGCAAGTGAACAAAGCAAGTGTGTGCAAGCAGGGCTCAACAGTGCGACAATTTCACTCGCATTTGGGACTAAAAATAGATGCGTGCGAATCGTAAAATGTGTTTAGGGGCACATGTGCGAAAAAAAAAAATTAGCCGAGGCAACAAATGTTTTTTTCATGGAAACACTGCAGTGAAGTTAGTTTTAGGTTGGATATCCAATGGACATTCACTGCGGAGCTACCGGTGTCTTCTCCCTCTCCGTTAAATCTACTCGGCAGCCTCGCTGTCAACATCAGCTGTTGAATAAGAGACCATCAATAAATTACCGGTTGATGTTCTCAGAAAAAGGCTGTTTTCCTTCAATAGCTTCCATGTCATGTGACCAATTGACCTAAAATTGATTTCAAATTATAATGTCGACCAATAAGACACACATTATTTGTTTCCCTAATTTGTCCTCATACATCGTGTTAAATTTAAAGGCAAATTTTGAACATTTTCTTCAATAGCTTTCATGTCATATGACCAAAAGACCTACAATTGATTTCAAATAAAAGTACTTATGTGGACCAATAAGACAAACATTATTTGCACATGTGCTCCTTGTGAAAAAAGTTAGTGTCAAGCCCTTGCAAGGGTAAAAGTGAAGTACTACAATATACAGTAAAGCCTGTAAAATCATTTTGTTTACGACATCATGGCATAGTCCATAAAGTGCAGACTGAAGATGAGAAATCACTGATTGATGCTTCTGAAATCTTTTTTTCTCTATTATATGTATTTTTATTAAAAACATGATTATTTAAAATGCAGGTAAACAAAATCTTAACTATCCAGTCCACAAAGAAAACTTCACTTTTCTTGAACTGAGATATTCCCAGCAGGGTGCGAGGAGCACTCTCCATGAAAGCAGGGCGACAAAGATTTTCATCATTTGCATAATATTTAGTAAATAATTCATCAGATCATCAGGAGGTCTTCTCGGTGGGAACAAAAGTTTTGTTGACAGGTGTGTCGAGCAGTCAGAGAGCTCAGGGACCCTGTCATCATTTGAAATCTAATCTATTAGCTGAAATGTTGTTCGGCCTCCAGAGAGTTTAAATAAATAATCAACGGTCTAATAGCGTTCAAAACTTTTCTCTCCATCCATCTGGAAAGACGTCAGTAAAAGAAGCAGGAAAAAGACAGATTTTAGTTATTTAATTTTATTAAATTGTAAAACTTTAACACTCTTTGCTCTTAAGTCCACTTTGTCTTTTCTTTATAACTTCTTCAACTACAAAGTTTGCTTCAAATCTGCTTAAAAAGGTAAGTATCTCTGGGTTTAATGCAAAGTTAAGATCATAATGCGAGCACTTAAAGTGGAGAGGCACAATATAGAAGATCAGACCCCTCCAAGGTCAGCAGGATGAGCCTCTTGTGCCTCTTTCAGTGATGTATTCACACTAAAATGATGCGAAAAATTCACTTAGCACTGAGTGTCGGGAGGGTCTGGCTCATTAACAAAGTGACGAAGCAGACCCTGGATCAGGCCCGGTGTCAGAGGACAGCTATTCCCCTCTGCAGCAGAACTGGGGCAGACATTTCTATTGGTGCTCTGAGCTAAACCAAATCAAGACCCACATAAAATCCCTGATTGAAAGACAAAATATAGACCGAGTGAGTGAGAATGTGGGGCAAATATCTGTGGTACTAATCAACGTGACAATTACAAGGCAAGTGCAGTCAAAAGCCTTCCCACAGAGCTCTAAAAAGACGTCTTACTCTCCTCGCGTGAATGCTTTGTGTCGCCACATTACTCGCCTCTGAGCAACCAAACTCCATTGACAAAAACTATGATTTAACCTTTTAGAAAGCATGATGAGTACGTCCACTATAGCTTGAGTGTTGGAAATGGTTGGTTTGGATCTAACACAATAGTACTTTAACACGCAAAAACAATGGTTTGTTCATGGGTGGAGGTAGACTGGATTGTGAGATCAGCAGACGAATTGGTGCGGTGTTAGTGGTACCATCATGATGAAGAGGAGGCTGAGTCTGAAGACGAAGCTTTCTATCAGTTTATTCTTGTAAATAATACAAATGTAAGTGTAAATATAACATGTTTCCCCCCTAAAATACATGTTAAGAAGGGAGATTATGCAATAGTCTAGGTCTGCACTCTATTAGATTTCTAATGAAGTAGGCTTTCTTGCATTCAGTCAAACGCAACATGACTGTAAAGCTGCCAAGTTCACCAAAATAAAAGCTTTAAAACAAAACATTGCTGTCTATTTTAAAAAGATGAGAGAAAGGAATAGCCTAACTGCAACATCTGTGCATGTAAGACTGTAAAATGGTGACTCTGGTACTGGTTAAATCGAGGGTTAATGGTCGAATTCATGACATGTAAGCACAGGACTGATCAGTATCTCCCACAATCAACACAAAAGTCTGGATGAATTTACTCCACGTTGAAGTAATGGGTTAAAATTTGGTACTTACACAGACTCCAAAAGAGTCAACTGAGGCGGTTTGTGCTTTTTACTCGATGCCTTCTGGAGTAACCCCCTGCTGAGCTGCAGAGCTGCATCCAGCTGGGAAGAGGTCTCAGGTTAGATGCAGAGCTTGCCGCAGGAATAACATATCCTACTTTGGAACTCCTTTGGATCCTCCAGAAGGAGCCAGAAAACAGTTCTTGGGAGAGGGGATCTGGGTTGACTTGCTTAGACTGCTGCCAACATGACTTCAGCCTGGATCAGACGAAGGAGAAAGATTTACAGATGGATGTGGACAATAACGCAAATACACAGACACAACTCAGGCAGTAAAAACTTATCAGTTTTTATTTATGAAATATAACGGGTTTGGATGGAGATTTGTGATGCTTGTTTCCATGTCATTACAAAATACGGTAGTTGAAATCTCTTGAACAAAAGTATTTCTGTTATGGTGGATATTTCTATTATGATATGAGATCTTTTTCACAACCCCTCAGGTCTACCTAATTTACTATATCATCCTTCACAAACCAAAAAGAAAACCAAGAAGAAACAAAATCTTTCAACATTTGACCTACTTGAGAGTATTCATCTATTTAGTTCTTAAAATCCAGCTTGGATCTACAATGTGCTTGAATCAAATTAATCCAGGTTTCCTCTGATTCAAGTTATGGTCCTTACACACCGGGGCCGACGCGAATGTAGAATGTGAAATTTCGAAATATTTGGAGGCGAATTTTGACGCGCTTAACTATACACATCAAGCCGATGCGATTTTGCGACTTTTGGGAAAAAGATGCATCCTGGGAAGACTTTTCCCGGGGAAGGTCCCGCCTCCTTTGCCCCTGATTGGCTAGAAAAGCTCTAGCCAATCAGAGACGAAGGAGATTAGACACTAGTGTTGAGATGTCTGTCTGTCATGATAGCATGTATTGAGTCGGGGCCAGTACCAGATAAACACATGAAACTATGGTAACAACCGTTAGCTTACATTAGCACAGATGAAAGTTAAAACAAATATGTTTAGCAAACTGTTAAAGCAACAAACCATCGTCATGTTGGATATACCGGTGAATCTGACGTTGCAACAACACGCAATCTGGTAAGAAGTAGACACACAGTATGCGAAACTTTAGAAAATTCGACCGTGATACAAAAAATAAATACCGCAATATCGCAGGACGGGAAAACGTCGCTGATGTGAACACCTGTATTGACAGGATACAGGTTCGAAAAAATATAATCGCACGACAAAAACAGTCCCGGTGTGTAAGGACCTTTACTCCGACCATATAAAAAGTTCGGACTTCATTGAAGTTTATATCTTGAAAAAAAAAACAACAAAGCAGAATCACCAGATCTGATCTGATTTCAGAACCACTTTTTTCATTGATCGACACATTTGAACTGTTCATTCAGTATTTTCATCGATCAATAGAGGCCTAATGTCAAAAATGTTAGAACTAGACCACCCTTCCTATTTGATAGGTTTGACTTGGGGCTTCGAGTCTCTTTAGTTTTGTCTCTTCTTTCATTCTTCTGTTGGAATAAAGCGTCATTATTCCTCAGCCAAAGTTGACCCCTTTGTTACCTGTCAGCACTTTTTGCTGAGGCCAGCGTCGAGCACTCTGAGCTGTTTAACACTAATGGACAATCCCTCTTGTCTTTGTGCTCAACACGCCATCTGATGTGACGTTTTGACTGACAGAGGAACCGAGCGCCAATTTGCCAGAGCTGCCTTCCGGAGCGTTCAGTGTGGAAAGACATTCATCAAAAGCTGCGTGCCCTTTTTCTTGTCTGCTTGTCATATTATCAGTGCGGTGCTGTCGGGGCCACAGGGGAGTCCATCACACCTCGTTTCAGGGTGGGCATGAGCAGATCACATGACTAAGAGGTAGAAAGGTTTAATGAAGAAGGTTCACTTTGACTCTTGCTCATTAAAAGTAAGATGTCACCAAACTTTTGTCTGAAAAAAAAAAAAAAAAAAAAGTCTGCTTGGCTCAAGAACTTTGGGTCCATTGGTGGTCATCTGAATCAGGAAGACTGGACTGGAACCAATCAATGTAAATAGCAAAATAGTCCATTTGGAGCTGCTGTCAGTTAATACGATATATTTGGTTAATATTTATGCAAAGTGTAGTGGTGGACCGATTACCCAAATGCAAAAATATACATTTTTAATGTTTCCTTAGTGGGTTCAGTGTCTTTTAGATATTAACGGTCTATTTCCAGTGTTGAAGAGCACTTTGTTGGAGCTGTTTTGAGGCTATTCAGAATCAGTGTTGTAACCTCAGTGTGCTTAAATGGCTCACCTGAATATAATAATCTGGGTCCACATGGACTTGATGCTTTAAAGGTAATAACAGCAGGCCTGGGTCCAGCAGTGTTCACCTTGATCAAACAGCGCTCAGGCCGCTGAAGACAAATAAATGTTGGCAGAGGTTTTATTCTGCACACCAGATGGATGAGCTCTGACACGTCGGATAATAACTGAGAGAGGAGGACAGAGGAGTTCAGGCAATGACAGCAGAGAATCTGAAAGTCAGTCCGAAATGATTTCTTCCTGCTGTCACATTACCTGTGAGTGATGTTTTAATGTGGATGAGTTTACCATCTGGAACAACCAGATTCACCAGGTAAGTGAATACCATTAAAAGTCCATCAAAAGTGAAAACTGGACTTTTGAATGTTAACTCTAACATTAAACTGACCATTTCTCTCCTTGTACTGCTTGAAGGGGAATTGGCTGTTTTATTTTGGGAGGAACTGATGAAACGGATGATCTACAAAAGGATTTACTGGTTTAGAAAATTCACAATTTTCAAGCAACATAAAGCAACAAGTTAAATATTCTTATGGGTGATAGGAAACCACAGAGATGGGTTTACGTGGATATTTTCTGTGCAGTACAAAAGTGACTTGGCTTAAACACATTGAGTTGAGTTCACGTAAATGGCTTTACGGACAATAGCTGCCACAATGACCACAGCCAAAACTGAATCACTATTGAAACCCACTGTGAAACAAACAAAACAATAAAAGCATATTGACTGAGCAAGCATACAACATCACCCATTGGTTTCTGAAGAAGGGTTTTGAAGCTAACCAACCTACAATCATAACTTTTACAAGGAATATGTGTTATAGCAAGACCTTGGAAAAGTCCTTTTACACCCATACCCTCAACCCTACAGGGATTTTGATTCAAACTTTTGATCACTGGATTTCCAAGCTCCATTTTCCACCAATCAAGTCCAACATTACTGGTGTATTGAGGAGACCTTAAAAATAAGAACTTTCAAAGGGTTTCCTACATGTCAAACATTGTAGCTTCTCAATTTTAATGAAGGAGAAAGTTACTTTTGTTCATTCATACATTCATAAACATGATCAGTGTCCATTCCTGAACACATCTTAATGCTGATTTTTCAAGTTATGCAATCTGACCCCCATTTCACAAGCGTAACAATGGTCCCAGCCTGGGCTCATCTACATGTATATTTTACCATAATAATGATGCATTATAATGGACAAACCGGTATGAAATTCCCCCAATAGTTTGACCAAGCTTTCATTCACAACTCTTCCAATGAACATGAACTTTCCTGCAGGTGATCACTTGTATAAAGTCATGGTTCTACCTCCTATTTAAAGGTAGTACAACAGAACAATGTCCAAACTACTTAAAATTACAAAGGTGTGCTGCATGTATGACATAGAAACAGTATCAAATCATCTGCATACAGTGGAATACACTGCTTCAACAGGCCCCAATGTGCACAAAGGTGCGAGGGTCAATTCATTACCACTTAATTGGCTTAATCGATTTTATAGCTAGACTAAACTGCAAAGAGCGAAATTGGTTTTGGTATTTCCAGTATTAAAGTGTTGTTTTTTTTACTGAAGTCCAATTTCAGACAAAAAAAATGATTGGAAATGTTGGATAAAATATCTACAATAACTAGCTACTATCACTTAATTCCATATATTTATGTGTTAACAGTCTGTTTTCAGTGTTGAAGAACACTTTGTTGAAGCTGTTTTGAGGCTTTTTGGAATCAGTGTAGTAACCTCAGTGGAAATTTTAGACAAAACGTCTACAACAACTAAAAATCCAACAGCAAAACCTTCCAACACCAAATACAACAGAACTCTGTTTACCTGCTACCAAAAGTGCGTTTGTACTTGACAACTTAAGGGTGAAAATTTGCGAAGAAAAAGTTCATTCTCAACTACTTCGTTACGTAAAAGTCAAAATTGAAATTTTCTCTTCACTGTTGTTGCTTCTGATGACTGAAGTAAAGTAGCTCTGGCATGTTTCTATTTCATTTGCCTGAACGCACACACAAAACACACACACACACACACACACACACACACTGGACGTGATTGGTTGGTGTCTTGTGAATGGATGCAGCTTATGTTCGCTGATGCTTGAATGTCCACAGCGGCGCAGCATGCAGACGACTTCTAACACACTTATCTGTTTTTTAACACCTCCAACGAGCTATTGAGTGAAACGTGGGGTCACGTGACCACGACAAGCCGATTGATAATAAACTGAAGTACCTGATTCTGTGACGTTAGAGGAGGGAGGAGAGAGAGAGAGAGAGAGAGAGAGAGAGGTGGATGGAGGCGGGTCGGAGAGGAGAGGAGAGAGAGAGAGGTCTCGCTTCTTGTCTCCTTGCTGAGGCTCTTAGATTCACTGGCAGTGGCTGAGACAACCCCACTACCGGCCACCGTCAACTCGGTAAGTCCACCTCCTCATCTTCTTCTCCTTCCTTCGCAGAATCTTTCATTTAGTTCGTTAAAACCACGTTTCCAACCTGCGAGTAAGACTAAGGAAAGTTGACGCGTAAAACTAGGGAGAAAGAGGTGGATAAAACGCTTTACTTCAGCTCGTTTTGCATCAACTCGAGCTTACTTTTTGGTGAAATCGGTATTTTTAAGTTTTAGATGAAATAGAAACATAAAAGATTTTTAAAAATTCACTTTTTGAAGCGCTCCAAACATCCTAATGGAAACTTGGGCGCTGTCCATGGTGCTGAAAGCGTCAATTCCACCAATTAATGATTTCTACGATTTCTGCTTGTAAATAAAGTTTCTTACGAACACTAATCCGACTTTAAATTTCTAATTTAGGCTCAAAACCTTCTTCTTTATGCTTCTGTCCTCAGACCAAGTTCGATTCAGATCAGCAACCCGAGAAAAGAGAAATCCCTGCAGGATTTGGGTCTCATTTGCGTCTCTGTGAAAGAGAGAAATTCTGTCTCGACCAAACTTTTACAAGAATCTGTAAGGACGACAGCAAAGCCAGAGGATGCGTTTTAACTCCGAGGAGCGTGACATCTGCCAGTCAAAGTCCGTGTTGGCGCGCAAAGGAGTACCTGCCATGAAGAAACAACAAGCCAGACGCTCCACTCGGTAAGCAGTGGAAGAGTGAGACTCAAAGGAAAAGATAGACAGAGAAGAGAGTGGAGGCCAAAGAATTAACACCAGCGCGTCCTCAAATGATGGGGATAAAGCTCCTGCTGCTGCTTTTGATTTCCTTAGACCCGCTGAATGTCCTGTGCACCTTCACCGCTAATAAAAAGAGCAAAACTCCGCCGAGGAGGAACACTAAGGTGAAGGAGGTCAACGGCAGCACCACCGCGCTCCCGCTGGCCGCCGCCGTCCCGGGGAGGATCACGCAGGTCCAGGCTCCCGCCGTCCAGCACGACACCTGCCTGGGCTACTACGACGTGAGCGGCCAGTACGACAAAGAGTTCGCGTGCAACAACACCGACCACCGCTTCTGCTGCGGCAGCTGTTTCCTGCGCTTCTGCTGCGCGGACCGAGGAAAGCGGTTGGAGCAGAGGACGTGCACCAACTACAACACCCCAGACTGGATCAAAACCCAGCCCCCTTCGCCTGCGCCCACAGGTGACACCTACGACCCGGAGTTGGACCAGACCAACACTACGGTCTACATTACGTGCGGGGTCATCGCGCTCATCATCGCCATTGGGATTTGTGCCAAAGTTGCCTATGATAAAGCAACCAAGCCACCGCAGGAGATGAACGTGCACAGGTAAACCTGCCAGCCTTTTATGTTACTGACAGTAAGCTTCACGCCCTGGTCTCACCAACATCTGCATCAAAACCTTACAACAACAAACATTTAACAACCCAGCAAAGTGTTGACTTCAAACTCAAAAGTTGGTTCACTTACAAGCTTTGGAAAAAACAAAACAAAACAAAACAAAAAAACTTGGGAAAATCCGTCTGCCTCCCTCATATGACTAAAAGTGTGCCCCAAACCCTCTGTAAGTGACTGACACTTAAAATTAGTATGCCAAAGACATGAATTACCACATGCTGACTTCATTTTGGTGCTTTGACAGGGCTGCCGAGCAACACCAATACTTTTGCATTAATTTGGTTTAGACAGGCTCGAACCAATGGCACGGCGGTGACTGATAATAATGTCTTAAAAAATCAGAAGGAGGTGATAGATCATTAGGAGTGAGACCATAAAATATAGTCCTCTGGGTGTGTTTGATGCTACTAGTGCTGAAAACTGATAAACTCCATTGATATGTGCCGAGCACATGGCTTCATTCTGTAAAAGTACACAGTGTGCCGGTCTGTCAGCATTAAGTGGGCCAGCATGATGTTTAATGATACTGACCCTTATATTCCAGGAGATGTCGAGTGTTTCTCTGCATCCTTCCGGTATCGTCTTACTGAGAAAAAAAGCTCTTGTATTTATCTTCAGTTAGAACAGAATCGGGCTGACATAAACAGTGGACTACTGTCGCATAACTCTGCAAAGATGCTTATCAAATACAGCAGGGAGGTCGCTGTCCTTATGATGATCTGGATACCCGTTTATACTCGGCTTTGCTTAAGTTTGGCTGTCAAATCAATTGATGTTGAAACTTATGTTTGGTGTTTCTATAAAAAAGACAAGGTTTTAATGTTGCATATGTAAAAATAAATGGCTTGCAGGTCGATATCTGTAATAGGTTGCCCAATAGGTAATGGTTACATGAAGCCCACCATCTTTAATTGAGTTTCTGATCACTCGTTCTACTTTTTATATTTGAACAAACTCTGCCAAAGGTTTTAGTTCAGCCCAACATTACTCTGTGTATTGGAGACACTGAAAGAACTAAAGTTATGAAAGTATTTTTCTGCATGGCTAAATGTGTGGCCGTGCAAGCTCGTTGAACTTTGGTATTTTGCCAAAAAACTAATCAATATTGCTATTGTTCATGCAACCTTTAATCTCTTTCAAATGTCATATTCATGATTAATGTCCATCTCTGATCACACCTATGTGCTTATTTTCCATTTACTGTCTGATCTATTCCAAATTGTGCTGGTTTTATGTTGGTCACAGGCTAAACCCATCTGCTTATACACATGCCATAGTTACAGTGTCACCTACTGGATGCATGTGGTATAAAGTCCCATAAAGAGTTTGAAAAAGCTGTCAATCATAACTCTTCACCAAAATATGGTGAAGAATTTCGTTCTTTGTCTTGACAATTAACAGATGTTGGCTATGTATTATTTCCTCTAATGACACTAATCTCTCTAATCTAATATTTAAAGACCCACTCCAACGTAAATCATGTTTTTCTTCAAGTCTACATGTTCATATGGCATTTGTCTGATGCTTCAGGACATATCATGAGAAAAATAAGTGCCAAATTGAATTTCTGAGTATTTCTGCATTCAAATCACTGTGAACCTCTGGCAGACCCCAAACGGCAAGTCCAGACACAGTGAGATTTCCCACGTCACAACTGCAAGTGCTACGCAGGTCAGACTCGGAGAAATAGAAAGGACAATCGTGGAACAAGCGTGTGCGGTTAGCAGATTGCAATGCTTGTAAGAAAGCGAATCATGATATTGGCTTTCATCATGTCCCCAAAGACATTAGTGTCTGAGAGTTGAATAGCTGCTATGTTACCTGCCACTTCCACTACACCGGAAATGTTAGGCTAAAAGCTAGTGTGAAGAGGAGGTTGCAGAGAAGCAATGTCTCCGCCCATGATACTGGAGCTCTGCAGGAGAAAAGCCCTTGAAAATGACACAGGTAACTTGATTTTGGCCAAATAAAAAAAACAACAAAAAAAAAACAAAACTTTGTATTCACAATTTAAAGACCACTGAGAACACTTTCAGTAGTAAAAAAAAAAAAGACAATTGGAGTGGGACTTTAAAGGTCCTTTTACCTGCAGTAGTTCACAAGAGAAAAAAAAACACGAAACGGTCAAAAATTCAGGCACTCAGATAGAAGTCAAGTATCTGATACTCAATATGAAGATGGTTTCTGTAGAAGTTGCAGCAGCACTTCATAGTCAAACATTCGGATTGTTAATTTTTGATCAATCGGAAATAACTGGATGGCTCATGAGGCAATGTCTGAGCTGCACAGCCCATAAAAAGCTTTTAAACAGTACCCAAAGACTTATACTTGAAGTTTCAAATTGCAGTGGTACCTGGGAGTACTAAACAGCAGCAGAGAGAAACATAGTGAAATGTAGCCTGTCAGATTGTATTTAAAATCACTTTCTTCTGTTAACTGTGAATGCATCCTTCAGACACAGCTAGTTTATACTTGTGTGTAACATACAGCCTCTCTATCATGAGTTCACAAAGGTTCATGACCTTTAGCACATGCCATTACTCTCCTCCCCAGAGCTGTCCAGTCAAAAAATGTCAACATTGAATACTCCTCTCATTCTGTGTGGGTCCCAGCAGAGGGGGATGGGTGGTATTTGGTGTCCCCAGAGGGTTTGAGTAAATGCCACTGAAAGCCATAATGACTGATTGTCCTGATATGAGTGTTTGCCTCTATATTGACAGTATTTTCAGGTCCCCAGGGCAGGGTGCTGTTAGTGGTCAGTGAATTGCTCGATGAGCATAAAAGAAGCATAAAAAAACACATCCTGTGGCTGTTTCAGCCATCAGTTTAACAAACAGCTGTATGCAGTGTGTTTTTAGACCCCGTAAAGCACAATTGAATTCATAAATGTTGGCTGTTATTTTTTATTTTTAGTACTTTCTGCACTTGTGTCCTGGAACAAACCTCCCAGAAAGCTCTCTGAGGTTGGTATGAGTTTTTTTTTTTTTCCTCTGTAGATTGATGCTGTTTTATGACTCTGGAAAACTGCTGGTCTCTTAAATTGGATCCATGTTAGTACCAGGAGATTTAAGCTCTGCCGTAATGGCACAAATATTTCAGTCAAGTCCATCCAGGCAGCCAAGGGGAAATGTTAAGTGTTTGTGAAAGTCAAGTTTGAGAGAAAAAAATCTCATTGGCCTCCCTGCAACCAACTGAGGTTAATTTTTAACAGTTGGTTGCAGTATACTGTGTATTATCTGTATATAGATACTCCTGACATTGCTTCAAAAACCTCTTTTTTTAATTTGACAAAGTGTTTTAGGGACCCTCAGCATTTGTTAGAGGGTCTTATTTCGCGACAGTTGTAAGGTTCCCTTTGACTCAACTGAATAAGACTGAATCAAATTACCCTTTTATGTTTTTATTGATCAAGAAAGCCTGAAAAGTATTAAACAGTCTGTTGTCTTCCACTGTAAAACTGATTAGCCAATGTCTGTGCACCTGTAGGTGTTGGTAAGAGATATAATTTTGCCCCTGTGTTAAATCAAGGAACTTTCGCCTCTGTTTGAGGATTGTGCAAAGGGAATCTTTAGGGTCTGTTTTCTCATGGATTTGCAGAAGATGAGATCTGTTTTTGGGAAGTTTTCAGGGTCTGTTTCTTTATTTGTCCATGATATGCTCAGGTCTGTTTTTAACTATCATGTAGCATCTTTGCAAAGATTGCCTTGATGTCTAATCTAACACCAAAAGTCTTTGATTAATGAAGTTGGTTAATCATCTTACTAGTGAACTGTGTTCTGTTTTAAGCCTCCCATTAAATATCTATTGAGATCTGTTTTCTTTCTTTCAGATTAAAGGTAAGATCGCTGCCTAAGTACTTATTAAGAGTATGATCAAGGTCTGTGTAAAGGACTCTCAAAACTGTCATTTAGAAGTTTGTTTTCTATCACTAAAAATGTGATTTAGTCTGTTTTATGGTGCCCTTATCGTTTGTTAGAGGGTGCCAGTTTGCATCACTTGTACCCTCTAGTGTATCCGTAATATCTGTTTCAAAGACTAGTTTCTACTTTATTTTCATATGGTTGGGTCTGTATTCAGGGACCATTAAGTGTCCTAAAGTGCAATTTTAGATTGCAAAAAACAAGCAAAGTCCTACCTGGTCAAGTTTGTAAAACTCAGACAGTAAACTGTGATAATATCTTGATTTTAACTTTTGGACTCAAAAATCTTTAACCTGAGTGAAATGTTTTTGTTTTTGATCATGTTAGACGCCTAATAGTTCTCTTCTTGTGGTAAGATACAAAATGGCGCGATGATACATGAGATGTGCTAATTATAGTAGATATTTCCATAAGTGTCATGGCAAACAGTGAGCGGGAACAGTCTGTTCCATGTTCTGTAAGCCTGGGTAATAACTACCCAGGTATTCTTTTGTGTGGTACGTGCTGGAAGGCTCTCCATCCCCACTGCAGCAAGCGATGAAAATGTATAAAGGGATAAATAGATTTTTATCTGGGGTTAGGTCTAAATGGAATTGCACGATTCCTATCCACTGGCGAAAAAAAATAAAATCGCTCGGAGTTAGTCATAGCTCTTACCCAGGAGTCACTTGAGTCACCTGTGATTATCAGGAGTCTGTTGGATGGAGCAGAGGAGGAAGCCTGGCATTGACTTATAGATATGAAGATAATTGTGCATTGTTAAGCCTTGGTCATTCAACTTTGGCACCTGCTGCTTTGGAAATGTCGAGGCAGATTACTCAGCTTCAGAAAAACACTCTGACATGTTCCTGCTAAAGTCTTTTTTTCTCCTCAGTATTTCCTGCTCTGACAACAACACAAAGGAGCTCCTTCAGTAGATCAGGAATAGATTAAATTTAAGCTCCACTGATTGCTCTAAGTGTCTTTTCAAAATTTCAGCACAGTCAGCTTTTTAATATCTCTGTATGGACTCATGAGACTTTCTAATACTGTGTTTGAAACAACAAAAGCTCATGATGCAGCACTTTTCCCATCTCTGCTTTGAGAACTGAAGTAATGATGAAGTTTTAAGTCTTCCTGTCCTTGCCATGGGGCGTACATTCAAGTGCTCAATGCCATCAATATGAGCAGTATCCACAAGAGATTAGAGTGGCTGATTGAATAAGAAGGCATGCTTTACTAAGTGCTCAATGATGGTTTTTCTTTTATTTATATTTCTTGGCTCATGGAGCTGTTATAATGATGTCTGCTGGAATAGACTTGGGAGTCTGGCAGCAGACACCCACACTGACAAACCATGACCGAAAAGAAGAGGTGGAACATGGGATTAGCTTTATATTTGGCAAGGGTCTGCTCCCCCTGAAATGGTGGAGTTTCTGTGTAAATTTCCAGGGCTTCTTTAATGTAATTTAGACTCTACCTCTGCGGCTGAGGGGGAGGAAAGTGAGCAGAATACTGAGCTGTTGGCAGACCTTTGCTGTTTGGTCTGTGACCTTCACCGAAACACAAGAAATGTGGAGTGAGAGCTAAAGCCAGTGATTTGAACAGGCGGTATTGATCAACTTCTGCAGTGCAAACCAATTTATGCCAGCTAGGTGGTGAGAATAATGCTTTGTTTTCCAATCGCAGGACTGAAAGGCTGAGTTATAAAGCCAAGGTGTGGTATACGGGCAAAAACAACAGAGGAATATTAGAAAGTTAGAGTCAAAGTTTGGAAACGGAATATTTTCTCTGGTTTACAGCCAATATTTTCGGGCGATTTAAGTTTATGGCAGAAATGCTGGTAAAAGCAGATATTCTGAACAGCATAAAACAAGAAACTGCTGAATGGCAGTGCAGGATACATATTTTAGGGAATAAAAGTTATTGTTTGTCCATCTAACAGTTTGGCCTGTTGATATGCATTAAGCTTGGGTATGTTATTTTTATTATATCGATATCTATAATTCCCATATAAAGAACTGCTGCAGTTTTCCTCCAATGGTAACCAGCTCAATTGCTGTCATATATTTCACTACTGTTGGACCAGTGTGCAAATTCTTCAAATGAAAGAGGTGTGAGAGATCCTTGTAAATTTAATGTTTTGAGATTGATCAACAGCTGATAGTGATAGTGAAAATCTGGTGCGACTTTGGGGTCATAGTTCAAGTTAAAGGATGTATTTGATGACCAAATGATTACAACAAAAGGTGGGGTTAATCATAAAAGATTCAGGATCAGTCCAAAGACACGCTCGCTGAGTTTAATGATGACTATATTGCCTGTTGGTGTGAGTGTGTCTATGTCTCCATGTTAGTTGTATGATACACTAGCACCTTTTTCAGCTGCACCCACCAGGGTTAAATACAACCAGGGGTGGAAGTAAACCGAAACGAAGCGGTACGCGGTACCGGGAAGATGAGAATCTCCCTTCTAACTCAGTAAGTCCACATGACACAAAATCGAAACTCTCGTACAAAACCGCGGACATTTGAAGATTTTGTAAACTTTCCCAGACACAGCCGCCAAGCCCGGACAGCCCCCCAAAAGAGGACATGTCCGGGTAAAAGAGGACGAATGGTCACCCTATCAAACAGCAGTTTTACAGCCGGTACGCAGCGGTAAGCCGTACCGGGAAGACTTACACAGCAGTTTACAGCCGCAAACTTTCCCCCCCTGCAATGTCTGTAGGCTACATTTGCTTACCGTGTTGCCGCACGTCAGTCTGTTCTCTGCGTTGTAACCGTAGTAATCCAATAGGTCCATGCTGCTTGCGAGTGAGTCGTATTTGTTTCCGCAAACAAACTAACACCGGAAGTTGGAACGCTTAATGCGCACTTTTGATTGGACGCTGGTTGCCTTGGCGCTGTGGATCGTCTTCCGCCTTTTGTGGAAGGCGGGAACTTCTAAAGAGACGTCTGCTTCAATCTTAATGCGGAAATAAAACAAAACGCGGAGAAAAATCGATTTTGTGTTCAAGAGAAAGAGAGCTGCAGCAGATGATGATACTGTGGCATAAGAGCAAGTTGAGGAGCAGAGGGGGGAAGCAGCAAAGTTACCAGGAGTGGGTAAGCTACAGACAAATGGCTGATAATGTTACTGTTTTAGAACAACAGGAGGTTGCAATATGAATCTTTTCATTTGTATCTAAGTACAGGTGTAGCTCAACCTGCAAGAACCTTATCCTACTTTCACCCCTGAATACAACAGATGTGATGACCCTTAATGGGATAAGCAGTATGAACACTTGATAAATGGTTTTGGTCTTTTGGTGGTTTAGAATATTCATCTCCAACTTATTGATAAAGTGAGCCTTTTTAATCTTACATAACTTTTTGTTGCTGATGCAGATTCCTGTTTCTCTGTACATCAGTTCAACTGTTAAAGTGGCGTTCCCCAGGGATCCTTTCTTGGCTCATTGCTGTTTACATTCCCCCCAACCCTACTCCATAGTATGCGAAACGCTCTTTGATTTGACGTTGTTTTTAAATCCTTTTGCCCACATTCAATCGTCAGATCAGACGATGAGGATCTCCTCATTCTCAGCTCTCTGATTATGACAAATGGTGACGCGGCCTTTGCATTATTAGTGTCTCTTGAGTTAAAGAACACTCAACTTGCTATCTTGACACAGTCTTATGAGAATGCATTTGTCAATATTTAATTCGTCTGCCTTTTTTCCATCCACTATTAACATTATTCTTTTATATTTCTTCTTTTAGTCCTTTCTTACCAAAATAACTGCGAGTATTTTCATCAGTTTGATTTAATTCAGCTTAAATATGGATAACGGTTTTACATACAGCCTGTTGTCTGTCTCTAAGCAAATAAGTAAAATTAGTATTATATTTTCTTGGCCGAATCTTGGTCAGTCTTCCTAAAACACATGTTAAAAGTCTACACTGTCTCAGCAAACTACTTCAGCTGAAACTACATCAGCCAACTAGGACGATTCAAACCAGGTCGCCTCCATCTGTGTAAAGAAAACGGCTAAAGAGTGCTCATCCTGGAAGGGAGATGCTATTAATATACAGCAGATCTCCCAAAGTCACTGAGTTAGGGAAAATAGTGGCTGCTTTAGGTTGACATTGACACACTTAAATAGCGGTTTCACTTCCTTTAAGACGATGCAGATTTGTTTCTTCATCATAGAGAGTCTCCAAAAGCAGCAAATACTGTGAAAAGCTGCTTTTATTTGCAGCTTGAAGCAGGACGGTAATGTAACTTGTAATAAATGGGCTTTGAGCTGCAGTTGGACACTTAAATAGGACTCTGCTGTACCTTGTGTACCACGCTATTGAAAATCTAACGCCCCTTGTGACTCTGGCTGTAATTAGGATTTCCTCTGCATGGCTCCCGACCTCTTTGATTCAAATTGGAGCTGTGGCTAAATGAATTAGAAGGACCTTAAGGGGGATTGTGAGCTGTAAAAAAGGAGAAAATGTTGGTAATTGGAAAACATTTAGGTTTACTTTTTTTTTCATTTGTGTGGTTTCTTTTCAGAGCCCTGGCTGACATCCTGAGGCAACAAGGACCCGTTCCAATATCTCAGTTTGAACATGAAAACATTGCAGCCATCGATGGGTCGCCCAAAGACGAGACACCCGTCAGGACTTCGAAGAATCATTACACACCTGTTCACTCCAACCACGGTGAGTGATACCGCTCTGCCTCCTCAGAAACAGCCTCCTACATATACCCATGTAGAGATCCCGCTTCTATATTTCTCGCTTCATTATCTGCCAAGACATTTGATTGACATGCACGGGAATACATGCACATTCTGGGATTGAAAGGCTTTTCCTTCAATCTTTCTTAAGAGGAAATATACAGTAAAAGGAAAATGCACAGTAAATTAAAAGCACTCATGCCCAGGCTGAGCCCTCATCTCCCTCGTGCCGCAGTCCCATAAGCCTACTCAGCATTGGCTCGAAATTAGGATGCAAATTATCATCATATTCTTCTGCTGAGCTCTTTGTCCGGAGATAATTCTGTCGTGCCACGCTGTTCCTCCTACTTTTATCCGCCGGTCTCCAGATCCCAGCTCCAGGGATCAGCCCGTTCGTTCGTTAAGTGCCCCAGTATGGTGTCCCAGATTCAACAGTGTTATGTTTCACTCTAGTGTCACCCTGCCTCCAACCCTCTCCTCCAACACCGCCATGTCCAGCAGTGCTACTCAACATGGACAAGGTGGTGTTGGAGGATGTTCTCGCAGCAAAAACGTGAGCTTGTCTCCTCGTGTTTCTGTCATGGATAGTTCAAGTCTTGGAGAGATTACTGCCCAGCTGATGGAGGTTCTTGTTCCTCCAGAGAAAAGGAGATTAAGCCAACCATCATGTCCTCAATGATCTTCACTTTGTTTGGCATTATTGTCATTTATAGAATTATCATGGTCAGATAATTAATGTCCCCTCTCTAACATCTATCAGTAACTTTTGCAGCTGAAACTTGGAGAGTCGGAAGGAAATGGTCATAGAGTGCAATTGGGTTTTAAAACCAGATCTGAACCATGCAAAGTTTCAAAACATGAGATACTAAGATGGCGGCGGAATACCCAAGACGTGGCCAGAGCCTGATATCAGGTTGTGCCGTCCTATCAGGTCAAGGGTGAGCTCTGTCAAAGACACTCACACCTGGAAGCTGCCAGTCTGTATGACTGCTTGTCTTTTGCCTTGGCTCTGCCCTTTGCTTATAAAGTCTCTCTTGGAAAGTTGCTCATAGGCATTCTTTTGGAAAGTCTCAGCTATTTTACCTTCCCATTGAGGAAGGCTCCAGAAAACAGTGGAAAGCTTGGAGGCTTTTAGGACAACAACAGCCACAACATAGTTGTTCGTGCTCACCACTTCACTGATGATGCCTTTTGTAAACAAAAGCCAGTATGAGCTGGATTTGAGTTTCAGCCGTTGCTGAAACCTGGAGCTGCTCATGTAGAGAGACCTTCATGAAACTCAGAGACACATTACTACAGCACATTATGGGGCTTTAACTGACTTAAGCAAACAGGACAACGTGGGGAGCTAAGTGGGCTCTAACAGCCTCAGACATTTTCTTCAACAGCATAACTTAAGTTACTCCCCTGGCTATGAAGCTGTGTAAAAAGTAACACCCTAAGCTGTGCCTAACTTTGTATTTCCCATTATGACTTAAATTTCCATTTGTTTCACTCCTTCATTGCTGTGTAAAAAGTAACACCTCTTAGCTGTGTCACGCTTTCTATCAGTGGAAAAGCAGCAAAATTGAAGTGTTTCAGACTGAGGTGTAATCATGCCTTAATGATGGTTTTCATAGATGCTGGTAAGAGATAAATAAGGAGGTTTCAAAGCAGCTGGTTTCTCACCATCCCAGCTTGACACACTGAAAGGTGAAAATGAGTTCAATAGGTTGACTTCTAAAAGTACTCTAAAATAGTCATGATCTCAATCCCCTGATTGAATGTCATGTGCTTTTGCTATCCCCACCCTACCTTGAGATTTTCCAATTGCGCAGACATGAATAATACATCCATTTGTAACACAACATTAATTTTTCAGCGAGAGTTGCACGAACAGCGGGCACCAAAAAATCAGAGTAAATCATTAGGTTTATGGGTCAGAAGTGGATAAATCTTGTTGTAAAAACTGTTCATCACTGAAATACCTTTTTTTCCAGTTTAAGCTTTTATTGAATAAACCTCAGAAAGCAGAGCAGAAACCTCCAGGTAGACACTCAATGATTGCAAAGATATGGCCCAAGTGCTGGGCAAGAAAATCTGGAGAGGCACAAATTTATTAAGAGACAAGAGACACGTTTGAGCACGGAGGGAGAATTAAGGTCAAAAATCTGCTTATAGAAATCTTAAAATCTTGTAATTTCATAGTCAAAACTTTGCAGAGTAACCTTTTTTCCCTTTACTTAATCTGAAGTAGATGCATGACTTTTAATGACACTTTAACACTTTCTTCTCAGTTTTTCTTAAGGGAGAAACATGAGAGAAAAATCAAATGTCAGGTCGTGGTTAAGTCCCTAGGAAGTCTAGCAGAAGCAGGGGACGTTGAAATGCAACAGCAGGATTTTGAGGTTAAGTGTTACAAAATCTAACCATGAAATCAATCAGTAAAAGCCTCAAAGTGTTTGATCAATCGTATAAAGGTAGAAAAATCCACCTAGGACAGCCCAGAGTCCTTTTTCTATCAAGACTATTTTGCAGGCAGCATTGTGCTTACTAGTGGGCAAAATTGAGGGCATCCACAGGGGGCCACAGCTCAATTTCGTCTCAAGGTGAGCTGGCCTGCTAATCCGACCCTGAGCCCCACTTTAAGGAACTTAAACTTCCTCCAGAGAAAAAAATACATGAAAGAAGACACAGAGCAAAATCTGGGCCTAAACCAAAAACACGTGCAGGATTTATCCTCTTTCACATCTTGTTTGTAAAAGAGACGTATGCAAAAGGGCTCCCTAAAACAAAGAGAAGCAAAGTCTTGATGCAAAAGTGTGGCTTAGATTTAACTTTGCTGCATTTGCATGATTTGTTTTTGCAATTAGGGATTTTTTTGTGCAGTTATGAATCCCTCTTGTGGCATTTGTAGCAGAAATGTGAGCACGGCTTGTACATTTTGAAGTGCTTCAAGACCCAAGAGGCTTCCGCATAAAAATAACTCCAAAGCGTTTCAGATAATTGCTAATAGAGCAATGTTCAAATGTAGAGTCAAACCTAATAAAGATTTAAACTAGTTGTAACTACTGAATTCAGTTCTCTCTGCAGGCCACAGTGCATCTAAGCATCTCTTAGTACAAACACAGAGTAGTGATTACTCCTCTGAGTGATTCACAAAGCCACACACTGTTATTTTGTTCTTGATATGATGCCGCCCACAGAAAAGATGTCTTCATTGTCCAACCTGTGTCATATCAGCCTCTCATTGTGTGCCGGCTGAGGAGTAACAGGACGTCACAGTGCAGGGGTGACTGCTTTTGAATGAAGACAGATTCAGAGAGGGTGTATGAGAAGGGATGGAGGCACTCCAGGGGAGACGTGACTCACATTTATGACAATTTTATGACAACCGTGAATTACAGAGATTTTTATTTTTTTAAAGTAAAGGAATGGTCCAAGTCATCAGGTCTATTATAGATGTGTCATGCCTTCAGCTTGAGGTGTTTGGCTCAGTCTATTTGGACATTTTTCAGAATTAACTCTGCTTTGCTTTGTGCAGAATGTGTGGTTTGACATTGTCCTGCTAAAAATATGACGGTCTTGAAAAAGTCATTGTCTGCATGGCAGCATATTTTGCCAGTGTTCAGCATTAATGGAGCCTTTACAGATGTGTGATGATTCCCGTACCATCAGGAAGGCTGGCTTTGAACTAGAGGCTGAACCGAGTGGACCCTCCTTATCTATAAAATGCAAGAAATGTCAACCACGGTCTCTACAAAGAATGTAATATTACAGATTCTGGATCATGTTTATATCTGTTTTCCTCTTTGCATGGTTTAGATTAACACTGGATTTATGGATGCAGTGATGAACAGTGTTTTTGAAAGTAATTTTGAGCCCATGCAGTGATTTCCACTTCAGAGCTATGTCAGTTTTTAATGCAGTGCTGAAACGTATTATTTGCATCATATTGACGATAAACACCTTTCATAAAATGTAAAATTTTGATGGTTTCAACATTTCTTATGTTATCTTCGCACAATTCAATTAAGGACTTAAATGATTTTAAACCGTTAAAATATGTTCTGGTATTCAGAAACACAATCAAATAAAAGAAACATCCACAGGATATTTTGAGGACAGTTGGCAGCAAAGAGAAAATAGAGAAAATAATGTAGCAGATAATATAAGACATTTTATATGTGCTCCTTTTTACACAATCAGATCTAGAATCCCTATTCTGTGCTCAATAGATTAAAAACAAAACAAAACTAGAAATTAATTAATAAATGAATCAAGCCAAAATTTCATTCATTGTCAGTCTTGTGCCAAAACAGCAGAGTTGATCACAAACAGCCTGCTGACTGATAGAAATAGTGAATATCCAGATCAAATCACCAACACTAGCTGTATGCAGCTTAAATATTCTTTACTTAATGTTCCAGAAGAGGTATTAAACCTCAGTGTGAGGCCGTTGAACTCTCATCTGAGGGCGGGGCTTCTTCAGAGCTGTCCTAAAGGAAGAATTATCACCTCAATATCCCAGAGTTGTGTGACTTCCTTTCATTTTCTGCTCTGAAGTTTGTACGATATTGTGAAAATTGGCAACAAATGCCTCCTACAGTCTGCAGACAGAGACTGGAATCATCTCTGTGGGACACTCACAGCATCGAGATGCATTCTGAGTCATAAAAACCTGCAGATGTTGTCTATAAAATGAGATTAGAGCAGTTTTTGGGATGATATTTTGGAAGCATGACATCATGTGGTTGATGCTGATGAGTCTGGAGGTGTCAGTCTGCCTGAAGGATTACACTTAGAGGCTGTTTGTGTTCATATTTTACAAAGTGAAAGCTGCTCCAAACATATGCCTTCATTTAATTGCTGCCATCAGTTTATTTGACGGATAGTGTGGACGTCATGGCCATATGTATGTGGACACTGGGTTTAACATGTTATTCTAAATCTGCTAAACTACTGCTGTAACACTCTTCTGTGGTGTCTCGAAGAAAAATATCAGATATTTAAGTTTAATAGATTTGCTATTTCTTGGCCTGCCTTCAGATTATCACATATATATACAGTATATATACGTGGTTATGTACAGTCTGGTTCTCCGTTGATGGTTTGGACCCATCTACAGCAGAGTAAAGAGTCTCATCTTGAGTAAAAACATGTCTGAATCCTGCTAGAGCTTTATGAACCTGCTAAATGAGCCAAAACAGACAGACAGAGAGAGAAAAAAAGGAAGTAATCAGAGAGAACCAGAGTTTTGTGTGAGTCCTGAGTTCAGTCAGATGCTGAACACACACACACACACACACACACACACACACACACACACACACACACACACACACACACACACACACACACACACACACACACACACACACACTCTCTCTCCCACAGACACAGTTGGTGTGTCTGGTGTAAACCAAGTCAACAGTCATTGTACTGGACCAACTGTCAGCGACATTTGGACGATGCAGCGAGCAGACAAACAATCCAGCAGACATGAAACATAAAGCAAGATTTTTCAGTTAGAAATAAAGTGTCACACCTCAGGAAAAACATATATAATTCAACATAGACTGATTAAATTGAACTTTTGGAGCAGTGATCAAGTCTCACAACATCAGACTTACACCCAAGAGACTGTGGTAGGTCCAGTTTAAGACCAGATACTGTTGTCTCATCTGGATCAAGACCACAGAATGTGTAAAGAATGGACAGCGTCTGCGTCCTCGCTGGGTAAAGCCACTCCGAGAACAGCACCCTCTGTTGACGGGCTGCAGTATAGGTCATCAATCCCGCCTCCGCCAGCAAAGCTTATGGAGCTGTGGACAAACTTTAGAAATTTATTACGCAGAATATAAAATTTTCTCCCCCCTGGTTGCGATGTTGACATGTAGTTATTGTAAAACTGGTTTGTGCTCAAGTCCTCTTTTTTCTGTAAAGCTCTATTTTTAAAAGTTATTACGAGGTTCATGTTTTCTTTGATTGACACCTGATACAGCCTATGGGCGTTAAGGAATTGCGTAGCTTGCCCGGGGGATACGCTGTTTGAGCTGAGCGTCATCACAGCGACTCTCAGCGATTCTCCCGTTGCATGCGTACAACGCTACTGTGCAATGCTGATTTCAGGAAATGAAGAAAATCGCGGAAATACCGAGAGCTTTTTGGCTTCAAATCTGTATACAGGCGGAAGGCGGAACCAAGTTGTCCGTAGTATATACAGTCTATGATCAAGACTTTTGGAGGCAGTTTGTTTGTTTTATCCTCAGAAAACAATCTAGGTAGTGCATTTTATTCCACAAGCGGTCCCTGCTTGAAGTGTATAATTCAGAAAGTACAGGACTGTTGTTCAGTCCCTAATGTTACTTGTTGGTCAAGATTAAGATTAAGATTGGAATTAAATAAAATATCAGATTTTTGCTGGGCTAATCTACCTCGACTTCGATAAGTGCAGTTCACACATCTCCTTGTTGTTTACTACAACCATTAAGAGTTAAAACTCCACTTGTTATTGTCATCATCTCTTTTTCTGCATGAGCGAGAGCAGAAATGTGAACACTTGAGTCACTAATTTGATGACTGTTTACTTTTCCCTCAAGGCCAATTCAAAAGTGACGCTGCGCTTTGTTCCCTTCTGTCAGGAGGTTTGAGATTTATCTCAGGAATAAAACACTCTGCCCTTCATTCATGATGAAAAGCTTTAATAGAGTGCTTCTTCTTTTTACAGACATGTTAGATCCTTTTTCATTATGCAGAGCAGATAAGGCAGTTTTGAGGAACATTTCCTGAGATAATAACAGGCTATAGGCTCGCACTGCCTCATGGGAACAGTTTATCTCACAGTCAGCATCTTCAGATCCCTGATTTCAGCTCCATGGTGCTGTCCTTGGGGTATGCAGGGGTTATGAATCATCAAAGTTTCACCCTGGGAGACATCATATAGATATAAAGTACTGTATCATCTGCATAGAGGCGGAACTGCACTGTTTAAACTGCAGAGAAAGACGCTCATTTCTGTCTTTGGATCCCACATTAACAGAGCTGGTCAGGCTGTTAGTCATCCGCTTATTTTCTTCCTCTTAAAGGAAACATTTGAGTCACGCCGCTGATGCCCAAGTATCAAATTCTGGTGTGATGAGGAGCAGGCCTTATGGTCTAGGTGTTTCATCTCATATTAATGATTTGAAACGCTGTTAAATCCCTGCTTTTAAGGCCCAAAGCTCAGAGTGATGATTCTGACTTTGAAGTGGTCTCTTTAAGAAAGTGTTTAAGAAAGATCAAGAGGACAAATTTGATAAACTAACTCTTCAAATTTTGTTCTACTCAATACGACACCCTTTATTTCTTTGTAGGACTGGTCTGTGATTGACAGGACGGTTGTATTTTGTTGGCGCGCTTGCTTGTATCTTGTCTCACTCCCGTGTACCGAGTCAATTCCCTCACTTACAGCAGAGGTTGGGAGCAGAGCTAACACTGCTGAGGTACAAATTAAATCACAGACTGATAGTGAACTCAGAGGTGAGAACTTAAACTATTCTGGCATCCTCAAAGATGGGGGTGAAATCAATTGTCAAACCATGTTGATCAAGTCCAATTATCCTGACTCCAAAGAGCAGACAACATCGCTGTGAGCATGGAGAAACAGAGGACGTGATTGAAAAATTAGTGACATAAAATCCATCAAACTTTTAGACTGTATCCCAGATATCCTTTAACTTGGGTGACCATATGTAGTCTTTTACCTGGACATGTGCTCTTTTTTTAGGGGCTTTCTGGGCTTGTCTAGGTAGTTTAAAAAATCCTTCAAATGTCCACGGTTTTGTACGGAAGTTTCAAGTTTGGGTTACGAGGACTTACTGCATTAGAAGCACGTAAAAGACACTCGATCCGAGCCGAAAAACTTTAAAAATTAACTTTGTGCGACTCCGTGACTGTGCCCCTGCGTAGTCATGCCCCTTTTTGGGAAGTCAGAATATGGTCACCCTACTTTAACAAACACATGGTTGCACCTGAGATACAGTTTGGGGCTTTTGAAAACCTCTTAGGCACCTTAATAAAAGCTGACCCTTACAATAGTGGTATATTGAGGAAGCTGAAAGTGAAAATGAATTTTATAATGGGACAGAGAGTTTGGAGATGCACTTTCCTCACTCGTCTTCGTCCTTTGTGGTACTGCTATTGGTATCAGACTGATCAATGGATGCCAGAAGATGAGGGCAATCTCCTCACACATCTGCCTCACTTGCAGCTCTGCAAGCCTTGAAAACTGGAGCTGCTTAAAGGGATATTCTGGCGTAAAATTAATTTAGGGTCAACACAGAGTTAGACACCCCTTCGAGGGATGAATGTTGCCGAACCACTTGCTTCTTTAGTTATACCAACTTTAGTTACGACCCCAGATAGCAATACACAGCGGTCTGAGGAGCCAAACACAAACATCAACCAAAACGCCACTCTATAGCCACAAATAATGCTGAGAACAGCACCTAACTTCATCAACAGTACACACAGGGTCCCTTTAACTTGCAAAATCTTGCAAAAAGTTATCAAAGTTTAACTCTCCAAAAGTCACCTTACTCTCATTTTGTTCTCTGTACATAACTTTGCATATTTGTTTCAGTGACATTTGTTTGTAAAACGACTCTGCAGAGAAGATGATTAATGAACCATTATCTGAATGCTGCACACAAATAAAACACTGAAAAATGTTTTTTTTTTTCTCGATTTATTTATCACAAGGGCACTATGGGAAAGAAAACCTACGCAGTGGAGGCCAGGACATGCACAACTTCATCTCCTCTGGGTTTGTGACACTCGGACGAGGCCACTTGAAAGGTACAGTCCATCTTTTTAATCTGTTTCCCACTTCAAATTCCTCTGGAGAACACGATCAGAATAACCATCTTTCACTCTCAGAGCTACTGCGTCATGCTGTCATTGTGTTTCTGCCAAAGACAAAAAACTGTGACTTTAGTTTCGGCTCAGTGGAAGTTAGACATCACAATTCATAATGGCTTGAAGTGACATCTTGCACAAGTCCACACACATTTATTATCTATGATTAAATCCTCACTTCCAACTACAAAGTCACACTTGGTAGGCAGCCGGTGTGAGTGCAGCACAGCACAGCATAGCCGAACATTTTTTACACACAGTGTTGTCTTTCTTTGGAGTTTGAATAAATCAGAAGTGTTGTCTGAGTGAGAATGAGCTGTAAACAAGAGGCCTGTTGTCGTGTGTTTTTACAGCGCAGCACTCCATAGACGAATCAGGGCAGGTGTCCTGGCAGGGCGACCTGGACATCCCCCTCTCCTACGGTACGTTCCTCTAAACGTTCTGCTTTAGAAGCCACATGACCTGCTTTCTGCCTGCACCTGATAAGAAAGGACACACACACACACACACACACACTTGCAGACCAGTCGAGTGCACTTGGCTCATGACTGCAGCAAGAGTGCCAGAGTTGCTTTTATTTTATTCATATTTTTCAGTCCATGGATTTCCTGCCAAAATATCTCAACTGGTGGTTTGTAGATGGCTTTGAATGGATGCTGTACAGTGCAAAATCATTAATAGGACTTCTATGGACAGGTGGTGGACTTACAGGAGAGTTCTGGACCTATATTTGCATATTTTTGTCTTTATTTGACTTCAAGGTACAAAAAGTTCTTGAATTACTCCAATTGACAGTTTTGGCCAGCAGCAGTGAAACTGGTTTTAATGGACACCTCGGCACTCTGGAGGTCAGTCATAGCTGGGGATGCTAGGATGGTAGAGGAAGGTCCCGCCCTCCTACGCCTCTGATTGGCTAGAAGTGCTGGGCTCCGATTGGTTATTCCTAATGGCTGTGAAACGTCATTCAGAATCATTCAGAGATTCAGAAGTGCGATAATGTTCTGTAATGTTCTGTTTAATGTACTGAGCCGACAGCCCGTGTTTGGCTTGAGCGTACCGCTGCATACCTGCTTACTTCCACCCCTGGAGCTAGGTGACTCTCCTGGCAGAGTGTTGCTATTAAAGACAAGTGGCTTGTGTAACCTCTACTTTTCCACTGTGTCCCCCCCAAGAAAATTAGATGAGAAAAAAACGATCAGTGCTGTTTACATTTCTATTCTTATTCTTGCTGCTGGATCACATGGCTGAATTACACTGTGCGCATAATGAACAAATGGCTGTTTTAAACTGTGTGTGTCGATGGACACATGGTTGTTTTATTCAGTGTGCATAATTGACACGTTTGTATAATCATTTGTGTGAAATGAAACATGGTTGTGTTAAAAGGTGTGAGTAATGAACACGTGGTTGTATCATACTGTGTGCATAATGGACACAAGACTGTTTAAAAAACATGTTAGGTGAAAGAGAAACTGCCCCTCTCTTCTAGAAATGATTAAAAATGTTATTCAGAAGTCTGATCACCCTGTCGGTCCTTACATAAGATGAAATACTCCTCTAGTATTTGCAGTTTAAGTTAATGTGTGAACAATGGTGGAAAGCTCAGACCGTCTGCAGGTTGTATCACTCTTTAGAGAGGATCATAAACAAGTTACAGACTGTAGCTTATCCCATAAAAAAAGATATACATAAGATTGGGTGTTTTTAGAAATTGCTGGTTTTATTGTATGGGATTTTAGCTCCCCTATTTTCTGCGTCCATGTGGCTACGCTCAAGCTGATGAAAGTCCATGGTCGTAAAGTTCTTTCCTTTTCCACTGAATGTCTCAGAGTTTGGTTCCTGATTTTGAGCTGCAGTACAGAAGGGATTCCTGCAGAGATAAACCTTCTCTTTGTAAAGGAGGAATTTTTTTTTTCACACCAAGAAGCAGCTGCTCCATCATGCTTTTCAAAGCCCCCAGACTCAATAGAGACTCATTTTACTTGCAGAACACATAAGTAGCTGATTATCTGCAGGCTCACTCAGTCATTTTTCTGCTTTTTTCTGGTTTTAGATCTTTTTCATGTTGGGTCTGAACTCACTCATGACTCTCTATTCATGGAGTCTGGTGGTTATAACAATTGGTTTCATCGGCAGCAGACTCCATGAATCCATCCACAGATCCAGATATGGACGGGTGGTTATAGTGATAGTTTGCTTTGCAGCATGCAGAAAGGAACATTTTCTGTCTATCTCAAATGAGTTGATCGCCTTTGAAGTACTAACAGGATGTGTAAAATATGACAGTACCAAATTTAAAACACAATGTGCACCCTGTTGTTGTTTGTAAAGAATTTGAAAAGAGAGCAGAGCTTTATGCTGCGTTCCAGTTACCTCGGAAGGTGGATGTCGGAGCTGGGAGTGACGTTGAACCGGAGTTGACGGTGTTCCAGTTAAAAAGTCTGAAAATCAAGATGGACGCCTACAGTTACCCGTTGTTTGCTGTTGTTACCCGTTGTTTGCTGTTGTTAGCCATTGTTAGCCATTGTCAGTGAATGTTAGTAGTTGTTGATAGCGATACCAATTGTATTGTGCTAATAGATGCTAATAAATAATACATTACCAGAGCTTTCACTGTTACTCTTTACTATAGATGCACCGGCTGCCATCTTGGATTATGACGTTGTCGACAAGTTGGGGTTGGTGAGGACTTTCAGAGTTGGAAATCCGACTTCAGGGGGGTGTTCCAGATAAATTTCCGACTCGGAGCTTGGAAATTCCGACTTCCGAGTACAACTGGAACAGAGCATTATTCACCTGTACAGACAGTTTAAATTGAGTGTTTTTGAAAACAGAGGGGTGAAGCAGGGGGGAGTGGGTTCAATACAAACTACTATGTTGCATAGTTGCTTATAGTAGCATCTATGGCATGAGGATGCAAACTTAATGCAACTTGTACTTTTGTTTTTGATGCATGTTCTTTGTGGAAGTTGACTGAATGTGGATGTCTCCTCTTTTGTGAGTTTCCTGTTTAGCGCACTACTTTCCCAAAAAGACATGGTTGATGCTGTGCAGCAGGCACTTGGAGGTCTCAGCACATGTAAATAAACTGCAGACTTTTCTTGTCCTGCACAAATGCACCAAACATTGACATCATGGGGTGATTCAAAAAGTAAGACCGGTAAACTTTAGGTAATACTCTAGTGTGCTGAAGATGTTTTTGTTGAGATGTATAGGATTCTGATGCAGATTTTGCAGCCTGTGTTGTGGCTATGGAGTAGATGCAGATTTTGTTAAATGCAGCATGCTTTGATATGATATCGAGCTTTCCTCATCTATACCTGGTGATTTCTGAAGTAGAGAGCAGTCTACTGGATCCAAACCTAGATAATTTACCTTTTTTCACATGCCTGGTCAAATCCAGAAGGCCTTGATTTACACCTTTGCAGAGTCTCATTTTAGAGCTATGAAGACCTCTGCTTCGTTGCACACGGGTTACTCCACAGTAGCTACAGTAAGTGACATAAATATCCCACGCTCTATCTGCCAAAAGGTGTTTCTCTGAGGGAAATTGTTGTGGGCAGCAGGAGGTGTACTTTATTGAACCAAAGATTGTACCCTGACAGCTTTATTTCGCAGACTTTGTGATATAGAGCAGAGATCAGTGCCAGCAGAGGCTCTGTGGCAGGGATTGGTGCGCTGGATTACAAAATATGTTTGGTGTCACTGAAAGGAAGATTTGTGAGCCTTTTTCTCAACTTGATTTTTGTTGCTGTGACTTTGAACAACTTTAACCTGAACACATTTTAACTTCGATCAACTTTTAGTGCAATAAATCAGGTAACTCAAACCAACCAAACAGTAAAAAAATGGACTCAAAATGACTGTGCTCACCAAGAATATTTGATTTAATGGTTGAGATCTGGTCAAAGATGCGTAAAATTATGGTGTTTGAGATTTTAAAAGCAAGATTTAATACTGTTTCCTGAGCTTTTATTGGCTTTGTAAGAAGTTATCCATCCTTATACAATCTTCCTGGTGGCAGTTTCTGGGGATGCCTGTCTTTTTGGAAGGACCCGCTCTAAATTGACTGACATTTGTTGTTGCCGGCAGGTTAAAATGACTCAGCAATGAAGCCACAAGTCTGTGATTTACTAAATAACGACTGAGAAGTGCATCTGGTAATGTTAGTTATTCCTGGAAGTTCATTTCTTGTTATTTCTGAGCACTCATTTTAAACAGCAGGTTTTAAATGGACCTCCACCTTTCACTGACTGGAGGGTTAATCACTTTAATTATTTCAGGTTGTAATGGAGAGAAGTAATCTGTATAATTTGGTTTACTTCAAAGATCTAGCAAGCGTAAAAGGGGTGTTTGAATCTGTAATCATCTCATTACACACGGTAAATATTAGGCTTGAACAACTTTACACGTATAAATGCACTCCTGTTTGAATAAACAGAAATGCTCTAACAGTAGAAGGTCTGTTTAAGAGAGGAACATTACAGTGTATATGGTACAATGTGATATAATAGGATAGGGTGGAATAAGATATGGTACCATTTGATATAATGCGATACAATGCGACATAGTACAATATGATACGATACGATACGTGTTGTTAGGTATAAAACAGTTGCTGCACCGGTGAGAAGGCCCTTAAAGAATATGTTATAATTGAAAACATGTTTCTAAAAATATGAAAATAAAACCAAATGATAATTGTAACTTCCATGATATGATACTAAACGATATGATACAACAATGTTATATGATGATATCCAATATGAAGTAAAAGCAGATGTTTTTTTCTAATAATATACAGGCTTTCCAAAGACTGTGGGAAAGCGAAGGATTTGACTCATAACGCAATACCATAGTATACCATACACGAAGATTTGATTGGTATGATACAATTCAAAATGTTGAGATATGCGGTACGATAAGATGTTGATTTAACATTATTTTGTTTGTTTGTAAATCATTCAAGCCCTATATTCAGTTGAAAATGGTGCAAAGACAACAGCAAAAGTTGAAACTGTAAAAGTTTATTGCTCCATGATAAATAAATCCTCTAATTTTTGTTTCAAAAGAGTTAGAGCAGAGACAACCAAAAAGGCAAAGCGTTGTCAGTGGATTTCATAGTTTTCAGTCAAGATTCAGAGAATTTGGAGAAATCTGTGTACAAAACCAATACTGGATGGCCCTGATCTTCATATCTTCCATAAGGACTGTATTAAATACAGGACTCTGTCGTAGAAATCCCTGCATTGACTCAAAATCAAAGTTGAAAAACAGTTCATCACTTCATCCACAACTGCAGGTTAAAACTGAAGCATGTAAAGAAGAAACCAGATAAACACATGATCCAGAAACATCAGAGACACCTCTGGACCAGAACCCAGAACCATCAAATTCTATATTTTATAATATTTAATAGCACCAGTTTTGAGAAATAGGATCGTACATAAAAAGGCAGTTGTTTTACTTCCCAGACACAAATTAAACATTTGAATTCATCCCTCAAAAATCCTCCACTTTCTAAGACAATGTACGCCTAAGCCTGAGCGCCCATAACCTCTTTGTTTATGTGTGCGTGTTAGACACTGAATTGTTTGCGTGGGCACGGTGTAGTGGAGAACAGTACAAACAGAACGCATTAAAATGTACGTCAGCACTAACAAGCTGCTAAACAAAGAGCCCATAGTAATGTTGACATTAATATTCATGCTGCTGTGATATAACACCACACGGAGCTGAGTGTGGCGAACATACACACTCTGCACACTGCTGGTGTACCTGAGCGAGGGTTAGGTGAGTGACTGTACATGTTTGGAGATATAGCTGTTGGTCCGTAATGACGCGTTCACTTTCCCTGCATGTCCACCTTCCCTGTGACAGATTGTACATTAAATCAGACCACAGGGAGTTGGCTCCGAAGAAATAAGCCACTGTCACACAGATGATGTGCAAATGAAGAGAAAGAATTAATTAATTCGACAATGTTGAGATGCTTCATGTTTGAGATTCGTACCTGTATTCACATTTTGCATAAATGCACCTTGAGGTATCCTCAGATGAGATTAACTCTTATCAATGCATGAGGCCAGCATAATATTATAATGTTTAACCATTGTATCTGGGATGTGCAGATGTGCAAAAGCAAGAGGCTTGATTCAACCAGGGTACAACAGCAAGCATTGCACTGTTGTATGAAATGTCTGCACCTTCATTTGAATGAATGCAAAAGAAAACATGACTTTCCAATCAAAACCAAATGAATGAAAACAGTGAGTAAGGTCATGTGACAGCATATGCATGACCTTTTCTGCATGTGCATTTGCAACATGCGCCCCAAAGCAGGGTGAGTCCTTGTAGGCTGTATTTGCACAGAGTTGCAGGTTTTGTTTTGTTGGTTATGATTTCAAACTTCCAGGTTGAAATGTTTTGGTAAAACACATTTTTGTTGTTTTTGCTTGATTAGTTTGAAAACATCCAATTCTTCCAGGACCTTTGAGATCCAGCTGCACCTCTTTCAATCTCAGATGCACCGTATAGCCACATCAAAAGCTGTGCGGGTCAGTTATACAGCTTAAAACACGACATGCTGCTACTTTTAACACTCGATGACAAGTAAATACACGCACGGACGTACTTCATGGGGGGGACACAGGAGACATGTTCCCCTCACTTTTTCATTAGCCCGTTTTGGTCCCCTGCAGTTTTAACCATCTGAAAACAATGTGACTTTACACTATAGTAAACCGATACATGTCAGGCACTAGGACCAAACAGCAGCTCGAAATGAAAACTGGTTTCCCTTGGTTTGGACCGCCTACAAGGTCCGTGATTGGCTCTGCTGCAGGGCCGCTTTTTGTGTATGTGATTGGCTATCCCTGCTGTCAGTCATTACATGCCCGCCGGACTTGTGTTTCGCAAGTTGCACGTAAGAGTCTGTATGTGAACATCACTATTTGCCGATTTAAGTTCATAGAAGGGCGGTTTTATTTACATGCCAGTATCGGTTTTGTACTTCCATCCACCTGCTGTCCTCCTCTGTTACTGTGTGTGTGAGATGTGCTGTTTGCTAGGCTATATGTCTCAACAAAACTCAACAGTACTCAAGTCACATGTGAAATCAAAATTTCGTCCACGAATACACGCCAGTTTCTTGTTTCTCCATCAAAGTTAGGATGGGTGAGCCTTCCCAATATGAAGAAAACTTTAGCACAGGCTGTTGGCACACTGGGGATAAGAGATGTTACTTAAAAGAGCTACACAGCTGCGTCAAAACTGCACTCCTTGATATCCACCTTAGATGAAAATAGATAAGTCAGGAAGTAGTTTTTTTTTTTCACTTTTCGTGGATCTTTCATGAAACACTTCCTGACACTACTTTTTAGAGTTTAGAGACACAAAGATGGAAAACAGTCTGAGGTTAAACTGTTTCCTGTTTTGTGCATTTAGCAAACAGCTCCCGGTTATCTTCTGCACAAACATTCTCCTCTTCCTCGAGGCGTCTTCACAACCCTCCTCGCCTCCTCCGCCCGTGGCCTCCACCGATGTGCATCCTGCTTAATTACTTTTTCATGAGTCGCTCCCTGTTTTTGTCCTGGGGGGATTCATCAGCACCCCCTCCTCTCATCCCAATCCACTTAAGGTGACCTTGTCTTACTGGGACGAGCTGCTGCAGTATCCTCCCACCTCCCTGCGCCGTGATCCCTGCAGACCCACAGTGTGTGAGCGCGCGCGTGTGTGTGTGTGCACAAATGGAGGTGAGTTGAAGTGTGCAGAGAACGAGGTACCACTCACTTTCCTCTGTCTCAGTTTGATGCTGTGAAACTAAAAACTTAGTGAGTCACAGATCAATAAATCATGTAACGTGACATCATCGGACGCTACACAGTCATGTTTACTGACCAGACGCTGACGCTTTAATCGATTTAAAGAAATCGAACACTGAGTCAGGCTTTGCGAGGATCACTTTCTGCTTTAAATCCTCTAAAGTTTCCATTTGTATCGACAACAAGCTGTTTGGAGCTTCATTTTTTCCCCTTTATTTTTCTCCTCTTTATAACTTAGTGGATGAATGTGTTGAATTATTTAACAGCCTCATGCTGCTCTCATTGTCTTAGATTTTTCTGCGCTGATTTTCTGGATGTGAGATTTCTGATTAATTAAAATCTGTTGAATGACGTCTGGTACCAAAAAGACAACAGACAAACAGCCTTTTCTGCATCGTGTCCAAACAATGTTTCACACATCACACATTATCCTGTCTGAGTATTTTATGCCCATATTCTGATTCTTTACCGTCTATATGATTGGTTTACAAGTTTACACTTTACAAGGTGAAGTTGGCTGAATATTTCCAATGAGTAACAGAACATTTTGGAAATGATGCAAAAATCTTGCAGCTTTTTAGTCATTTTGACTGATTACAGTATTTGTTGTGTTTTCTCCAAGTAGTCTAGTTAAGTCCTGTTCTGTTTGGAGCTGTGTCTATTTCTATTTCCATTGACACAAAGTTGGAGGAGGGACTAACATAACCAATCTGCAACAAGCTTCTTTTTTTGTTGGGTAACTAAACGTGCTGATATGACACTAATGATGGATGAAATTTGAAAATAGATGATATGGCAGGTCCTCGAAAGTGAAACCAAAATATTTGGAGTTCATCTGCTCATCTTAAACTTGACTTTAAAGAGTCTGATTCATGTTACATTGATCATAAACTGAATCAAAATAGTTAAGAGCTTTCCTTTTCATTTGAGGCCCGTTTAGACATACCCGGTTATCTTTAAAAACGGAGACGTTAACCATCATTTGCATGTTTTGGTGCAAACTGAGAATTCACCCGTGAAAATGTCGCTTTTTAAAAACTCCGGCCAGAGTGGAGATTTTGGAGAACTCTGTTGCACGTTTGCATGTAAACTGAGAAAAACAGAGGAAAATTGAGATTTGGGTAGCCAACGGCAGATTGTGTGCAGGAAAGAAGGAAGCGAAGTTGTTGCTTCTATGCAGGATTCTGATTGGCTAACGTGGGCTTGAGCTTTACTGCTACCCACATGTTTGGTATGCGCTTGACGGCATATATTCACGGGTTAGTGTAAATGAAAACTTTTTCCTCAACTGAGAGGGTTAACGAAAATATTTGGGCATGAGTAAACATAGTCTGAATCATATTCTACATGCTAATCTCATTTGGTGCCATCAGGAGGGGAGTGCACATTGAAGCTCTGAGCAGAAGAGAGTGGCGATGTTGATAGCTCATGTCTGCATTCGGATGCAATACTTGAGCAACATTTGCAGTACTACAGACATTTGTGGTTGTTTTTGTGCTTGAATACCATTATTACACTATGCTATGTGAATAAGACCTTGAGATGGAGCAAATGATGTGCAATTCTCAGTAGCAGTTTAGGTTTATTAGATCCTCATAGTTAGAAATTTATGTATCCTATTTGACATGCATTGACTTCAGTTGTACCTCAGATCTGCAGCTGGAGAGATGATGCACTTGCAAACCATGGGGTAGTGTGCTTATAGAAAGCACAGAGGTCTGACTTTGCACGTTTATTACTGCCGCCTCTCCCCCAGTTTGAGTTTGCATGAGTCATACAGCTTAACAACAAACACCAAAGAAAACAACTGTCAGAATCAGGAGTGCAGCTTCAAGTCCGCTGATAGTCAAAGTTCTCAAAGGACTGGGGCATCAGAGTCAAAAACTTCACTGAGCCTTCATCCTGGTACTTTGTGTGACATCGGGATGAATACAAACACAAACCTGGTAAAGCTGAGCATGTTGACCAAAGAAACACTCTCTGTTCAGAAATGTTGTTCCCTAAAAGGTCGAGGAAACGCAGCAGAGAGTGAAATATTCATTATGTTGTCAGGTCTTTGTGCAGCTGTGAAATGACGACAAGGTCAAATGAAACACTTTTTTGCATTTAGCGCTTCTCCGGAAAAAAAATTAATGCATATTTATTCCACAGAGTAATTGGTGTATTTGCATAAAGTTTTAGGCAACTATGGAATTCCATTTTCATAGAAAACACAGTTTTAAAGACAAAAGTGTTGAAACTTTTTTATAAACTTTTGTCCCTGAGCTTATCTTTGAAGAATTTACATCTTTCTGCTTTAGTTTTGCGAGAAAATATTACACAATGACCTACTGTACTTCAAAAACAAAACACTGGTGAATAAATGTAACAGTTTACTGCATCCAAAAGATGTTTGACGAATAATTTCACACAGTAAATTTAAGGTTAAACAGAAGATGTGGTTGATAATAGTGTTAATATTTTTTTCTAGTATTAATGAGACAGATTTATGAATGTTTACATAACACTTATCGCTGATTTAATCACTCATCTTCAGCAAGGCACAAATGCTCTTATCTAATTCAACATACAGAGAAGCATGTGTTAGACTGTGATTTCTGTAGGGAATAACCTTAAAATGCATGTGTTTGCATCTAGGTTAAGTTGTTCTCCTCTTGTACATGCACAGATCAGTTTCCCCGTATCGGTAATATAAATTTGGGGCCTTTTTTGTAACATACTTTGTAGTTCTTGCTGAATTTAGACCTCTCATTTTGGACCTGTGGAGGCCTTATATGAGCCAAAATGAACGTAGCTAATTTCAAAAGTTTTCATTTTAAGTTTTATTGGACTGCTTTTTTTGTTATGTTGTAGTATTTTGAATAAAATTGTGATAAATGATAAGATATTTCAAGTATCTGTAAACATCATCATGTCATATTTGGGTCAGGGTTACAGTTACAGTACAGTTACATTAATACTTTACTTTTTCCAAACCCAGAGGGTCACTGTTCCTTCTAAAATACTAAGTGTATAACCGAGCATGAGCTGAAACCCTTCCTTCAGTCACTGGGCAGTTTTCTAGCAGCACCCCCCTCTCTGACTGCTCTTTATCAGGTCATTTGAAGTCAGCACAGCGTTCACAGAAGTGTTCATTTCCGCCTCTTTCTCAATGAGTGAGATTCAGACCAGCAGGGGGACGGTCCTCTCACAGAGCTCAGATCTGCAGTGGCCAAAAGCACAATATGAATCGATTGGTCTCCTTATCTGGCTGTCCATTAAACACCCGGCTAATGAACCTGATGAGGCCGCTTAGATGGAACTCACACTCTGAGGATCCCACAAGCCTTTTCTACAACAAGGCCAAGAGATTTATACACCACCACACATCCTCGTATACACACACAGATAGCCCGTTAACATGTCCTCTGATCCAGCTTCCCTCATGCATTATGTAGTGCATATTTGTACACTAAACCCCTCTGAAGAGCTGACTGGATGGAAGATATCTTACACTGGAGCACCAAATACTCTCTAAAAATGCAGTGGGAAGATCAATCCCACTTTTATCAAGTTTACAGCGCATTTGCGTCAGGTGCTGGAGAATACCTATAAATATTCTTATATATTCACCCGTCAGATTCAGTGTGATACATTTCAGGGAATATGACCTAGGCCTGTGCATTTGATTGTCATTGACCAATGGGATAACCATTTTGTTGAACCAAATGATGTGCATATTTATTCCAGTATTTTGAAGCTGTATAATGTTGTTGATGTTGCATTTGATTGCATCAGATTGTATTTCATCCCTCAGAGAACAAACTATCCAAAGTGGCAGATGCTTTACTCAGTTAATATTAAATTTCATCTTTCTGTCATCATATTGCTGCTAACATAAGAAGGCTTCTGAACATCGAACTTTGATGTCTTAACCAACTCATTTAACAAACTTTAATGTAACTCAAAAATCAACATCTTTTTCTGTGCTGTTTGACCCCAAACTAGAGACTGTATGGACAACTTGGTTCCGCCTTCCGCCAGTATACAGATTTGAAGCCAAAAAGCTCTTGGTAATTCTGTGTTTTTCTCCACTTCCTGAAACCAACATTTCGCAGTAGCGTTGTACGCACTCCTCCACTTGTGCAGTAGCATTGTGCGCATTCGACGGGAGAGTCGCAGAGACACTGGGATGACGCTCGGCTCAAACAGTATATCCCCCGGGTTAGCCTCGCAATCTTCGTACACCCGTAGTATCAAGAGTCAGTCATAGAAAACATGAACCCCCTAATAGTGGCTTCACCCACTGAGGAGGCAGACGGCGTCCATTCTATACAGTCTATGCCCCAAACCCAGACCCTCCGAATCACTGTTTGATATTGTAAACCAAGTGTTACAAAAAAAAAAAAAGGAATGATGCCAATTCATAAAACAGTGACTTTCATAGCAAAGGGTACAAAAAAAGGACAAAATGTGGGTTGTTGCACTTGATGAAAGTGGTTTGGGAGGTTCAGTCGCCTTCAAACAGTTGAGGAGAAAAGCAAAGTTTACAATGGAGGAGTCTGAAAGGAGTTGAAAACCTACAATCAACAGGGAAGGTTACTACAAGGAAAAGGGTTCAAACAAGGCGGGTGAGCACAAAGCCATAGCACTGCCCAGCAATGGTCCACACAAAGCTACAGGTGGCTGAGGACAAGTAGACCAATGGTGCGAAGACAATCTAATGTGGCATGAAGATAATCCTGCACTGGTGGATAGTTAATCTCACAGACCACATAGACAATCCAGAAATGGTGTAGATAATCTGGTATTGTATCGTGATAACATATCGATTTCAGGATTATCCTGACATTTTAAATTGAGAAACCAACATTTGTCCAAAGATATACTGAGAACAATTTCACATCGCGCTAACGTTTTTCATTTTTTAATAGATTTGCAAAAGTCTCAAACTATTTTTTTTTCACTTTGTCATTATGAGGTATTGTGGGTAGAATTTTAAGGTAAAACATGAATTTAATCCATTTTTGAATAAGACTGTAACACAAGAAAATGTGAAAAAAAGTACAGAATACTTTCCAGATGCACCGTATTTGCATATTTACATGTTGACCCTAAATTAGTCTGCCATCTCTGAGACTATGATCATGTTTAATGCAGTCTAAACTTTGTGTGCTGAATTCAATGAGCGTTATTTCACCTGCTCAGACAGCAGACCCGTTACTGAATCCACTCTCACATCCTCCCCTCTAAAGACTGTGGGCTACGCCACCGTGAAATGTTATTAGCAGCATAACAAAGCTGTGAATTGAATGCAGCAATGATGAGAAAGCTTTATATGACACGTGAAATCCTGTTAGGATGCAGATTAGCGTTATCTATGCTGCACCTGTCAATATCTATTACGGTTGGAGGGCAAGGACGGGGCAGAGCTGGACATGGAACTGCTTCTGTCAGCACTGCGGTCACCAGCAAACACCAATACTTAAGAGGACGGTCTGTATTGGTATGCAGAGAATTCACTCTGATACTATAGGCAGGCCAGCCTGAGGCGTCGTTGTTTCTATCACAAGGAAAGTTTTCTGCTTTAACAATGGTGAGGGACTGTGTTTAAACCAAGAAGCTGCAGGAACGACAGAATAATTCAAGAAAAAGCTGACAAGCAAGGACGAGAACCAGCCTAGATGTGGAGAGGACGAGCCGGGTGTTAATGCATGTGTTGTGAAGGACGGGGTTCTCATTTGGAAAACAAATGGGGATCAATTTCAGAGCACTTTCAGTCACTTAATGCACAAACAAAAGACTCACACACACACACGCACTGACATTTTAGTGATTGATTCTCCTCTAAAAACCTAAACCAAGCAAAGGTTACTTAGCAAGAGAAGAACATTTTTACTTCCCGCTTTAGATTGAACACATACGCTCATCACCGGTTCATTTGAATCCTAACAAGAATGATGATGAAGCCAGCCTCCAGACTTTCTCTGCGTGATTCTGCAGCACCTTCTGCTCTCTCTGCTCAATCTGCAAGTGAAAGGAAATACAAAATAGTTTAGATCACTGGGTGTCCCCAAAGGTGAAGGAATCTCTCATCAGCTTCAGTAATAAAAAGACTATTAAAGCAGCAAAATCCTCTGATGTACCTCTTTGCCGGTTTCTACTTTGGCCAAAAATAAGGTCAAGAGTCAGCATTTCTAATATGGCGGCTGTCATCTTTGGGCTTCATAACATCCAGTGGGTGTCGTCATGGTGTCTACTTCCATATCTTATGTTTTCCACAGGCCCTATTCGACTGATCCAAAACACATGGTCTGAAGTGCATGGGGAAGAAGGAATCCAACCTTATTTTCTTATTTCAGAGATGCAGAATCTAGGTAGACAACGCAGCCTCAGCAGATGACTGTCTTACATGAGTCCGGTTCTGCTCAAGGTTTCTGCCTCTAAAGGAAGTTTTTCCCTTGTACCGCTACATTGCTAAATACTGCAGAGTGAAACACTAGATGGTTAAAGTTATTTATTTATTTATTCATTCGAACATATCTTTATTGGTTTTTGTAGTCCAACAATTTAAACATTTGGCAGTAATGAAAATAATAATGAAAATATGAATAATACAGAAGAGGTAAATAAATAAATTGTCCTGCTAAATAAATTATTAAAAAGAAAAAGTGAACCAACAAATTAGTCAATAAATTACTTCGAATAAATAATAAATATGTAAAGAAAAAAAGAAAAAAAAACATCTCAAATAATAGCAATAATCGTACACTCCCAACAACAAATTAAATAGTTTTCGTTAGAGTTATTTTACTGGATTTAACATCAGTCCATGCACCAGTGGCCTATGTGTGTTTTCTGCATGTTTAGAGGCTCAAGCCAGATGTATTTTAGTAGAAGGGCTGGAATCTGCTGTGTAGATAATAACACACCTGCATGTGCACCTGACACTTAAGGAGGATGAGAGCAGACAGACTGACTGATTGGTTTGATTCACGTTATGTCCAAAACACACCTCTGAATAATCAAGGGACCATATCCAACCATTCTGTGCCGTGCATCTCTCCCAGTTCTCAGGTTGTATGTTGCTTAACTAGCAAAAATAGCCATCAGATAGCTGTTTTTAAACGGTCTAAATAGGGTCCTAAAAATGTAAAAAGACGACTTTCTCAACACTAAAAATATTAATTCAAGTCCAGTATACTGTAACTCTCGTGGACTGTGATCTGGAGTGTTCCCACGCCTACAGTAAGAAAACACTGACACATGTTACACAAAGGCCTCAGTAAAGACACAATGAGCTCATCAGAGAGACAGAAAGCTGCTCTACAAACAAATCAGCGCCCAGTTCAGAGGAGATGTGATTTTCTCTCCACATCAAACCTCCCACTCTCTCCGCTCTCTCCACACGCCGCTACTGCTGCCGCAGTGACAAATTGCGAGTGACGGCGAGCTCTCACTCAGCGCACAAATCGCTGGTAATTGTATGTAAAATGGCATCAGGAATTACAATCCCAACTCATCTGCAGGTTGACGACACCACTGGAGTCTGCTCCTGTAAATGCTTCATTAGCCAGAGCCTCCAAGTGCTTTCTATGAATGGGGAAAGGCTGATCGCTCCTCCAACAGCCGTCCACCTGCTTCCTGTGACCCTCGGGGCAAACCTGCAATCACTTCAGAGATGAATCCTCTGCACACGCACCAGGCTTCATTCATAAATCTGTGCTTTTATAAAATCACAGATGTGAGGGAGCCTGCGATTGCACATGTATAAAAAATTCAGCACCCAAACAGCTCCGTGCTGTGAGAGTAAGTCGGGGGATTACAGGCGTTTGTAAGTGCAAATCTGTGGAGTAAAACAGGTGGAAGAGCCGAGGGTGGGTAGCAGTGATAGCTCTGTGATTAGCACCTTCCCTTGAGTGTTGTCCTGGAAAAGCAGCCTGCACAGAGAGAGAGAGAGAGAGAGATAGAGAGGCAAAGGGAGGAAGAGGAGGAAGAGGAGTCAAAGAGGGAAAGGCTGAAGTTAAGGGTTTGAATATTCTTCAGGGGGCCTTTTCCCCCGTAATGTGAAACATCAATCAGAGATGTTTCAACAAGCTGTGTGGCCACTTTCCTCGGCTGCTCATTAAGAGAAGACACCAGCTGGGAGCCGGCAGGAATGCATGATGGTTCATTATAATATTTACACAGTTTGCCCTCATTCATCATCAGGGATAATGCGGTTTGCTGAGCGCCATAAGCATAAGGTGTTAATAGAAGTGTGTACCACCGAGCTGCCTGTGCAGCACACAGCAGCTCATTTACCTCACAGTATTAAAGGTCCTGAAGCGAGACAGTTTGGTTCTTCCAGGACTTTCTCGAGTTGGTTTCAGTTCATTGCCGAAAAGCAGGTAAGACTCAATCCCATTACAGACCAGAGTCCAGCCGAGGGTGTATTCTGCCTCTGATCCGCCGACTGTAGATAAGAGCATGGCCTTCCTGACCTCACAAAGTGATGGTTTGAAGCCTCAAGTTTGGCTTTTGGCTGCTCACTCTCTAGGTTTTTGCAGGAGTGGTTGAATTTTGACTTCCTCCCTTGATCACTGCAGCTCAGGGTCAAGTCGGTACACTTTGTACCCCAGCACAAAAGGTGCTGAAAAAGAAGGACGGATACGTTTTATTAATGGAAATGCACCACTGAGGCATAGATAATGCTTGATTGTAGCCGCTGCTTTGTCACAGACTTGGTTTGTTGGCTTGGAGCAGCTGCCGCGAAGGTACTTAAAATGTTCCTGGTACCAGGAGGTGTCACCTTGTGGAAAACCCTAACATCTGAGTGGAGTGGAGTGGAGTGGAGTGGAGCAGGATAGATGCCGGTGGAAAAAATCCCATTCCACACCCCTACACACTGACCCTTCACTACCAAGTGTCGCTCGTAATGAAGTCACACTCGCAGCTGTTGAGGGCGCTTCGTTTGAAAGGAGGAGAGTAAAAATAAGACAGGCGGGTATGGGACGCCCTCCTTACTCCACCGGAAAATGGAGAAAATGGCGTTTCTTTTCTAAGTAAAACGGGCATCATGTACAGTTCTGAGCCACACTAGCTGCGTCGCACAGAGTAAGATTTCCAAGTTTTGTTTGATCTTTCCAAACCACGTCTTTTGTGATTTTCTGTTAGTGAGACAAAAATGTGAGGAACGTACATCTGTATGTTGTTTCCTCCTCTACCATTTTTGCCTGCGCACTACCTGCAAATCATGCCAAAAGTGTGCATCCGTGTAGACTTGTTATTCAAGGGCTAAACGGTCCACTTGCCCTCCGCACATGGTGGTTTGGGACGGCCTTCAATATAGCGGATCCTCCGTGGTAACGCGCAAGGGGAAGGCGAGTGTGTATGGGGTTGGATTGGGACTAAATTTTGTAAATAGAGAATAGGCTTCATATGTCTTGAAACAAGACACCTTAGTTGTTCTTAGTGTTCTGTTATTGGTCCCGGTCGATTACCTAAATCCAGGCTGCATGAATTCAAGACTAGTTCCATGGACAAAGAATGTAATTTAGATTCAGGGTTCACCTCCTGACACGGTCTTTAGACATTTTCGCACTGGGATTGTTCGGAAACGTTTTTTAGCACAGTGCAGTTTGCAGGTCACAACCAGAGATTACTTGGGAGAGAAAGTCTCGACTTGCGTCTAACAAACTCTGGAGTACTTTGTTTGTAGAGAAAATGCAATCCAGCAACCAGAGCAAACAGCTGCTGTGCTCATCACAACAGTAGTAGTAGTAGTAGTAGTGTTCTCTATATTGTGTGGTGTGCAACAATGTGTTAAACACACCACACCACACACATAGATATCATATCTACTGTCATTACCACGGTTGCATTTGTTGGGTCTCCTTTTTTTCAGCCAGCTCACTCCCTGATTGGCTGTATTAATTAGATTAGCAATCATATATGATTGTAGTTCATGCTCAGCCATCCTTGGCGTTATATTATTGGACGGACTTAATATTTAGGATTCAGAATGAGGGCAGCATTGATTAGAGAGAGAGAGAAAAACATTAATAGAGTTTTCAAAATCAATGTGATAAATTGAAACAGACTTGAAACTCCAGATTTAGACCATAAGGGAAATATTTTCTGAGGAGATCAAACCACTGGGACGAGGGACACATTTTTTCATATACTTACACATGATAGATTGTTAATGCATGCTGTTGAGTCATCTTCTGCAGGTCATTGGGGGGACTGCAGGTTTAGGGAACTCATGCATGAAGTGGATCTTGTTTTCAGACCCCTATAAAATGACAAATGTTTATTGGTCGTCTTTTATTTCGGCAAATAATTCAGATCAAAATTACGCACAAGTCAATGTCGGACTCGGTGAGCTGACGTCCAGGGACTGTGTCGACATTAATTTAAAGTCATTAATGAAGAATTTACAGTTTCTTTTGTTTGTATTCAGGACTGAATTGATCTGCACGCACTGTCCATAAAGACAGCCTCATAATGAGCTTCATTTTCTCTGAAGTTTTCCTCTTTTCCTGTTGAATGAGATGGAAAAGAGATGTCTTCATGGAGCAGTAATGATGCATGCAGCCCCTCTTTTCTCTGCCTTATCGTCATGATGTGGGCTTTAATATGCTGTATAGCTGTGGCCCTATCAGATCAGATGAGGCTCCGGGCGAGTGGAGCCTTCATGGGATGGAGGAAGGGGGAGGAGGGGTGTGAGGTCTGCATCATATTCCTCCTATTTCTCTCCACTTTCAGACAACAGGCCCCGCTGAAATGACTGTGGGTGCCGCCAACTGTGAAATTAATTGAACTTGTGATACGTGGGGTAGAGACCAGCATCCGGCCTGAGGAGGCAACTGTGCATCCGCTCTTACATTTGCTCACGACAAAAGGAACAGCCAAGCCCAGAGGCTTTCTGGATCTGTGGTCAGTTTCCTCGACAAGATGTCTCTGGATGCCGCTGAGCCTCAGTGACTGGCGTGACATTGCAGCAGAGTGTATAAGGCGTGTTAAAACTCTCTCAGCTCTGGTTAGAGGCAGTATTTTGGTTTAGAAACAGGATTTGTTTATGGATTTATCTTGTCAAGCTGGTGATGGATCTGTAGATAATGATTTTATGTTCATGAAAGGTTTTTCAGCCCAGGGGTTAAACCCTAATGGGCTACAGAAGATAATCTGTCTTTTTATTGTTTTATATGTTGGTTTACCCAGCTTCATATTTAGCAGTAATGATGAAAAGTCACAGATGAATGTTGCCGACCACTTGCTTCTCTAGTTATACCAACTTTAGTAACGACCGCAGGATAGCAATACATAGCGGTCTAAGGAGCCAAACACAAACATCAACCAAAACGCCACTCTATAGCCACAAATAATGCTCAGAACAGCACCTAACTTCATCAACAGTACATATAGGGTCCCAGACATAGCACTAGCCACCAAACATCATTTTAACTTTGCCTGATTTCTTTAGCAAAGAGACTAAACACAACTCACCCACTTTCTTCCAGCAGCCGCTTGTTTGTAGCGAGACCTCGCGCCAGTCCATTACAGACTACAGCGGGGTGACGCAGCTCAAGGAAGAACATTTATGATCATTTCTTCGTGGAAATGCAATCAGGCCGAGACGCTAAGGCAGAAGAACTACCGCGTCTGCAAAATTATTAATATGATGATTATTACTGAAAGGAAATGATAAAGAAATGATCATAAATGTTCTTCCTTGAGCTGTGTCACCCCGCTGTAGTCTGTAATGGACTGGCCTGAGGTCTCGCTACAAACAAGCGGCTGCTGGAAGAGAGTAGGTGAGTTGTGTTTAGTCTCTTTGCTAAAGAAATCAGGCAAAGTTAAAAAGATGTTTGGTGGCTAGTACTATGGCTGGGACCCTATATGTACTGTTGATGAAGTTAGGTGCTGTTCTGAGCATTATTTGTGGCTATAGAGTGGCGTTTTGGTTGATGTTTGTGTTTCGCTCTTCAGACCGTTGTGTTTTGCTATCATGTGGTCATTACTGAAGTTGGTATAACTAGAGAAGCAAGCGGTGGGCAACATTCATCTCTCGAGGGCGTGTCTAACTCAGTGTTATGGTGTGTTTGACCCTAAATAAATTGTACGCCGCTAAATCCAAACTTTAACTACTGGATTTGGTGTATTTGTTGAGACTGTAGTTCTAGTTAGATCTACAAGTTTTTCTGTGTTTAAAATCCTTCAAAAACTATTTGTATTTTGGTACATTCAGCGTCAAATTATTGCATTATGCTTCCTAGATAGGACCAAACTGAAATATCACTACTATTCCTTCAAGTTCTGCAAAAGAGAAAGAAATCAGCAGGAAGTTTAAGAATGTATAAAAAGTTCATTGTAATTGGTGCCACAGGGTAGGTGTCCGACAAGGAGAATAACAGCATGCTGCTGAAACAGACCTCTTTACCATTTCCCACTGCAGAGATTCACAAAAAGAAGTCCCTATAACCGTGGACACAAAGAGAAGTTCCTCTTTAAGGTTTCATTCCCTCCTCATCCTCAGTAAGATGATCTGATTCTCTTACTGAAGATCAGAGTTACTCTGTGTCTAAATTAAGCCTTTTATTCCTTCCCCCCTCTGAGGTGGGCTTATCTCTGGATTAATGCTCTTTGTCTGCAGAGTCAATATCAATTATTTACACTCTTTTAATGAAGACTACAAAAACACAGCAGCAGCAAGAGAAACACACTCCCAAATACTGAAAGAGCCTGATGAATCCAGACAGTTTCAAACATTTCAGGGAACATAACTTAGAGATAACATTACTGCTGCAGTGCATACTTATTACAGCCTCGGATTTCACCAAATTATGTTTTTTTTTTCTTTTTATGCATTTCAGTTTTTATACTCCACCTTGGGGCAAAAGCTCTGAGCATGTTCTCTCACTAATGAACACAAGTGGAGAAATTTATCTTGTTTAATTTAGTCAAGACTCCAGAGTGCAGAAAGTAAAGAATACAAATGTGTGATTTTAGTCTGGAGGCCATGGATTATCTTTTAAAGTCAGTTTAAGGCTCGTTTTATTCACCGTAGGCTCCACTTATGGCTAAAGGGTTAATCCTAATGATTAAAAACATGATTGATCCTCAGGTAAAGCAACATCTGTGTCTTTTAAGAGTCCGATGAATTTAATCACAGGGAATAAATGAATCGATCATGAGAGTCCAATTTTCCTGCTGATCTTTGACCGTACTCAGAGAGTGAAGTCGAGAGTATACCTTATCTTTGAAACACTTCATGTCCCTGAAGTTTCCACAGCTCCTTGGTCCCTGGCCCTGTGGAAACAATGCAATCTGTGCCGCCCCACATTCACCGCCTATCCTCCAGCTCTCATCCAGGTCACATTGCACCGCAGAGTGCAGCACTGCTTTCAGGACTCCACTGCTGCTGCTGCTGCTGCTGAACAGGTGGAGGGAACTCTGCAGACATGACAAAGAGCCTGCTGGTGTTTCAGGTCACATGAATCACTTAGTGTCCTCGAAAAAGGCCCAAAACTGTTCCTTAAGGTGGTCTTAAGCGGATCTTGTGATGCATCTCTCATCTCTTTATAAGGCTAAAATCATCTTTATTAGTTTTGTTCAATGATTACTCTTTAGACAACAGAGAGCACTGAAACACTAAGGAGTTGAAATTGTTGGAAGGAACATTTTATTTCTGACAAAGCCTGAGTTGAGTCTAGAGATTTTGAGATGAGGAAACTGTTAAACGTTGGATCCTTTCACGCTGGTTGAAGCCATATTCACTCAAGCCTCTGGGGTCCTAAAGTAATTTGAACTAAGTTTAATATTAGCAATTTTCAAAGGGTAGAAACAATTACTATAAAATTTAACACAAACACTATATAACCATAAAGATCCACACATTACTCCAAATCTACAAAAGGCCATATGATCATGCTTGAATTGTCTATGATCCATCTTACCATGAAGGAGCAGGGCCAACTTTGGCAGCTATTTAAGATTCAGTCTTAGGACCAAAATGATTCATTTGAGTCTAAAATAGTTTAAGTTATTAACAATTTTTTTTTTTTAACATTTTAGTCTTTCAGCCAAAACCTTCTCTCTTTCATCACAACTTGGTATCAAGGTTGTACGAGCAATGAGTCACCATCTTTACACTTTAAATTATGTAATATCTGGATTCTTGAGAGCACCCTGGTAACTTATTGTGTTTCTTTCATCAACATGCATCAGGAATAAAAGTTCATGAATGATAATAAGACAGAGAGGATTTGTACTGGTGGTGTTGTAGATACATGACAAATCTAGGTATGTATGAGAAGTTCTATGCGTGTGATTTCAGTCGGACTAATGTGTTCGCAAGCATTTTTAAAGTCCAGTTTCAGTTGGACTAACTCAACAGTTGAATAATTTATTTGATGGCATACAAACATTTCATCGTCTTGACCTCTTGGACAGATTTTTGACCCTTCAAAAGAAATCTCTCATCAGTCTGACATCAACCCCTTACTTGACTTTATTTGACTTGAAGTTTTAAATCTTCTTTACAGCCAGAAATATCCAAAACAACTCAGAAAAAAAACAGACAGATGTTACTGTTAGAGGCCAGAACCATTTTAGTTTGACACATAAATCTGTTTTAAGGAAGAAAATTCATCAAAGTGTGACTATTTTTGGGAAAGGTGTGAATGGATTCGAGTCTGAATTGATCCTGTCCTTTCTCCAGCTGAGAAGAACATGCAGCTGTTTGCTTTTCCAGAATCAACCTCAGCATGACTTTGGTTTATTTATAGAAGTCAAAGTCGGCTGATATTTAATGAGAAGTCTTTGAATACTCTGTTCAAATATCACAACCTTTAAGAAAACAGCCTCCATTGTTAAAAGCTGCATGGCTGCCCGCCCGCCTTAATCAATTAGACGTCTAAGCTTTTAAGCTCATTCCTCTTGATATCTGTGATATGCATAATAATGACCTCATTACCGCAGGCGCCGGCATTGTGCGTTAGAGGGATTGGATGCAAAATGCACTTTTATCATTCTTTATTTCTCCTTCAGAGCAGCTGAGGAGAAGGGAAAAGAGGCAGAGGAGACTGCGAGGCTGCAACTGGGAAACCAGAAACCAGTCTGAGTCACTCCAGCCTCCTGAACACACATCCCACCACATGTGGCATCTGTAGTGTGTGCACAAGGTGTATAAAATGGCGCTTTCTTTCTTTACATACTGAACACGTCATCGCTCCCCTTTTCACAAAGAGAAAAACGACAAAACATGACCTTTGTTCAAGACACATCAGACCTTGGACCTGTTCTCTCTTTTTCATTCTGTGCTGTTCCCGCCAACTCGTTTTTTTCTCTCTCTCTGCTGTCAAGGTTTCTCTATTAAAGGACAATTCTTCTCTTTTTCTTGGGTATTTGGATTTCTTTGGCCTTGAAAACAGAACATGACAGAGAGCTGAGGAAAGTCCATCCAGGTTTAAAACAAGATAATGAAAAGGAAGATTTTTGAAATGTGAGTTTTGTTGATCCTCAGGTATTACTGAGATGATTGGGGATGTCTTACACTTGGGGACATTTTAATGATATTGGACGTCAGCCACTCAAGAGGATTCTTAGAGCTCAATTCGCCACCGCCAATGATTGAGGGGCAGGGCCTTGTTCAGAGTTTATCATCACTGATTATTTGTTCAAATAATCCTGAGTGTGTGATGTCAGTATGACTATTTTACTGCCCTGGACTGAGTCAGAGTCAGAGCCTCCTCATCTTGAAATGTAAAGAGCAGACCGTGTTTTATAGTTGGTTCTTTGGTCCAATAGGATCTTCTAGAGTGTGTGTTCATCAGATCGCAAAGTAAAAATAAAGTCTGAACTGTCTTTGCAGGAAGTGTCCCCAGATTTTAAATCATGTGAGATCCATTAGTTGTTCAGTTTTTAGCGATATTGTTGATTTTCTCGATTTTCAGTCTGCATTTTTAACTCCAGCGAAACAGTGGAATCATTATGATTGTCTACTGACTACCATATCTTCCCAAATAATACACATCACATGTAAGTCGGTTGTTAAGATTTATTCTTAATTTGAAAAAAAATCTATTTAAGTATTGTAAAACAAAAAATTGTGATACTTCCGTGAATCGATTTTTTCTCCCACCCCTACTTGGAATTATGGCCGCAATACCATCTCCTTTTATAATTTACCAAAAGAGGGACAAGGAAAGATCTTGTTTTTGTGGATTCCTAAATATGAAATCAAGACCACAAAGGTTAAGCTTGTGGTCTTGTGGAAATGTATCTACATGTTTGCAGAAAACTGTAGAGTCAAAAATCAGTCAAAGAGCCAAAAGTCGTCCAGATTAATGTGTTGTTGTTTTTTTTGCAGATTTTTCTCTTGCAGAAACAGTGTTGACTGTCAGACACGAGCACCAAGAAAAGACTGGAATAATGAATAAGAGCCTCTTACTCAACCCGATCTCTCCTAGACTTGTACATTTTCGCACACGCATAAGTAGTGTTAAACTATGTTAAATTATGCATCACTCTAAAACTAAATATGGGCTTAAAGTAACCCTCAGCAGACACATTTACATTCAGATTTATCTGTGTAGACGTGGATTATGAAGACAGTTCAATTTAAGAGACACAAATATTGTAATCATTGATAACTCAGGCTGCTTTAACACACCCAGATAAATCACTGCAGTTCACTTTTCTGACGGATGAGTTTTGTGAGAGCCGGCCTGGTTTTTATTAGCGGCTAAGGACTGAGCCAGTATGCAGGTACTTCGACTAACGCGGGCTGAGACAGGTGTTCCAGATTAATCCTGTTAAAGTCAGGTCAGAACTTCAGAACGGCAAGATGAGTTTATTTATACAGCCCGAAACCTGGCTACAGATGGACAGGATTCAGCTCTTTGCACATGTCTAAAAAATAATATTTTTGAGGTTCAACTCTGAGTTTCACCCGAACACAGCCTGTTAATCAAGAAGAGAACGACCTCGCAAGCCTGTGAACTCAGAATCTGTCAGGGTTTTTGGAGGTGAAATCAACCATTTATCTGAAGCCGGTGTCTTTTAAGGACTCGAACAGGCTGAATGTTTGGGCTCCGTGGAGCGGAGATGATTACTTTAAATTGTTCAGTCCTCAGATTCTGGCTGTAATCTGTGTCTCAGCAGAACAAACTCTCTTAGCTTGTGTTTGAGGAAGCAGCATGTTGCTTTGTTTCCGACTCTCTAATCAAAAATCTGCACGAGCCATCTGTCAATCAAACTCATTTCATCTCTCTGAACTCTGATGGATTGTCTCTGGCAGGGGAAACATTTCTGAACCTGCACGACTCTCTGGGTCTAAAACTATCTGCAGAAATGTGTTTCATCATTCTGTTTCTCTGCACATTTTAACAGTTTTCCCTAAAACAACAACATGTAGACGGTTTCTGACCAGTTGAATCATTTCAGATGCTTTTATCCGAAAGCATGATCCACACCTGAGCATGAGTCTTTAACAAGCAGTTGAGCTGGTGAATAAGAGCAAGAAACTCACTGTTATGAAAACATGTATTTAGATTTGAGTTGTTTTATACTAAGAGGTAAAGAGGAATAAACTTGCTTCATTAATCTTTTGTTCGAAGTTGAACAAAAAAATTGCAAATGAACTTTTTTAGTTTGGAAGTATAAATGTGCAGGTATACAGAGAAGTTTAAACTTTTTGTCATCCTGCTGTCACTCTGTATCTCCTTGCTGTCAGTACCATGGAGTTAATCAGATTTCAGTCTCCATTGTTTTTTTGGATAAAGGATGTAAATGTAATCCTGAGCTGACGGTCTCCTGCATGTTGCACAGATGGTTCCTCCTCTCTGACTCCTTCAGGATCCTGGTTGGCTCAGACTCAGTTTTGTTTGTGTGGTGGAGGAGAGGCTTTGAGTCTGTATGGTTTTATGCAGATGAACGCCGAGGCTCCTTTATTAACCTCAGCGGCTGAATTCTCTGTGGGCTGATGAGGGGCAGCGCACTGGTTTAATGAGGGTTTAAAGAAGAGCAAAAAGTGATGAGAAACTTTATCAACTTCTCCTGCTGATGAGAAACAGTTTCAGTGATGAGGTAAACTGAAGTACTGTGTCAAAATTGGCCGCAGATATCATGTTGACTTCAAACAAATGGCCTAAAGTTAACTATTTATTGTGCACAAGGCAGGGAAATCAGGCTTTTGAAGCCTTACATGTACTTTTTTTCTCAACTGTCATGTGGTGTGATCAATTAAAATTTGGTATTCTCTTGGAAATCGTCTATGTCAGTATTGGGAACTCAAGTGTCCATGGCATGGGTAGCTAACATATCTGGGAAGGCTAGGAACAATATAAACAGGTTTTGGAGCAACATATGCTGCCATCCAGACAATGAATTTTTCAAGGAAGACCTTTATATTTCAGCAAGACAATGCCAAACCACATAATCCAAACATTAAATTTAGAGTATGATCAATCGTTTCATTGATGTATGAAGTTATTTTGCAGCACAACAGCTTCTTTAGGGCCTTTGTCTCTTGCGTATTCGTCTTCAGGGCCAGTGCCCACTAATAAATTTGTCTTTGGGGCCTTTGTGCCAACTAATATGTATCTTTAGGGACTTAACAACTCAGTTTAACACTCTTCGTTAGGGCCAATGTCCACTTAACAGTTCTTATTAAGGGCTGGTGTCCACTGAACTTTGTTGTGTTTTTTTTAGGGCCCATGTCCACTAAACCTTGCTCTTCTTTAGGGCTCATGTCCTCTAGCTTGTGCTCTTCTTTAGGGCCCATGCCCACTAAACCTTGCTCTTCTTAAGAGCCCATGTCCACTACACCTTGCTCTTCTTAAGAGCCCATGTCCACTCAACCTTGCTCTTCTTTAGGGCTCATGTCCACCAGCTCATGCTCTTCTTTAGGGCCCATGTCCTCTAAACCCTTTTTTTCTTTAGGGCTCATGTCCACTAGCTCATGCTCTTCTTTAGGGCTCATGTCCACTAACCCATATTCTTCTTTAGGGTCCATGTCCACTGACCCATGTGCTTCTTTAGGGTCCATGTCTGTTGAACCATTTTTTTTTCTTTAGGGTCTATGTCCATTGACCCATGTTTATCTTAAGGGTCCATGTTCACTTACATATGTTCTTAGTTTGGGCTCATGTTCATTAACTCATCTCTCCTTTTGCGCTAGTACTGTCAATTTTATTATTCAACACTAATACTGTCCAGTTTTTAAGTCCTCAGCATTTTCAGTGCAAAAACACTCTCAGCATTCGCCTTTTTCTCAACACCCAATCAAAAAAAAAGTTCAACTTCTGGATCACCACCATGATTATCAGTGTCACTTTCCTCTTATCAGCCATTCAAAAACAAGGAGGAGTGGAACTTCCGTATAAACAGTCGAGATTTTTTTAAGGGTACAACTTTTTGCCATGATGCAACAGTAAGCACTAGTGAGAGTCAAAATTTAAGGTTGTCAGTGGGATGGCTCAAAAAAACTGATGTTAATGGACACAGGCCCTTATATCTTTGCTCAGTAAGTCCACTTCTAAGTGATATCTTTGTGCATTTAATCTTACTGTATTTAATGGCCTGCAAAGAGGTCTTACACTCTGGCTTAACTTGGCAGCACAGTATTCAAAATGTTAACACTTAGTTCATTAAAAACAAATGCACTTCAGTGGATTTACATGATTTCTTCTGTGGGAGATTTTCCAAGGAGGGAAATCTAATTAGCCGAGCAGTCAGCAGGGATCTGTGATGAAAAGTCACATTTCTGATGAGGTTATTAAATTTTAGGGAATGTCAGAAGGAGTTCTTCAGCAAATGGAGGACATATACACACAGTTTGATCAAATAAAACTGTGCAGAGAGATTAAAATACATATTTGTAGAGGTTTTAAAGAAGGTGAACAGATGCCATGTTGGGTTTACAGGATCAAAACAAACATTGACGTCTCTGTCAGAGATGTTTTCTCTGAGCAGCTTTTACCCAGCATATCTGATTCACTTTGCTTCAGTCTGAAGATAAAATATTTTGCAGTAATGTCACTATTTTATTCATATTTTGCCAATAGAGGACTTTGAACCTCTTGCGTCATGATCCAAATCATTTATGATCATGCTAACTGATGTTTCACTGGCAGTATTTTTACTCTGCAGCAATTAAAATGTCAGCGAAGGAGAAGGAGAAGGAGGAGAAAGAAGCCAGAGACAGAGCAATGAGGAGCAGATCAGAGAGGGAGGAAGAAAGGAAATGAAATTCACTCTGAGAGGCGGCATATTTAACACTTGACCCCATTATGGAGAGCGAGCGCGGAGGTGTGTCTCTGCTTTATTGGCCTCTGCTCCGACAATGTTCATCTCAGAAAATTACATGATCTTTGGTTGGGATTCATGGCCTACTTTGTGCTCTGATATCCACACTGACAGGATCACACGCTGAATTAATAACCCCAAATACTTATTATATCACTACTCAAACTCCACTCTTTGTCTTTTATATTGCCTATCCCGCTTCCAGTAGTTTAATATTTCTGTTTCGGACATGTAGCCACAACTGCAGAGTTTAATTCAAGACTTTTCAGGTTTGAATCAAGAAGACAGAGACAAACCAGGAACTTATTGTTTTAAATATCGTCTTTCCTTTTCCTGTTTGTAGATTCACTGCAGAGAAATTCACGTTTTTTTCATGCATGTTTTGCACATAGACAGGTTTTCCTATCGTGACTTTAGTATTTTAAGCAAAGAACCATCATTCTGCAGGTAATGTAGAAACCCAGTCCCCAGGTCAAGTCAAATCCAAGTTAACTGTTACTGTCTCCACACCAAGCGTGATGAAACAATCATTCACTCGAATGAATTTCATGTTAAGTCAATGCAAAGACGCGATTAGACACTCCTACTCCTCTGGCGGTGCGAATGACATGAATTGGGCGTGGGCTGCAAATGTCTCAACTTGAAGCGATAACTAATCAGCACGAAGTTTGCCGGGTGACAAATGAAAACGGACGGTCGTTCACTGGTATCTAAAATGGAGGACAAACTGATCGGTGCCCCGAACTATATGATACCTTTTCTTTCAATTACTGAAACCGGGATAAAAAGTAACTCACCTGGAGGCAAGTGAGTGAGGAGATCAGATTACCTGTTAAGTTGTAAAAAAACCTTTGTCTATCACTTGATCCCACTGGTTGAATAAGCAGGGATTAACGGTGAAATTATTGTTGAAATTAAAATGCGAATGAAGCGAGTAAATTGTATTCATACATGTGTCTAGATTTGCGAGTAGATGATGTTACTCGAACTTGGTGTGAGGGCCCCATTAGGCTTTTAAATGTTAAAAACTGACTGATAATCGATCACTCACTGGTATCCACGGACATCAACTCAAGGACATCCTTCACTGCAGACCTCCTCAGTGAAGAGTGTGATGCTGTCACACTAACCAAAACACAGTCACATTGACAAAGGGACCCCAGGTAATGCAACTGCTTACATGCATCAGTCTATTTAGCTGCACCTGCATGCTTAGTTCATAGGTAGTATCTCAAATTCAGCGTACTGAACTGATATATTTTATTTCTGTTTGATACAGAGTAGATTTCCAAACATAAACATCAGGGATTTTTCCAACTTGTACCTCTGAACCAAAATACAGGGGTTTAGAGACACCAGAGCAGTGGAGTTAACGAGACACAGGTGAGACTCATCAGGGTTATCAGGGGAGCAGGTTACACAAGGAGGAGGAAGTCAATAAACCAAGAGACAAGGGTGAGTATCAAAATAAAACAGGAAACACAAGACAAGAAAAGTGAGGGATTAAAAAAAAATAATATTAGTAATCAGGAGATGTGACAACTGAAATGTGTTTTCAATCACAGTAAAAGCAGAAAGGCTTTGTAGTTTAATGCAGCTTTTCATTGCTTATTAAATGTGTGTGTAATGCACAAATCTGATTCTGCATGCAGGTGATAAACGTCAGGATTTTAGCCCATAACGTGTTAGATAAAATGCAGCTTTTTGATTCGTTCGAGGCTGGCGCGCTGGTCTATATGGTAACCATGGCAGCATACCTTTTGTAAATGGGGGTGCTTGTAGTGTGTTGGACTGCACACACAGACACACACATGCATGCGATGAATGCTAATGTTCAGCCTCGGATGGAGACACTAAGGTTGCCCGAGGCGTCGACTTCAGCCTGCTGACCAGCTTCCTGTCAGGTTTGTCTGTCAGATTGTTGTGAGGCTGAAGGTTTATTCCAAAATGTGGAAAAAGTGGGAGGATGGTTTTCCCAACACTGCAGGAGAAGATAAATGCTCTGGTCAGGAGCGTTGGGTGTTAGTAGCTGGATTTTCATGGTCAACTGGGGCAAGAGAAGACCTTGACTTTAAGTTAAACTTGATTCCGTTTAGCTTAAAATCTGGCACAAGATGTAAGATTTATGAGAAATCTACACACCCAAAGACATTGCCAGAAGTGATATACCATATGACACCAGCCTGATTCAAAACTAGCCTTAATACTAGGATGCAACAACAATTGACCCACTCCTAGAAATATTTTAGTTTGAATAATATTGACAATGCACTGAATAATAGCTGCAAAATTAATGATTGTCCTGTATGCAAGTATTTTGATGAGCAGGGATGCAGTTTGTTCTGCAGGATGGTTTTAGCATTTAACCCCTCAGATGTTGAGGGATAGATTGATCTGTCTCATTTGTTCAGGTTTATCAGGCTTAAAGCCCTGTGGTTTCTTTGTGGATTAGGCCTTGTTTGCATAATTTCCTTTGCTGCAAAATCTTCACACAGACTGGATTTTACATCATAAGAGACTAGGATCCAAACCATTGTTAGAAGAATGAAAATCAAGAGTTTGTAAAATTCAAACCACCATTTTTTAAACTCATTCCTTTATTTCATATCACAAATATTTTTAAAAGGTACAGTCAAACAGTGATGGTTTAAATCAGGGAGTTAAAGCAGTGGAGGCCCTGTGCTGCACACTGACAAATGGTTCTGAAGCCTGGTCTGTTGGTGAGGTAGTCTGTTATCCATGCAGACAGGTGACGATCTACTCCCACTCTTTCCAGCTTCCCCCCTGAAAAGCAAAGCCTGGATTGTGTTGATGACGCCGGAGAAATCAAATAACATGACTCTCACAGACAGAGATCTGTGCAGCAGGCAGGTGACAACGTTGGCAGGTGAACTGCAAGGGGTCCAGCTTTGGGATCACCAATTGGCAGAGGTTGTGAAGGATGATTCTCTCCAAGGTCAGGTGAGAAATGAGGGCAACAGGTCTGAAGTAGTTGGGCTCCTTGGGGACAGAAACCACACAGGAAGTTGGAAACCTCTTCAGACTCAAGTTCAGTTTGAGGATGTCCAAGAGCACCTCACAGAGCTGGTCTGCACAGTCCTTAAGGAGCCATTGGGACCTGTAGCCTTCCTGGCAATGATCATCCTTAGCTTGCTTCTCACCTGGTCTGGTGTTTTGAAAAGGACAGGGAGGAGTGGGAGGTTGGTAGAGGGCTAAGATGGTGTAACAGGGGTCAGAATCAAACTTGTTAAAACACTGGTCTTTGCAGTGGCCTGAAATGTTCGTCAGGCCTCTCCTGACCTCCCTTGAGTTGCTCTGTTGTAGTTCTTTCTCCATTTTAGCCCTCTAATGGGCTTTGCCTTCCTTGGATTTATGTCTCTGTGTTCAAATTCGTTTGAGGGGGTGCACAATTTTGGGGCAATTTACTGCAGCCTACCAAACTGCCTCTGTGTGGGTAAATGGAGAAGAGAACAATGGCAAATTAACTCCCTTTCTTTTGTAATTTATGTCACTTCAAGTTTTGATTGGTGTCTCTAAGTGGTCCAACAAATGAAGCTGTAGTCTCTCCAATCAGAGCTCAGATCTCATCGGCTTTCCTCTCTGTTTAAATTTTTTTTTAAAAACTTCCAGGGAAAATTTCGGAATTTCAGAAGTTAATTTGGAGTCAGAGCTGATAGAGGGTAAAACAATCATTTGTTTTCCATTGACTGAACAGGGCCGCAGTTTTGACAACAATTCAAATAAGCGAGCAGCGAGAACAATTCCATTTAAAGCCTCCAATTAGTTGAATTGATTCCACGTTCAGCTCAGTCACCGGAGACAACAGCAGGAATAGAAAAGGAGGTGATTATGTCTTTAATATTTGGGTCAGGCTCCAAGCTGAGCGCTAGAAACCAGTCCATTAGAGCACAAAGGGCTCATTTTTGGTGTGTTTTTGGCTTAAACTTTGTTATAATTGCTTTCAATGGAATAAAAAAAAAAGTGTTTCAACAGTGTGATAGATACTGTAGAGGATCAAGGTGAAGTGATAGAGGATATCTGGGGTTACATCCCATCATGTAGACCATTACCTGGACCTCAGAGTCCACCAGGACTCACATTAGATAACAGCGGCCTTCTTTTATTGCTCCCAGCGGTGACATAAATCTGGTGGCAGTCACCAAATATTGACCGTAATGGTGACAAATGCAGCCTGCAAAGGACAACACTTTTCAGCTCACATTGTGCTCTCCTGTATGAGGCCGCTTCATTACTGGGATTCATTAAGTGTGCAGGACAGACTGGGTAATGCTGCCAGAACTGAAAGGCACCAATTTGCTTTAACAATATGCGAGGCTGTCCTAATCCCTGGCTGTAGACCTGAATGGTGAAATAAATGGTCGTGAATATTCAGCCCATGAATCTTTAACCAGAGCTGCTCTCTTCGCTTGTTTTCAAACTCTGCTCGTTGGAGTTGCCTCGCTTGCAGAGCTGAAAATTCAAAGTAGCAGCTCTGGAGTTAATCCTCGAGTATGTGGTGTACCTGCTCAGTCACCCGAGTCGCCGTGCTGCAGGTGGGATGATGAGTTTCTGTCCCGATCACTCACAGACCCTCGCCAAGTCTTTGTGTTATCTGAGCCTGCAGTTGGTGGGATCCTGCAGCGTGTCCTGTTGGTTTATGTAACTCATGTCCCGCCTGCGTGGACAGGTTCTCCGTGCAGCATGCTACAGCCCAAGCCTCCTGTGCTGCCCTACTTAAACACTATTTTAAGACTTCCCACACGGGTTCATTTGCCCTCATCTCCTTCTGTAGCATCCTTTAGAGTCAGGCTGGGAAAACCAGTCCAAGACAATCAGTGCACCACCGCCTTATTACAGAGAATAAATCTGTGCATGTTAAAGATGAGCCTACAAAAGCCTCCCAGTGAAGAGAGGACTTTCACTTTGCTAACAGGTTGTAAAAGATGGTAAACTTTTACTCTGAGGACCCCGATAAGAGTCCCATTTGATCGGATTTCAGTAAACATTCTCTAATCTCGGAAATTAACCATATTTTGAAAGTTTCCAGAACAAAAGTGTAAAAAAACCCAAATCCTTTAGGTGGCTGCACTCCCCTTATGCACTTTTTGTGGCGTATCATGCAGCAAGCATTAATAAATCATAAGTATTATGTTCCAGATGTCTACAGTTGATGAAATACACACAAGAACTTTTGCATATCTTCTCCTATCTAATTTTCCATCAGGATGCATGAGACATCTGCAGAAACTTTGGCCTTAATACGGGCAGTTGATGCAGACATAGATAGAAGAGGTCTGTGGTTGTAAGATGGGATAATTAAGGCAGAAAAGGAGTTGTCTATGAATATGGTGATAAATGCAGAGAAGAAAGCACATACCGAGGTAGATTAATTAAGACCTGTGTCATCATCAAGCTCTGTTTTAGTTTTGTTTAGTTCCTGAACTCCCACTATGCTAAATGTGAGTTTTGGTTAAGTTTAGACAACCTCTATAAGGTAAGCACAACCCTAATGCAAAAGAATGTTTTTTTATGGTTTGCCCCACTGTGTGGAATCTGTTATGTGGATTTTAAGTGGTAAATTCCCAGTTGTGTAAAATGAGATAAAAACTGCAGTTCCTCTACTGTCCACTTGGGGCTAGCTCCAAAAACCAAAGGATTCCCATAAACACCAATGTTAAAATTACAGTTTACAGCAGAATCAAACAAGTTTTACTGCATGAGGTGGTTTTGTTTTCTGTGGCCCCTTTATTCACACTTAGGGTGATATTTTTGATTTTAAAGCACATCCACTTTTAAAAATATTGAGCCATGCTTGATAAGGGGTGTGCCTGATGTAACTTTGAGTCCCCCTCTCTAATAGGCTACAGAACACCGTTTAGTATGTATGTTTTGAGCAATAAAAAACAACTTTGCTGATATATGCCTGAAGTCAAATTGTTAATGATAAACTTTAATAAAACATTTAAAAAAAAACTGTGTTGTAAGGTGTGCTCAGATTTGTCCATCATACACCGCAGTCCTGCTGTCCTTTCATCAGAGCTTTAACATTGAACATATCTGGATATGAAAGCCTTTTTTTGAGTTAAAGTTTAAAATATTTGACTTTCTCTTTTCCCCTTTTAAGACTAAATGAACAGACACCCACTCACACAGCAGCTTTTAGTACCTGGATTGTGTAGAAATTGATGTTGATAGTTTGGCAGTGAGGAGTGGTGATTCCATGATTTAATGACATGACCCAGCGGCGGCTCACTGTTAATTTTCCCTCTTATCTCCGTTTTATCTTTTGATGTTTTTCACATGAATGCAATTTCAATAACGCTCCTCTCACACAGCTCTGGAGTCACTTTAATGGCTTCGGCTCCATTTTTTGGAGGAATTTAATTAGCGGGATATTATTTGAACTCTCTCCTGCTGCGATGTGTTATTTGTGCCTCTCTCTACGACCTGATCTGACGGCTCGCTCTCCTCGCTCGCTCTGACTGCTCTCAAACACCCATCAGTCAAACACCAGCACCGGAAATGAATGATGAATCTGAAATGTTTGTGCAGGATTGTTTTAATCTGCCAGGGTGATGATGGTTTTCAAACAGTGTCAGCGGTGAAGGAGGAGCCCGCCGCGTCACGATGGAGGCCCATTATTTCACAATTTTTTTTTAGTGCTGCTTGGAAGTTATAGTGGAGAGCTTTTATTTTGGTAATTGGATTTAAATCTGCTCCTCCTTGGGTTATTTTAGAGCTTTGATCCTGAGATAAGTCAACCATATTGATTTAAAGCTGACCTTTATGAACCTCTGAAATACTAATGAGAACATCTCTGACTGTGCCGACACTTAAGATATTTTACAACTTTAGAAAAAAATAGTTCTCAAAGTGATTCGTCTGTGCATTTAGGAACATGGACTTCTTCTTGACTTTTTCAGCAGATTTCACTAATCAAACCCATCAGCACTCCTGCATGAGCAGGTTAACAAATTAATCTGCAGTTTGTGGCGCCCCCTGTGGACAAAGTATGTGTTACTTATAGTGTGTGACATACAGTTTGTAGTAGTTAAAGAGCGCTTTGAATAGTCAGTAAGACTAATCCCCACTTGCCACCACATCTAGAATGGCTTCATCATGGAACGGCGGCGATTTTTACTGTCCGCCAATTCCTACCGGCTGCATTTGTGAGACGAATTTGGTGGCGGATTTCGGGCAGCAGGATTCGCAAGAACTGGCAAGAACCCGCTGATTCACATGCAATCCCACGATAACCAGTTGTCACTAATAAGACAGCCACATAACCATAAAAGCAGTAGATTGTGTCCTTCCAGAGGAGGAGATCCACTTCTAGACTTCTAGAACCAGTATCTCTGCATCCATGGTGAAATCCTGTCTAAAAACTAAACCGTAACAGATTGAGAAGGAGCGGTTGGAAATTGACACATTAACTTCAATGGAAATGATCATCTGCAATCGGCAGATATGGCCTTTTCACAGCCGTTTCCAGATGCGGTGAAAAATTGGGGGTAAAGAGTGCGACATGAACACAGTCCATCCAGTATAACTAAGGTAATTGTTTACAGATGCGACAAAATCCACTCAAAGAATACTGGATGCATCCATATTCCTTTTTATTTGTGTTTTAGTGCCCCCTGTGGACCAAGTATGTACTACAAATTAAAAATGTTGTTTTATTTTTAGGGCACACACATACTGCTATTACAGTTAAGGATATTTACACTCCATCACACCTCATCTGCGATGTTAGGGAAAGTAGTGAAGTTGCCTCTAGTGCTTCCTGCAACAACTTAATGCGATAAGTTGTTGCTGGGACACCAAAGCGTGCCTTTCTGGGGTGTACTGTGTAAATACGAAGGCGTAATGATGTTCCAGCACTGTTGCAGAATTGCAGTGTGTAAAAGGCTTAAGTGTGTAGTTTGTTGATCAAGATTTTAGTGCCCCTGAGACAAAGTTGATAATCCATAACACTGTTTGTATGCAGTATGTAGTCCAATCTAATGGCACTGGTAATCTTGAGTTGGTAATCTCACAGAGTCTCAAATTGTTTATGCAGAAGTGCTTTGTCAAGAGTATTTTTATGTTTTTAAACAAAGATAGTTGCTCAGCGATAAATATAATCACTCAGAGAATAACTGTGGAGTTTTGATCATGATCTTGCTGTTTGGCATGTAATTTTTGGGCTTTTCTTAGACTAATAGCTGGCGTTCTGTGCCGCAGCACTTTGGTATTTCTTGTCCGTTTCAAAATCCCCAGCTCCCATTTCCTCAGCTCCACTTTGTTATCCTCAGAGCTTCTGTTCTGACATCATGTTTTACTTGTCAGGAGAAACAGCCGACACAGACAGCAGACTGAATCACTACATGGTTTCCAGTCATGAAATGCCCGCTAGGATTTCATCTCCGAGCAGTCACAACCCTGCGAACCAGCAGACTGATGTGTCTGGCACCCAAAATGAACAGAAACAGCAAGAGGTGGAAAAACGTGGCACTCTGAGGGGCTTGTTAGTGCATCTCTCTGTCCTGTGAGAAGTGCTAGATGATGTTTGTTGCTGTAAACCTGCAGAGGTGTGTTTTTTAACTCCCCTGCAACCCAAATCCTGGAGTATTTTCATCCCTCACTTTGGGCCAGGATCGGTTTTTATTTAGTTTTCATCTATCAGCTCCTAGAAGTGCAATTTCCTGTTTGTTTTTTAATAAATATAAAGTGCTGTCTCTGTGATTGCTGGTGCATAAGCCACAGGGTTGCATTTGCAGTAAACACAGGGAGAATTCTTGCCTTGTTGAATGCAATCTTCCCTCTCAGATACAATAATATATTTTAGGTTTAAGTGGAAAGAAAAGATGCACATCAGAACGGCGAAGCCCGCTCTTCTGGCTCTTCCTAGCTCTAATTAAAAGGCGAGATGTGTTTGGTTGGAGGGGGAGAGACGGAGAGAGGAGGCATAAAAGCAGAGATCAAAATGTTAGTGCTGGTGGCTCTCTGACAGCAGGAGTCCTCAGATGGAGACAAGAGGTAGCAGGAAGTTCATTTACTCCGCCGTGTGAGACACTCGAAGGCACCACGCAGCTCCGAGCAAATCAATCACACAAATTGTTGTTTGAAATCTCCTCTTCATCTGCGACTGTAAATGAACGCCTCAAGGTCTCGCGGCGTACATTTTCTGCAAACAGAGGGATGCAAATCAAAAGTAGCTGTTCGATTTTACACAAGGAGAGAAAAAAAAAATCTGACTTAGTGCAGAAATCACTCCTGCAGGATGCCGACTAACTTCCTCACACTTCAGGTGTTTAAAAAGAAAGAGGAGATGAGCAAAGGTAGACGGATTTAATAACGCTTTCACAAATGTCATTACAGCAGGAGGTGCAAATGTTACTCACTGCTCTCAGAGAAAACAAGCCTCCGCAGAAGTATTCGGCCTGAGATTAATGGCACAATTTCAGAGCGACAAAATATTTAAATGTTATCCGGCTGGGTTAATGGGCCCCAGAGATTTGTTTTTAGTGTTTGCACTGGCAAAATGACAAGCAGTCCCAACTCAGAACTGTTGTCTTTGGTGGGATACCTTTGAAGACAAAAATGTAAAATACATGCACGCCTATTCAGGACAAGAGGACCTCAACACTAATTTATAAAAATACAGTGAAGTGAGCTGGAAGAGTCAGCAGAGCTGGTCTTATAAGGAGTGGATGTTGCACAGTCTGGGGCCTGACCTGCGAAGTGCAATCACTTTCCAATTAAAGTCCCACTCCGATTTTTTTTTTTCTTTTCTTTTACTACTTAAAGGACTATAAATGAAGCATTGCGGTAGTTCAGGCAGGACACGGAGTCAAGCTAAAGGCTACAGTCAGCTGATCTTAAGCTAGCCCTCTGTCATCTGACAGCTCAGTTGATCGTCCTCAACACATCCTACTGGAGAATGTCAGCCTAACATTGTCATAGAAGAAGCAGGCAATGTAGGACTACTCAGCTCTCAGATATGAATGTCTTTGGGACATGATGAAAGTTAGTAACTCAATTTGTATATTTTCTTTTTAGCTTTTTTCGCACATGCTTGTTCCGCTATTGTCCGGGGGCGGAGCTTGGACTTGTGACATAGGAAATCTCACTGTATCTGAGCCTGCAATGCAGAAATACTCAGAAATGCAATTTTGCACTTACTTTCCTCGCGATCTGTCCTCTAGCATCAGAAAAATGCCATAAGAGCATGTAGACAACAAGAAAAACATGATTTTGATTGGAGTGGGTCTTTAAAGAGTCGAAGGCTCTTTTGCTTTGTTGTGATTTGGGGGAAAAATAATGCATTGCGAAATTTACCATAGATTTTGATGATCTCTATTGCAGCAGTTTGACACAGTTTTTCCTCAGATTTTTGAAAAAAATGAAAGTTCACATATCCCCTGAGCCATACTTCTAACAGTCTTTGCAAGATGGCTTCATTCTGTTCCATTACCAATGCGAGATGTTGTTGCTTATTGTGGGGTGTTTTGGCCTCAATTTTTTTAACGACAGAAGGTGCGAATGAAGTTGTTTGTTTTATTATTTGGCTTCTGTTTTCAAGCACAAATTAATGTTTTTTTTTTGTGACTTGGGTTCATCTAGCTCTAAAAGAAATAGTGCACCCATAGTCAGAAGCAAACCACTGAGGTTATAGTCATACCTGGGGCTGCTTTCGCAATGGTTTGTAGCCCCTGGATATGTAGTACATGCTCTGACCGTTCAGTTAAACCAGCACCTCAAAAAGACACATCTTCTAAAACATCTCCTTGTTTGTGCAATTCGCTCAGCGGGACCTGATCGTACCTGAGCTTGTTTCACTCTGTCTTTCTGCTCATCTTTCTCACCTCTTTGATGCCTTTGCTGTCAGAAAATGTCTTCATCCCTCTGAGGTTTGTATCCATCCTTTACTCTCTCCTGAATTTCTCATTCTCTTTGTTTTAGCGGCAAGGGATTTCTTCCCCTGGGCGTATGACAGACCACCACCTCCTCTGCCCCCATCTGTGCGCTGACCTCTCTTTTTTGTACAAAGCAGTCACTCTTCAAAAGCTCAACAATCACTTTGCTGTTTCACACGTTCGCTCTCTTTCAGTCTTTTATCATTTCCTCACCTGGTGTTGTTAAAAAACTGACTCTACTTTAATTCTTCGCTGTAGAAGAAGGAGTTTCTTTAATATTTTCAACACCCACATACTGCAGGTCATCCTTTCTTTGAGAGGATTGACCCACAAGAGAAAAGCTGCAGAAATTCTTACATTTTCTGAGTCATATCATCCAGGTTACCTTTCCACAGTCTGCTCCCCTGCTGATGATAATTAGCAGGCTCTCCTGCAGTCAGGACTGTGGGGGGGCACTTTGAGCTCTGGGTAGACGACCAAAAACTGTGGACACACACCAAGCAGAACAAGACCTCCCTGAGAAACAAGTCAATTAACCTGCTTCATAAAACGATGGCTATGCAGATCCCTGTCAAACGCTGTGAATGCTGGGTAATGGCTTGTAGCTTTTTTTTGTAAAGGCGTAGTTTGTTTGGACATTGAGAAACCAAAAACTGAAGCTTAAAAAATATCAGACTGATTTGATTTTAACAAACTGACACGTCAATTAAAAGAGCGAATTTGATACAAATTTCTGCTTTTCATGTTTTTTGTGCAAGAACAGTTACTTGTTAAGATGCTTCTGCAGTTGGCAATTTAATATTAAGGGACCAAAAGTTTTGACTTCTGCCTGCAACAAAAGTGTCAAAGTTTTCCAAGACAGTACATCTCAATATTATGCATCTGCAGGATCAGAGACGACAGTTTTATGATCACAATTCTGGGTCACAATGCTACATCCCGGAGAGCCTTGTATTGGTGAAACAGTTAGGTATAGGGATAAGGGTATACATTATCCATTTTATGGTCATCCATCCCAGCTATAGGCTGTGTCTCTGAATTGAGACACAGCCATAGACTGTATATAGAATGGACGCCATCTGCCTCCTTGCTGGGTGAAGCCACTACAAGAACAGCACCCTCTAGTGATGGGCTGCAGTATAGGCCATAAATCCCGCCTATCTACAGCAATCCCTATGGAGCTGTGGACAAACTTTAGAAATTTATTACACAGAATATAAATGTTTCTCCCCCCTGCTTGTGACTGGTTTGTACTCAAGTCCTATTTTTTTCTGTGAAGCTCCATTTTTAAAAGTTATGAGGGGGTTCATATTTTCTATGGTTGACACCTGATACAACCTATGGGCATATGAAGATTGCGTAGCTCACCCGGTTTTGAGCCGAGCTTCATCACAGCAACTCTCGTCGACTCTCCTGCCGAATGTGTACAATACTACTGTGCAATGTTGGTTTCAAGAAATGGAGAAAAAATGCTGAAATACTGAGAACTTTTCAGCTTCAAATCCGTATACTGGCGGAAGGCACAACCAAGTTGTCCATAGTTTATACAGTCTATGATCCCAACAGTAAAATGCAGGTGATCCAGGCTTGTAAATGTAAGCTATTTTTTTATTTCATTGGCCGTTTAAGGGGCTCGCTTACTATGGTAGTGGTAGCTACCTCAAATGCAATGCCGGTTCTTCTGACTCCTGCAAAACGGTTTTCTGTAACCTTACAATAATTTATATATTAATTGTCAAGTATTTTGAAGACCATTCCAGTTGTTTAGCCAACTATATTTCTGTTCATGCCATTGCATTAGTGTGTAAATGTATGTTTGGATATGATACAGTTTGTTTAAATTAGCCCCAGTTTCCAGTTAATTCCCATAAATTCCCATAATTCCAATGGAAAGTTTCCAATTTGGAATATTTCCAAAATTCCCAAGTGTAACCTCCATTGGAAAATTTCTGGAAATTTTCCTCCCCTTTTCAACCCAATTATTGACAAAACTTTAAGCAGTTTTGTCCCCATCATACTAAACACAAACTTCATCAGCTCTGTTTCACGACACAAACTGAAAACACATCAAAACAAACTCTCAGATCTGAAAATAAAAAAATGACTTAATGAAAGACTCTTCACAGCAGGAGTCTGACATTGATATTACCAGTTAAGTGGCGAAGCCGCAGCAGAAATCATTTGACTCTCAAATAAAGCACATAAATACAGAGAGCAGCAGGTGTACAAGGACTGACCCCTGGGAAACAGCAGGTGTCCACTTCCTGTTAGCGCAGCGTTCATCAGAGTTCATCAGAAGTGCACAGAAGGTTGTTACTTTCAAATGTACTATGAGGAGTTTTTAGACAGCTATGAATTTAACAGGGGGATAGACTGTGGTCTTGGTTTAGAGAGAAAAAAGGCTGCAGTGACCAATACTGGATTGTCACTGGTGTCTTGATAAAAATGGTCTGTCCTCCCATTAAATATTCCACCAAGTGCCATCAATTAAGCATAGGGTTAGATAATTTAGCGATCGGTTTCTTGCAGACAGCGTTGGTGGTTCCAGCCCACTTAAAAACACTGTGTGAGTGAAAGCTCTTGAGTGTGTCAGTCAGGATTATTGCAGAGTGTCAGAGGAGATGGAGGCTCAGACTGACCCTGAGGTCAAACCTCCAACCACACGCCTTTTGGCAAACACTTTGAAGCGTGTCTGCAGCAGCTCGATGGCGGCCTGCAGGTGCAAAGGACCCGCAGGCTCTGCAGGATCCGAGCCTGAGTTTTAATAAGCAATCTGAGTGAGGACCTGTTGAGGCGGAACCTGACCCCGGGGCATGTTTGACACGCTGATACACGGGGCAAGCAAATGTTCTCCACAACGTCACCTTCACAGAGCTTCAGGCAATTAAAAATCACAGTGTGCAGACAGAGCATACTCTTGATTATATCTTAAATTAATGAAAACACAATCATGATGTTGTTATGAAAATGTGATTTTAGAAAAGGTCCTCCTGTTTTGACACCGTTTGGCTTCGTGTTGACATTTCCAAAAGTCCCACTGTGCTCACATTTTAACGAGCGCTGGCATTATCACTCCAGAGCTCATTTGAGATTCTTATGAGGGCGGTCGATACTGAGCATGACAGCACCTAATCAATTAGGCCCTGCAGCCTGTCAGACAGAGTGCAGGGCTGCTGTCGCTCCATCTCCAGATACCTCTTTATGGAGTCGTATTAATCATAAACCTCCACATTAACACCATCAGATGAATGCAACGCGCGCTGCCTCTGCCATCTTTAATTAGCATCATCATGCACAATTGTTTACTTGTCATGAATGATCATTTAATTAATGTATCTTCAAATGAAGGATGCAAATATTATGGATAGATTACAACGAGATCAGCAGCAAACGGCTCCTGCAGCGGCTTAAAGAAGCTCAGCTCTGCAGGACAAGTATCAATCACATTTCTATGTAAATAGATGTAATTATCTGTTCTAATCATCACACACTACTCAGAGGAAGTCTGTTTGCTGCTTCACATCAGTGAAAAATGCAGAAATGAGGAGGAGACCGAGCTAAGGAGAGGATCTTTTTCTCTCCAGGCTTTTACTGAAGGCTGGTGTTATTTTACAGCCGATTCTAGGAGTGGGGCTCCTCTCCAGTCGGAGTCCTCACCAGACGCTGAGACACTGATGCTACTTGTCTTTTTGTTTCACTTTGAGAGCGCTGAGTTGAAATTAGCCTGCATTAGAAAGAAACCCAACACATCTGCAGAGAAAAAACCTAAACCATCTGAGTCACAGAAGAGCATCTGATATCGTGTTTTAAAACCAATCTGGTCGTGTTTTTGGTCGTTTTAAGACACAAACACAACAAAGAGTCCAAAAGTTAGCGCAGACTCGTAATTAATCTGTTTTTAAAGTTTTTAAAACAATTTCTCAAAAACCATCTGGGTTTCTCAGGAAAAATCTCTAAACAAAATTTCAAAGTCTGCATCTAACAGTGCAAAGATAAAACATTCAAATGTCTATAAATGAAGAGTAACAAATAAAGATTTATATTTACATGTCCGCACAGACACTGATAAAAATGTAATCCTCTAAAACTTGCGTACTATAAACATATTCATCTCACACATATTTTATATTTAACGCAGTAAATTTTTGCAAAGCCCATGGGAACATTTTGCAACATCTTGTGTAAATTACACTGATCGGTTCATAAACTAATAATATTTAGATGTGCTTTTTAATAATGTTTTTTATTATGTTTCTTCTACTGGATCATCTGATTAATAAAGTTGTTTAATGAACTTTTTCAGTGAGGCCGGTGTTATTTCAGAAAAAAATAATGAATGGACTTCTGCAAATGACATTTGTGGGCTGTAATTTTGTCTTTTTGTTAACGTGTTTTCATCTTTTTAATGTCTTCATTTTGATTATCTTCTTCTTTCACCGCTCCTTTTTTTGTTTCTAACCTTCTCAGCCTTCTTCTGTTATAATCTTCAACTCCTTCATTTCCTCTTCTTTTTTGTCTTCTGCATCGTCTTTATTTCCTTGTGTCACCTCTTCTTTTTCTTCTCCTTCTTCATCCTCTTAGTCTTTTCCTTGAACTTTGTCTTCTTTGCAATCATCCTCTTTGTCATCTTCGTCTTTGTCTCATTTCTCTTTGTTTTCGTCTCTTTAATCACTCTCATAAACACCACAGCCTTGCCCTGTTCTGTCAGCCATCTAAACCCTTGTGTTTATGCTTCTTTGCCCTTTTTTTGAGGTGATATATTATACCATAATGGTAACAGGCTGTCTATGGGAAAAGAAATAAAGAGTTGTTATAAGATTCACAATTTTAAACATTAAAAATCTGCGAAAAAACCTCCAGTAACTTCAGAATTATGGATGCAGTTCAACACTTTTTCCCCTGCTTTGGACTCAAAACCTAAACAGTGTCCTACATCCTTCATAAAACTGCATAAAAATAAGTAAGAAATAGTAACATATTCATTTATTTGTTTGGTTTCTCTTCATTAAGGCTTAAATTTGACTTCTTTGGTCCAAAGTGGAAAACTAGTTTCAGACCAGAGTAATGCCTGACCTGTCTGTCCTTAGAAGGTGTAACATTTACTGTAGATATTCATGAATTCTCCATCTTGTCCCCTTTTCCTCGCCTCCTCCTTATTTTTCCAGAATTCTTGTTTTTCTGTTGAGTCACAAGGTCAGCCAGAGGAGGATAGGAGGAGGTGAGGACACTAGGCTGATTCTCCTCCTGACTGGAAAAAAAAAAAAAAAAACATGTCAGGGGCTCACAAAGAGCCCGAGAGCGGCGACACACGATCCCTAATCGAAGAGGGAGAAACAGAGATCTTCAGTCTCTGGGGCTCCTGGTGGGAAGTCTTAGTGAGTCAGCCGCCTCAGCTCTCTGGTCTTTTTGGAGAAGAAGGAGAAGGGATAAAAGGTGATCTTGTGGGTGTGTTAGAGTTCCCCAGATAACTCTTGAACATTGAATCTTTGACCCTAATGTTACTACTATTTCAAAAGTCCATAACAGCAATAAGACTTTGCTGAATTTTCTGCATGTTATCTTATTTTTTTCCCCCCATACCATGGGGGATGCTGGCTTTCAACTGTGAATTGACAAGCCGGGTGGTTCCTCGAGAAGAATGCAAAGTCCATGATTTCCAAAAAGACTGAAATTTTAACGTTTTCCAAATTGCCTCATCCATCTTTTTTTCAGCCTTACACAACTTTTTCATTGTTAAGTCGTCCCCCTGAATCATGTTCTTGTTTAGTGAAAATATGCATATTTCAAATTAGATACCAATAACATTTTTCAGTGACAACAATTGACATATTGACCTTGTACTATTTAGGGTGACCTTACGTCCTCTTTTACCCAGACATGTCCTCTTTTTGGGGGGCTGTCCAGTCTTGTTTTAAAAAATCCTTGAAATGTCCGGGGTTTTGTATGGAAGTTTTGAGTTCGTGTCGTGTGGACTAACTGAGTTAGAAGCGCGTAAAAAACACTCGACCCAACCAGAAAAACTCAAAATTAACGACGCACCACTCTGTGACTCCGTGACTCCACCCCGTGAAGTAGTGACCCTAGTCACCCTTGTGCCATTTCTTCACTTTTTACCCAGCATCCTAACTACTTAAATAAGGGCGGGTGCACATAGGTGGGTTACACCTCCCTTTATTTGTACACAGATGATGCAAGGCGCAACAATAGTAGTCATAGGAGGAGAGAGATAACTAACACCATGTGTAGTTTTCTTCAGCTGTTTGTTCAGGTCCATTTCCTGTGCAAACCAGTTAAACTTGCACGGTGCATGTGTTAAAATGTGCACTCAAATTGTCTGTGATTGTCTGTGCTCAGCTCATATTTGTAAATGCACTGAAGGACCTCGGTTGTAATTTAACAGTTTGTTTGTCTTCATGAAGTCTTGCCATTTCTCTCCTTTTAATCGTTTCATCAACTTGCCTCTCAATAGTTGCTTTGTGCCAAACTTTCAACCCAATTACAGGAAAACATGGAGTGTAATTATGGAAAAGAACTCACTGGATAATTCATTTTTGAAATATTCCGCTGCTTTTCATTCACACCCACCTGATCAGATCGTCTTTAAAATGTTTGGTGTGTCTCCTCCTTATTATTTCTATCATTTATCGTCTTGTCTTTGTGCCATGAGTCTTATTAGATTCAGCTCTGTAACACCAAAGTTTCAACATAAAGCTGTTCCCAACTACGGCCCTGCTCTTGTTTTTTTTTTATTTGTTTTTTTCCATTCAGTTTCCTCTGAGCCAAGATATCGTAAAGTGAGGTTTTAGCTTCCATCTGTTCTTTGTCGTACGAGTTAAGCTACAAGAGAAGAAGCTAAAAGTTTTCCTCAAGTGTCTGAAGATGCAGAGGATTTCGTTCTTTATGACTTCAAGTATTTTGATGCACCATCTGTCTGAGTTTGGGTTTTGTTTCAGCATCTACATATGGCAAATCATTGGATGTTTAAGACGGAAAAACTTGTAAATTCGCTGACATTAAAGTTTGGCAGTGTTCCCAGGACTCTCAAAGAAGTTCTTGATGAGAACTAAAGGATTTTTTTCATTTGTACATGCTCATGTGGGTGTAAGAACAAAGGGTCATGACAGGTGGTGAGGGGTACACTAACAAAAAAAACAACTGTTCAGACATAACGGTGCAAACGCTGATCTTGTGGAGAGAGAGAAAACGGAACTGGAGATCTGAGAGAATGTCGCCAGTCAGCTTTCTCTTGAAGTGCAAAGTTTTAGTAAAAAAAAATTATGTAGTTTGGAAATCATTTAAAGCCTGTATTTGGCAGAAAATAGTGCAAAGACAAAATATCAAACATTAGAGCTAAAATATTTCATTGCTTTATGAAAAAAACGACTCATTTTGAATTTAATGTTTCTAAAAACTTTTCAGAAAAGTTGTGCATTGTTAAAATACAGCTGGGGGGAAATCTCCTTTCTAGTTTACAACAAATTAGTACCATGATTGGTTATAAAAAGGACATTCAGAGAGGCTGAGTCTTACTGTACTCACTGAGAATAACCGTTTGGCTGTTGAGAGTGTTTTAATACAAACAATGGCGGCTTTTTTGGGGGCTGCCATGGAGGAGAATGGTCAATTACAGGTAGCCCTGTCCTAAATTCTAATCTAGTTTATGGCCCATTTTACCCTGAATGGGACCACGAGTTACAAGAAGAACATTATATTGAGTGGAGAGACTTGAAATTAGAGTTTGAGAGTTTTACTCTTTTGAAAACTGCTAATTTAAGGATTAAACCAAGTGTGAAGTAAGACCATTTTCTCTGGTTTGCATACAGCTAGACTTCTCTCTCCGACCTCCTGCTGGACACGGTAAAGGATGCAGATTTGAGGTTTTACTTTTTTAACAAAGACAAGGCTCATTGGCGACATTGTGAGCATGCTTTAATTGCTTGTTTGAACTTTTTCTTTCTTAATGCAAATTATCAGTATGTAATCCAAACTTTATTCTTTCTCTGTTTGCAAAGCTGCTTTGGATTTTTCACAATTGTACAAAAGTGCAGTTTTTTCTCCCCTCAAGACTGGGATCCTTCAGTTTCTTGACTTTTTGCTTCTTTCTCCATGGAGTCCCTTATCACGGCAAGGATAACGGCAGCTTTGTGTGATGTTACTTCTGACATATCGAAGAAGACATCAGATAAATCTGTGCTTATCCTTGTTAGTAAATCACAGACTCCAGAAGCTGCTGACACGCCGTCCTGAAGCCGGTGGAAACTGTGCGGGTAAGGCTGTGGACCAAAACTGTAAGACCTGGGAGAAAACTGCTTTCTTTGCAGGAAAATAAGCAGGATGGACTGACTGACTGTTCACAGCTGCAGCCTGTGAAACGGAAAATGAACTGATTTGTCTTCAGCAGAGGATGTTACTGGGAAAAAAAAAAACACATTTTTTTAAAAGCCCCAATCTTTAACAGTAGCTGTATTTCTCGGAAGATGTGGTTCACTTGTAGACTGCATTAAGGCTCTTTCAAGTGCAGACAGGAACACTATTATCAGGTCGAGTGCACTGACTGGAAACCGCTGCTGAGAAAGTGTACATTTGTTAAATCCAGTATGCTGATATGTGCCACTTAGAGACTCTGGGGTTTACTGAGAAAGAAATAACAACAACAAGACATCAATGATTAACACCGGCTGATACAGTAAAGCATGCGTGACATACATTCATTTCTCTGCTGCCTTTCAGTGCGATGCTGCTGTGGAAAAACATCTTAAACAGTCTTGTGTCTTGTATCCAAGCTGTTGGATTGATATTTGGTTTAAAATGATAAGTGCTTTTAAATCAGTGCAATGCAGGGAGAGCAGCAGCAAATCCCAACAGGAAATTACACAGAAGCTAACTGTCTCCACGCACAATGCGTGAGTTAAATCATTTGCACGGATGAATTACATGTTAAGTCAATGTAAAGACGTGATTAGACGCTCCTACTACTCTGGCAGCCTGAATTACACAAATTGGGCAGGAGCTGAAAATGTCTCAACTTGAGCGAATATCCGCGTCACGATAACTAATCAACAGGAAGGTTGCCGGGTGAGGTATGAAGATGGAAGGTTGTTCACGTGATTGTGTCGGTGTGTGGGTGCCCCCAATTATATGATACCTTTTCTTTCAATTACCGAAACCAGAATAAAAAGGAGCTCACCTAGAGGCAAGTGAGTGAGGAGGTTGGTCAGTTGTAAAAAACCTTTGTCTATCACTTGATACCACCGGTTGGATCGGCAGGGATTATCGTTGAAATTACCATTGACGTTCGAATGAAGCAAGTAAATACTAGTTATCCACGCGTCTAGATTCACCCAAATTCAGCGAGTAGATGATTTTGCTTGCGCTTGGTGTGAGCGCCCCATAAAACTTCCTGTTCCCTTACACATATTCGCTTAAGATGACTGGGGGGGGTGATGATACAGAGAGGTTGAAGCTACCTTCTGTTTCATGTGTATATATTGAAAAGCCAAGGCAGGGAGAGCATCAGCAAAGAACTAACCTCCAGGTTGTGATTTAAGCCCCCTTTTCACATACAAATATGGAGGAGCAAAGCCAAAGCTGTAAGTATGATAGGAGGAATGCACCGCCACTCTGTTTCTTCAATATATATGGAAAACCAAGGCAGGAGGAGCATCAGCAAAGACCCCCAGGGTCTGTTTTGAGAGCTCCCAGCTCTCCCACCTGCATATGTGGGAGGCCATGGCCTGAAACGAAGAGAGCTCAGTTCCTACTGTTTCATGTGCGTTCTCGAAAAGAAAAGGTAGGAAGAGCAGCAGCAAAGACTCCTGGAGATCAGATGAGAGCAGGCCTCAGTGATGATCCATGGAAGTGGTTGAATGAGACACAGCATTAAAAAGGACGAGCTGAGATTGAGGCGGTTTATAAAAGAAGCAGTGAGAGTAGGCAAGCTGGTTAAATAGAACAACAATTTTTATCCTAATTTAATTTTTAATGTTATTTAATAGCCAAGATTCAGAAACCAGGAAAAAGACTGTGTATGTGCAAAACTCAGCAGCAAGACTACAATGAGAACTCTAAAATGAGAGCGCATTATCCATGTCAAATAACCGGGCTAAATCAATACTTGCAACTTATAGTCTGGCCTCTAATTATTTATCTCTATTTTATTATTTATTCATTATTTAGTATTGTTCTAATTTTGCAGAAGCATCTTTAGATTCTGGTTTTTCAGTGTAAAACTCCTCCACAGGGGTTCTACTTTCTGCAGGTCCATTAGAGGTTAAAGTCCTGAGATTGGAAATTACCAGCTTTCCTTTCTCATTTTCACTTTGCCTCTCTTCATGCACACTCAAACACACACATATGCACAAGGGCAAAAGGAGGTGATGAGTCCCACCAGGTCCACATGGTACTTCACACTCTGCCACCATAATGACACAGCCCGGGCTCTCTCCGTCCGTCCAGCCCCCCCGACAGCAGGCCGTTTAAAATGGATCTGGGTCACAGTGGGATCCCCTTCGTCCGCTCGCTGGAACCTGAAGCATTCGATTCATTTGTGACAGAGTTACTGCAGCCAATCCATGTGACACACTTATCAGTCAGTGAGAGCTGCTGCATTATGTATTAACACTTAGCAGGTACGCTGTCCTCCGTGCCGCTCATGTCAGCTGGATGTCAGCACCGGAGTGTGAGTGACAAAAGTGATATATCAGGGAGGATGAAGAAATCCCTGGACGCTTGCTCCATTTACTCAGCCAGCTCTGAAAAAAGCTGCAGTTTAAAACCTTTAACCTCGGCTGCTTCAGTGAAAATCAGTGACCATTGTGCTTTTTTAGAAACTAAAGAAGCTGTCTGCTGCTTGTAAAACCTACATTCATACACATCAAAAGGAACTTGAATTCATTTGACCCAACAGCTACTCAACGGGGGCCTTTAACACGTCATGATGTTACCTGATCAAGTTATCATGCATCCTTTTCCATCTTGGAAGTCAGATATTTGTAGATACCTGTTTGACACACCATCCCTAACCACGCCTGGAGCTTGAATTCCAGCATTCATTCCCTTCAAAATCCAAGATATCTGCCCTCAAATGTGGATCAGCTGCACATTTAATCGTGTTTATAAGCAACTTAGTCTTGTTTTGTGTAATTTGGTGAGTCAAACTAATGGTATTGTGCAACTTCTATCTGTGGACATGTTACTTTCTTGCAGAAACTATCGCATAGTGTGTTACTGTCTGGTCTTTCTAACGTTGCTAGTAACAACAGAAGCTACTTTTTGGCTTGGTTTTTCACTCAGTCAACTTAAGGTGCAAAGTCTTTACCAGCCCCGACATCTAAGTCTCATCTCACCAAATGAGACTCAGGGCTCTATTACTCAAGCTTTCAGCGCACTTTACACGCCACTGGCGAGCACGAAAATGTCACTGCGCCTGCAAATTCTGTTGACACCTCCCCCTACCACGCCCAGCTTGGCGGATCTCGGTTCGCCTCCGTGCACCTCAGTCCACGAAAATACCAAACTGGCTGTGCGGCGGGCACCGCCAGATGAAAATACAACTGCGCGGGGCCCGCCACCCTCCGCCCCCTCACCGGTGTACAAGAAAATAGAGCCCTCAGTCTTGTCTAGGGTGACTATACTCTGACTTCCCAAAAAGAGGACACGACTCCGCAGGGGCGGAGTCACAGAGTCGCACGAAGTTAATTTTGAGAGTTTTTCAGGTCAGATCGAGTGCCATTTTAGCGCTTCTAACTCAGTTAGTCCACGTGACACAAGATTGCAACAAAAGAGCGACATTGGAAGGATTTTATAAACTTCCACGGACAAAGCCAGAGAAAAAAAGGACATGTCCAAGTAAAAGAGGACATATAGTCACCCTAGTCTAATCTGGTCTTGATGTTGGGTCTTTGTACAGAGAGTACAATCCTGACCTGCTCTGTTTATAAAGCATCTTAAGATAACATACGTTGTGAATTGGCGCTACATAAATACTGATTAATTGATATGTAAACCTGATAAACTTGCAGCTTCTCTGGCATTTAAGATAAACTGAGGGGAAGTGGAAAACTGTCCTGTGGTCTGAAGAATCAAAATTTGACATTCTTTTTGGAAATCATGGATTCTGCATCCTCCAAGAGGAAGAGGACAGTTTAAAAAGCCAGCATCCCTGATGGTTTGGGGCTCATGAGTGTTGATGGCGTGGGTCGCTTTCACATCTATAAAGAAAGAAAAATTACAAAGCAAAACTTTCTCCACAACCATATTTTACTCTTGCGGCTCTACTGACCAGACTCTGTTCCTCATAAATTCGCCTTCTCATGATGAACTCTTCTTTGTCTTTGTCATTGTATTTCGCTACACCCCTTTTCACTCATAACTCCAGCTGTGCTGTTGCTACCTTTCAGTCGTTCAGATCCTGCAGTTTACCCGAGGACATTCGAGATTTGTGAGCTTCTTACTGCAGTTTTCTTGGTTCCACTTGAGCTCAGGTGACATTGCTCTCCAGCAGCAAACTCTCCGGCCTGAGAAATAATTGTATTTGTTGTGAATGTGTTCCCTCTGCAGCTTTGAGTTGCATGATTGCTCACCTTCCCTCGGGCTGATTCATGCCCGGCTTCATCAGCAGGTGTGGGACCAAACTTCTCTGTGAAACTTACCTTTGTCATACACAAACTTGCTCTTATTTTTGTGCAGTGTATGTTCAGTTTGGGGCCAACAATAAACCTCAAAGAAAAGCTGTCCTCTCAGGGTAATCAACTTTTGAACCTCGGTTAAACACTTGTGGTACATTTTAATGTGAGAAATCTCTCCTGCAGGCTGTATTTGCCCTGGAGGAACAAAAACAGTATTAAACAGATCATAAAAGTTGTTATTTGCTTCGATTTCAGGTTCATGGCAGGGCAATATGGCCAAGCTTTGTGTAGCTATTATAATTAGTCCCTGGATAAAACCTGGATGTGTGGACAGCAGAATACAGCTGCAGGGAAAACAACAGAAGACTTATTTTCTCAGTATTTTACACACTTTCTCTCTGTGAAGGGAATGTAAAGATTCAAATTAAGTGGATTTCTCTGAGCTGCATTTCAATTTTACTCATCAGAAGTCAAAAAACATTTGTCAGAAATGTCAGATCCACCCGCTGGGAGAGCATCATCATTAAAATACAGACGCTAATCTTTAACAAAAGCAGAAAGAAACCCTCTGTTTTCAGTTCAGAGATCTTATATGCACAGTTTTAAGCTATCAGAGCTGCTTTTTTATTGACTTTAGCACTCTCCGAGGATGATAGATGAACATATTTAAATGCAAATAAGGTACAACTACCACAGATCCCTGTTTGGTATGCTCTGCTGTTCAGAAACACCAGGCCTAATTGAATAAAGGCGATATTTCCACTCTGAAAATGATTTGAACTCCGTAGTTGCTCAGTGACGGAGGCCTAGGATGACATTGCTTTGTTCTTTAAGCGCTCAAACAACACATAACGATATTAGCGCAACAAGAAATGACTCACTTACAAAGAAGATGGATCACCATGAGCTACAGCTGCTTCCATGTCCCCGTATGACGACGCTGTAATCAATCATTTTGTACAAAGCGGCGGCACTCTGTGGATTCTGTCAAATGGAAGAAACACTCACAGGTCTGTTACTGAGCGGTGACAGTTTACTGCTCACTTGAGACGTCTGGAAAAAAAATCAAAGCTCTCATATCGAGGGACACTGCGAACACAGACGCTCTGGATGAAAGCAGACTGATCCTCTGACCGACAGAATATCGCTTGTTGTGCTGAACTCACAGAGACTTTTTAAAGGAGGGGTAGTCTGCTAAATCCCAAAACGAATTTTTCACCCTCTTACCCATGATCACACACTATCTAGATAAACCAGAGGGTGTGAGGATAATCTGTGCAACTCAAGGTTTTCTGTCTCAACCTAAAGTACAGTGAAAGTGTTTTTAAACAAGCACAGTGTGAAGAAATCTGAAGCATCTTAAACATGACCTTTGACATCCAGGTGAACATTAAGAGGTGGAAGTTATGAAATAGAAACACAAAACTGTTTCTACATTATTTGTGCTGATGATATTTGAATAGTCATCATAAAACTGCTGGATTAAATTTGACTCTCATGCAGAAGCATCTCACACTTGTTACAGGCTGGAAGAGCATCCAAGGTGAACTTGTATAGCTGAATTTGACTGGAAGGGCATCCAGTGGGCACTGTATTGTTTTTCATGCTGCATACGTTTCAGATGGTGTTTTTTCTCCACTTTTTTTTTTTACTGTTTTACTGGAAGGGCATCCAGAGGACAATTTTACCGGAAGCGCATACAGAAGGGTTCTTGTTATTGTTTTATTTGCTGGAGATGTATTCAGAGAAGACTTTGTCGTCCAAATATTACATGAAAGGCATCTAGAGGGGCATCTTTCGTTGGTTTTTGACTTTGAGGGGCAACCCCTGGGTAGTTTTACCCTAATTTTACCTTGAGGTATCCACAGGATGGCTAAGATTTTAATCCAGTGGAAAGGCATCTGAATGTGCTTTTACATGTGTTTAATTTACTGAAAGAATATCCTGACATCCAGAATGCAATTTTTTTGGTACTGAAAGGCATCTATATGTCTTTTTAATTTTTTACCACCATTTAAAACCATGTGCATCACTCTGCAGGAACAATCCCAGAAAAACAACAGGCCAGGGTCTGCAAAAGGTGACTGCTCAGCTAAAACTAAGAAAACAACTTCAGGACACTTATTTCTGTAGAAAAGCTGCAAAAAATTCAAATAGATGAGCTTCATGTGACCCCTATTTAAACCTTTAAATAACACAGTCTAATTAATCTAATTTATCTATTGTGAAGTCACATTGTTTTTAGTCATTTAGATTCTGTTTTTTAATTGTTTGTGTTGTATTTTCAAGGGGCCACAGGTGTAAATAAGCTCTATGTCTAACTCTGGCTGGGCAGTTGCGGTTGTGTACACTCCATGTCAGACAAACTGAACTGATAAACTAAACCATGAAAGTTTTTCACTTTCCAAAGTCCTGCCTTCGACACAACACGCTCGGTTCACCAAAAGACAGCAGGTCTGCCATCGGCCAGACTCTGGTGGACGGCAGATGGTCCTCCTGGTGTGTCAGGGCCCTGAAGAAGTTGAAACTGAGTCTTTGTTCTTCTCACCACAGGAAACCACCACCATGACTACCAGCACAGCCACCTGGATCTGACCGCTCTGACTCCTAAACTGGGTAAGAAAGCACACTTATGTAGGACACCGTAGACCTTTTACATAACAGTAACTAAACCTGTGATGGATTTGGAGGTCTGTGTAATGCATGCCACCAAACGCTGCTGTCTCCTTACAAAGTTAACGTTTTCAAAAGTTTCTTTTAAAGGTATGATTGACCTAAACTGACATGTGCTTTTATCTCTGCCTAAATGAAAATAAGCCGAACAAATCCGAGGCTTGAAATTGGAAACAGTTTATTGAAAAAGTATATCATTCTTGGGGAAATTAAAATCTGAGGAGCTGATAAAAAAGGCCTCGTAGAAAATAAAAAAGGAGTGTATGATAATCAAAGCATCATTGGTGCAGTTTGCTGGAGTTATTGAAAGCCCAATTACTGTTTTAGCTTCCCATCTATTTCAGTAAATGTGATTTTCTGTGAAAGCAGAGCAGCTTTAGGTGTTGAGTTATTGAAAGCTCCTGTATCTAAACGGCAATGAAATGAAACAGCGTGTAATTAAAAAAAGAGAATCAGGCCGAACTTGTTTTAAAGAAAAAAACCCTCTCTATGATCTTCTAAAACCTGCCGAGCCGGATGTTTTGTTTCAGCGTGTTCAGGTTCAAGCTGAGAGACTGTCATCCACCCATTAGGAAAAGTTTTCCACCATTAACGCAGCGCTGCGGTCCACATTCGTCGGCCTCTTAAACGACACGGCCTTTTTAGGAGGAAAATGGGTTTCAAAAGTACTCCAGCACCAAATAAAACTCTTCAAAGAGCACTTTTGAAGTCTATTTAGCATCTGATGAGGATCATGACTGCTCTGCATAATTCCTGGTTTGGACTTTGTCCTCAAAAGTGGCAGCGTTTTTGAAATATTGCCTTTGAACAAGGGTGCACTCTGAGCCGGGAGATGTAGCTGTGACTAACACGTCCTCGTGTGATGGTTCAAATTTGATCTAATAAAAAGTTATGAACACTTTTCACATGTAATGAAATGAAATGTCCAATATGTGGAGTCATGAAAACCTTCATTTAAAGTCTCCCGCAACAAAAAAGGTAGCTCCTGTTTTTCACCCAGCATTGATCAGGTTTTGGCATCTATTTGAAGGTCTGTCTCTCTTTCTATAAACACAAAAACGGGTACAAATGCAGATCCTGTCAAGAACTGTGGTGACAGGATTTGGTTTCTGATAGAAGTCCAGTGGTTGAATTGGTGGTTGGTTAAAAAGCATTTACCCGGTCATCTGTTTTGGCTTTTTTAAAATTATTACTGGCCCCAGAATTTCCCCAAAAGTACAAATAACCAACAAGGGTAACTTTACTTATATCAAAAACACTGAAATTCCTGATTGTTTGGTTTTGGTCTCATTCATCATGCACTTCTGTGGTCACCCATTGGTTTGTTGACCACCGGTGGATATTTGACCCTCCATAACTTGTCCTTTGGAACCATAACTGGTAAGGAAGATAGGTGTGTGTAGACAATTGGCTGTTTAGGCTCCAGGTCTTTGGCCATGGTTTCCAAATTAAACATGATACCAGACTGAGGAAGACCTTTAGGACCGTAGACAAAAATCCTGTCCTGTCTATGCACCTACTCTGCAAAGTATGATTAATTTATACACATGGGGTTCAAACCCTGGCTTCCCATGTATGAGTTCCCCATTGTTTTCAATCTAATCGGCCTTTTTACAGTCTCCAACATACTGGGAGGTCAGAGCCATCTCTCCCACCATCTAATGTAGCGAGGCATCGGTACTTATCAGGGATGTATGATTACAGTGAATGAGAACAGGCAGGGTTAAACCAATCTGTGCACACTGACTGTCATTGATCCTTTCTCTCTCACTTGGATTTTGGTAGCCCACAGAGAAATGAGATACGGTAAGTCATGCACATACACATGTGTAAATTTTCTATTCCACGTAGAGTTTAAGACTTTTTACCTGCACACTGGGAGTCATTTTTTCATTTTCTTTTTTTCTGAAGCTTGTGTATTTTTCGCAGTCACAAACTTCACGCTGCTGCATCACAATCCATGACCTGCAGCCCGACCTGAAAATCCTTTCTTCACACTTTATTTTATCTTTTTCACTCCACCTAACCGGCTCTATCTCCCCGAAAACACCCTCCCCTCCCCTCCGACATACACACTCCAACACCCTTCCTCCAACTCACTGACTGTGTCCCCTCCATGCCATATGTTCCTCAGCGCTGTGCGTCCCTGTCCTCCTTGCCGCAGTAGTCGCCCCGTCCTATTTATAAATCTAGCACCAGAGTCCCTGACCGTATTCCAGCCTTCCCCGCTCGCTGCGCCTCCTGACCCATGACTGGGCGTCCCAAATACTGAAGCCACGGGAGCTCGGCGCAGCACGGGGAGCCTTAACAGCGCCGCACTTATCACTGACATCAGAAACAGAACTGTTGGAGCGTTTCACAATGACCCAAGTGTGGATGGAGCAGCTGAGATGCAGTAAACAGATGCTGGGTCAGAGAGTGTGAAGGCAAAAAAGCAAAGATTTGGACTTTCATTGATGCAACGGCTCATCGACATTTAGTAAACAACAGTCTCTGAATGGGACAGAAGAAGGTCACCTAACTCCCTTTAGAGAGCAGACACCTGAGTTTGTCTCACCTGAACACTCCTAAGAAGAACAGGGCTTGGTCTAGAAGTCTATTTTTGTACCCTAGTGTTGCCATGATCTGAGTATGTATCAGCTTTGAGAATCTAACCTCATATTAACTCATCAAATATAGAATTATTGTACCAGAGACTCAAAATTATTGTATTTTTAACATCATAATTAAAATAACAATCTTACAGTTGCATGATAGTCACATATAGTCACTCTTTTTAGTGTCCTACAGGCACTCACGATTTTGTGGTTACAGTTTTGTGGTCATTCACCACCCCGCCCCACATCAGCAGCTCCAACTCAGCTGTGTTACATTAATGTGTCCCCTTTTAACAAATGACAGGTGGGAACTAATGGGCCAAATCATGAGACCTTGAGGCCACCTACTTTTTTAAAACAGTATTCATAATAACTGACGAGGAAATAAAGAGTAATCTGACTTAACTTGGTGAAATCTGTTTTAGATACAAAAATTAACTTGTCCTCACACAAGGATTCTGCTCTCGGTAATCACCGTCCTCTTTAGTGGCGCTCATTTTTCTCAACTCACAAACCGAGTGATTGACATCCAATCATGCTTGTTGTTCGGAGACAAACGTCGCTCAAACTACGACTGGATGGAAACGTCTAGTGCTGCAACTAACGATTATTTTTTTGTTGACTAATCTATCGACTAGTCGTCCGATTAATCACGATTTATTACTATCTTCTTTATTTATAAACACCTATTTCCGGGGTGTCGGCGTTTCAGGTGCTCATGCATCGCCGTGGTGCTGCCACGGTAGGAAAGCTGAGCTTTGATCAACGTGTTTTTTTGGTTTGTTCTCCGTAAAATGTTCCCAAACTTTTGAAGTTTTGGGTCGGAGTTTTGGAGCGTCTTCTTCAGTTTGTTCTGCCATGTGTGCACTCTTCTTCTGTGTTTGCTCGCGGGATGTAAACAGCGAGCGCTACTGCCCCCAGCACATCCTGTAGTGCACTGCAGTTATAGATGAGCATGAGGCGCCGGCATGTGATTCTTAACAACAATATCACAACGCATCGTTTTCATGTCGATGAATTTGTCGTGACGACGTAATCGATTACGTCGACTAATCGTTGCAGCCCTAGAAACATCACAAGGTAAAAGATTCAGGGTTCGCAAATAAGAAACAGAAAAATAATGTTTCTGGCAGTCTGACAGTCCTATTGCACCACACGTTCACCAAAACTGTCAAATTATTGCACATTTAGCCTTTTTTTCTGGGTTATTGATCATACATCGTACAGAGGGCAAAATTATCGTACAAATATGATAATCATCGTGCACCTGGCAACCCTGGTCCAGAACAAAACTCTTCTTTTTAACTCTTTTAGACTTTGTCGTCAAAGACCCTCAACACAGTTTACATGTTGTTTAAAAAAAAAATTCAATACATTTTCATTTATTTTGCGTCAATTCACAGGAAGTGTTGTTCCAAGACACAAAAACAAATGGTCTAGACCAGACTCTGTTTACAAAGACCTACAGCGACACTTTGACACTTTAATTTTCTTAAAAGCTCAAACCTTTTGCACCATCTTCCTTCTCACTCCATCACTCTTCCTCCCTTCCGTCCTCCCTCCTTACCTCCTCCCGTAAAGACTCCCAGTGTATAACCATCTTTCTGACTGACAGTGCACTGACCGCAGCGCGCCACTTCCTCCCCTTGTCCCCCTTGTAGAGAGACCCCAGCGGATGAACAACATCCTGACCTCGGCCACAGAGCCCTACGACCTGTCCCTGTCCAGATCCTTCCAGAACCTCAGCCATCTGCCGCCCTCCTACGAGCTGGCCCTCAAGTCTGATTTAAGTAAATACTCCTCCTCCCTCGTCAGATTAAGTAGGTGCTCCTTCATTTGTCCTCCATCGCCGTCTTCTGCCTGATGCACTAAAAAAAAAATCACAAGGAATGACGTCACCCTGGTGCCCCGTGCATTTACGGGTCACCAGGTCCACCCCTGAAATGTCCATTACAGAGACATGCATCATGATAAGTATCTCCAGATGTTTGGTGGCTCATCATGCAGAGAGTCCTCTCACTTTTTCACCTTTTGGGGGGATTAAACTCTTTAAACTGCATGACGGCGCGCTCCATACTCATTCCCACCGACTCATCTACGAGCCCATCCACTGGCAGCTAATTGGCGTGTAATTTGGCTCCATCTGCAGCCCATGTCATGTTGCTATCATCTCTTAATGACATATTAAGAGCTGTTTTTTTTATAGCTGAATGGCTTACACACGCCAACAAGATGGCGCTTTAATATCCCAGCGATCCAACAGGTCATTATCTCGACTGTGACATTTTCAGCTTGATGATGACTCAGATGAAGCTGTTTCAACTTCATGACCAGAGCATGTCCTGTTTTTTTTTTCTAGATAAGCTGCATGTTTTTGATTGATTGGATCTTTATTTCGAACATAGATTGAATAAGAGTAGATTAAACAGTTTAGAAAAAGCATGAGTGGTAAATAAGTACGTTTAACACATACTCAATGTGCTTGTTTGAAGATTTCAGCTGCCCAACAGTTCAGGGTTTCATTTGTCCTTTTTTGTGTCATGTTGCTCCAAATGTTTCAAAGGGTGACAAGTCAGGACTGCAGACAGGCCAGCCATGCTGTTGTTATACCTGCTGAATGTGATTTGTCATTGTCTTGCTGAATTTCAATTTTCAATTTGCTTTTTATTTGTTAAAGAGGGACAGTGTACATTAATGAACATTTTAAAAAGATAAAATGTAAATGGACCCAATTGTAGCCACAAGGTCTTCCCTGGAAGAGTCATTGTCTGGATTGCGGCTCTTTAGATCAATCAATCAATTTTACTTATATATCGCCAATTCACAACAGTCGTCCTACCAAGACGCTTTCCAAAGAAAAAGAGCAGGTCTAGACCACGCTCATTGTTTGATGAATTATCAAGACCCAACCTAAGATGAGATTTGGCCCATCTCATCTAACATGAGCGACAGTGGCAAGGAGAAACTTCCTTTTAACAGGCAGAAACCTCGGGTAGGACCAGACTCATGCCACCAAGCTGCTGCTGGGCTGGGGAGGAATAAAGAGAGATAAGGGAGAGAGAGTAGAGAACAAGGTTGAGAGAGAGAGACAGGGGACAACAGCAACATTAAAACAACATCAACATCAACAACAGGTCATGCAATGATGAAACAAATTCAGTTTTACAGGATTAGGATATAAGTAATTATTGACTATGTTTGATCCCAGTCTCCATGATTTCCAAGAAGAGTGTCAAATATTGTTTAGTCAGACCACAGGACAGTTCTTCTCTACCTCTCAGTCCATCTTAAAGTTGGGATACAGTAGTTCTGGCTTTTAGATTTATGGATAAAAACTCATCATACTCGGATTTAGCATGTCTTTTATGTTATCGCTATTGAAGTGGACAAAAAGAAAAACTTTTAGTGCATTTGTCTTCCTCTGTATCAGAGCTCTTGATGATTTTACAAACTCAGGCAGCAGCTTCTGAAGTATTAGGGACAAAGTATCTCATAAAATCCACCATTTTTCAGTCAATAACTCAGATCCACTAGAGACTGATACATTTTTCATACTGTATGTCAGTTTTTAATATGAGATGATCCCGAAAAATTTGTGTTACAATCATTTGAGAGGGACGTTTTGTCTGAGTATGAAACTTTAAAACATTAAACAAACAGAACAGGACATTTTCACCTCACTGCGTCAATATTCAGACATTAATACACTCAAGAACACACTGATGATGACATAGCAGGATGAGTTATCAAGTTAAGGACATTTGTTGATGGAAAATCTTCCTTCCACTTGAACCCAGCGCCCAAACTCGCACTTTCATTTCCTCCAAAGCGTTACCTGCAGGAATAAACTCAGTGCATAATGCTAATGAACGACTTCAGTGAATGTGGGCACCATATTCTTTGTCCTTGACTCCTCAGAGAAGTCACTTACAGAGAGAAACCATTTAATTGTACCATTGGCCTCTGCGTCATGGTGGTAGAAAAACATGCACCAGTGCAATCTCCTTTTGGTGCGTTCAACATTTTTCTTCTTCTTCTTCTTCTTCCCTCGCCTTTTTCTCTCTCTTATCAACTCTGGGCTTTGCTCTTATCTCACTGGGGCCTTGTTCACACACAGAAAACCACAGAGATGAATCACGCCGAACAACAAAGAGGCTTTTCGAGTTTGAGACGAAGGGCTCAGCAGAATTTGTCAAACCAGCAGGCAGAGTCGTCCCTCGAAGAAGAGACATTAAGTAGAAGGTTGAAGCATTAGTAAAGTATTTGGAAACAAGCCGAAGAGTAATATAATTAGATACTTTTTAATTGAACCATCTGGAGAGATGATGGCCACCAAATTAAATTAGCATGGTTTGTTTGCGGTTTTAAATGACCGTCTCCTCCATCCAAACTGACCTTCAGTGATGTCAATGAGGCAGAGACTGAGGACGCGTCAACAAAGTGACTTCATCTTTAAAAAAGGTTTATAAAACGAAGGGCAAACAGATCTTTCAAACTTCAGTCTTCAAGAGTGATGACGCACGGGCTTAAAATCATTCTGAAAACACATTCAATCACTGCATCCACAAATGCAGGTTAAAACTGAACCGTGTAAAGAGGAAATCAGATACAAACATAATCTAGAAATGGTGGCAACTTCTGAAACAAAGTCTAATGTGACTTTTTTTTGCTGCATTCTCAATTTTACATATTTGTAAAGGTGCCATTAATGTTGAACAATATATACAGGTTTAAGAGCAACATCTGCTGCCATCCAGACAAAGACTTTTCCAGGGAAGACCTTCGTATTTCAGCAAGACAATGCCAAAAGCAAATAGTGACACTGGAAGAAATCCTGCAGCGGAATAAGAAATGTGCAAACTACCACCAGCGTTTCTAATAGACTATTATTACTGATGGACAAGCTGTGGATGGAGGGTTGTAAGAAATAAGTAAACTAAAGTTTGCAAAAGGATATATATCAAAGAGGAAATTTGCAAGTCCTGGTTTGTCGCCCACTGAAGACATCTAGACTTCTGGATAAGGCTCCTTAGTTCCCAAATGATAACAGAGTGCTATCAAATCAAAGGTTTTGAAGTGAACACATAGTTTTCATCAAACAGTGGTGTTTTTCAGTTTTGTGCCATTAACATTGAAATATAGGCTTTAAACGGTTTGTAAACCATCACATTTGTTTTTCGTTCTGACAGCATTGAGTTGAAGAACCTTTTTAAATATGTTACCGCTAGAAAAGAAGAAACATTTACCATCTTTACTGCACTACCTCCTTTAAATTTCACTTCTTCTTTTCCAAACCTCTCCGAAGATCACTTAATAATTGATGTTCCACCAGTTTCCTGAGTTTTAGTGCATTATATGATTGCTCTAGTCTGTGATCAATAGCCAGCACATAAATATACTGCTTATATTGAATCTAATCTAGCAGAGTGGGGAGCTGGGGTTTAATTAGCCGCTGTTAGCAGTTTCCTGTGTTTGTAGCTCTTCTCGGCGTTTGGGACCCCTTTGCCCCATGCAATCATGTTAATTGTAAAGCGCTGTGTTTTATCAACGCCGCCAGAGATGGGATCGAGCATTATGCATCACCACCTCCTACATCATTCCAGTCACTTCAAGTGTAAACAGTTTAACAAGTGTACACTCATAAAATGCAGGTCTTTAATCAAATGGTCAGAGGAGGGAAAGCAGATGTAACGGCCCATTCTGAGAAAGCAGAGAAGTAAAGTTACATAACAGGGAAAACTGTAATATTCTTTACCTTAGAAATAGGGAGGCCTGATTTCTGTTACCATAAAGCCCACAAGAAGAGGTTTTACCTGGTTGGGAAACAGGTTTTAATAAACAATGATCCCTTTCTATGACCAATGCATTATACTGGATAGACATCAGTCAGTCATATAAGTGTCTATGGATTATCTCTGTTATGTATCCAGTGGGGGTTGCTGCTGCTCTCAATACACCTTGAGGTGAGACTTTAACTCCCACATTCCCAGGGCTGCAACATTCTACACATAAGGTCCGGGAAAAGATTGTATTTCTTGCAGCATTGATTCATCAATACAGACTGAATCAAGAAATAACAAGCAGATAACGCTGCCTGGGTATAGGTGCTTGTTTGACCCAGCTATCACTCCCAAATGTCACCTAGTTTACAAGTTAGTGTGAAAAAAAAACAAAACGGGAAACTGCAGCGTTGTTTCATTCATTATATTCTAACAACTTCCACGTGATCTGCCGTGATCCCTGTATGTCAGTCCTACTGGGAGTAATTTCTCTTCTCAGAGAGAAAGATACCATGAATATTATCCTATGTACAGTATGTTTCCTTTGTTATCCCAGCGGGACATAATAGACTCTTGTCACATTAACATTTGAGTGTATAATCACCACAGATCTCTCAGAATGGGTACTCAGGTTTGACCTATGAATGGAGCTCTGGGCCATGGCTTGTCGATTGTCCTCATACTTGTCGCCTCTGGTTGAGTTGAGTTGACATTTTCTGCCATAATGTCACATCCAAATGGAGCCTTGAGGGAAAAATGCTGCAGCACATCGCCACAGGACAAAGTCGGGCCTCTTTCATTAGAAATGCACCGAGCGGTGGACGTGAAACTCCTGATGGAGGGACAATAGGGTGACCTTCCGTATCAGATCATGACATCTCTCCAATCCAGACAACCAATTCCCATCATCCCCCTTTTCCACGACCCATTGAAGCGGGGTATGGTCCTAAAACGGCCATTCGACCTCTTTGTTCTGCAATAATTAACTACTGCAGAGGTAACAACCCCCCCTGCCCCCATAGGTTCATCAGAGAGCTGCTGTGGTGATGTCTCTCTGTGAGCCAGTGTTGCCAAAAACAGGTAGATAAAAGTCTGCTGGGAGCTGATTACCGCCTGTGGTTAATACAGCCGCGAATGACTTTACCATTAAGAGCATGTGTGCACCCAGCAGAGACACCGACCTGATTTCTGGCAGAGGAATTAAACGGCTGTTTGCCCGGCCAGGCACGACCAGCTGATGAACCACTGGGTATTGAAGCATGCTGATGAGTCCCATCCAAACAGAGGGATGACTATGCTGATGAAAGTCTGCTTTTTCTGTGATTTAGAAAGAAAAAGAGACTGGATGAACAGTTCGACTTTCTGTAGGAATCAGTTATCATCTCGTCTCTCAAACAGCAGCCTGATAGAGCAAAGCACATAAACTGAGACCAGCAAAAACTTGGTCAAAATTGTGAAGCCCAAATCCACATCCCTCTCATTTTTGTGCTCTAACTGGCAATTTCCACTGCATGCGTAATGGCTACGAAAAGGCCATATCCGCCGATGGTAACTGATCGTAACCATTCAAGTCAATGTGTCAATTTCCACCGGCTTCTTTCCTTTTGCTGCTTATCCCAAGAGTTCTATTTTTTCCAGACGCCGGAGCATGCCGGATAAATTCAGCACAGATTAACCCGTGCTAAAAAGGAAGTTGGGCACAGACACAAAATAAAACATCCAGCTTCTTTTCAAAATAAAACCTTCCATGTTTCAGGCGGATCGTATTTCACACCATGCAAAAAGGGCAGGGACGAACAAGTAAAAGGTTTATAGACAGCATTTCACCCTGATGACACCACAGATGAGGAGATGCTGATTTTATAAGTCTAGAAGTAGATTTCCTCTTCTGGAAGGACACAATCTACAGCTTATAAAGTTAGCCTGTGTGGCTAAAGACAACTTGATATCGCGCGATTGCACATGAATCCACGGGTTCTTGTGAGTTCTTGCGATTCCTGCTGTCTGTAATCTGCTTCGAAATTCACCTCACAAACGGATCTGGTAGGAATTAGCGTACGGCAAAAATCGCTGCCGTTCCGGACCGGAGTCATTCCGGATGCGGTGGAAATCCCGGGTAAGGGATGCACAGCTGCACTAAAACTGAATGTTTCTATTGATACAGGGGAACTAAAGACGCAACTCCTCTGCATACAGCTTGGCACAGTATGGTGCTGATCTAAGTATGTAAAAGACAAGGACCTCCCTGTGACTTCCTCTTCTCTCACTAGCTTCACCTTAGGCCCGTGCAGGCAAAACACTCCCAAGAGTGTCATTGTGCAGGCCAAACACTCCCAAGAGTGTCATTAAGCGCTCCATCATGCGCACTCTTGAACGGACACTGTCCTTTTACCTAAAAGCTTTAGGTACAACTTTTTTGGTCTTATTCTCGATTGGGGAAAAAATCCTTACAGTGGCACACTAGCTTACACCAGGAATAGGAGTGTGCTTGGATATTTGAGGATATGTTAAAACCACCGACAGAAGTATGATGTACAATCTTGAGGAAATGTGTTGAAGTAAAGATTTACTCTACAACCAATCACTGCATGCTCTTAAATCTGCTTCAACTGTGTAAATAACCTCCTAGTCTTCTCATGTACCGCTGATAACCTTTGTCTCTTGCTCTCAGGTGACAAGGACATCGATGAGTATTACACCAGGAAGCATCTCCACCCAGATTTTGGCGGTAGAGGGCCCACCCACATGGTGAAGCTGAATGCAGATCATCAGCAGCACCAGCAGAGGCAGCGTCCCCGCCGAGTCCAGAGGGCCATGTCCCAGGACCACGTCTTGTCTCCTCCCAGGACGCCACGCCGCGGAGATTATGGCCTATCATCGTACGGTGTAATGGCAGCTGCAGCATACAGCAGCAGCCGCCACCTCTCAGATGAGCAGCTCCTGTCAGCTGATCGCCTCCACTCCCAGGATCCTTTGCTGTCCCCTGCAATGAGGCGCGACAAGTTCCGGGAGAAAGCGATGGCACGGGCCATGTCTCACGCTGACATGCTGATGCCCATAACACCAGTCATGGACCGCCACAAGATGACCAAGATGCACTCCCAGCCCACTGCCTCTAACGACTCCTACAACACGCTGACGGTCAACCACCAAGGAACCACGTCCAAGAGGCAGGCGTTCGCCTCCCGACGGACTCACACCGTGGACCACCTACAGTACATTCCCGGCCACCACCACACATACCGCACTGCCAGTAAGAACGAGGTTACTGTTTAACCTCAGAGCTGCAGGATCACGAGACTCAACACGGACGTGGACAGAGTCAGCGAGTCTCCTGGGCAGAGGCGGCGTCTTCTTCTTACAGTAACTTCCTGCTTTTTAGCACAAGCTTCCAGGTTTGGGTAACTAGATTCAACCCGGCAAAGACTCATCTCTCTTAGAGCATCTTAAGGGCTTAGCGTGTTGACACAAAGAGAGATCCTTCCTGTCAGACATGTCACAATGTGAAGAAAATATTTTTTAAACTGGACATGGGACTGAAGGGGAAATCTATCGACTTTATAAATATATAAATATATTATATTTACAACTTGTATTTTCAGTCCTTGTTATAGCTTTAGAGATTCTCATTGACTGATGTAAGCACTTCGAGTAGTGCCTCTTGAAATCGTCCCATTTCTATGACGAAGTGGATTTGTGGGTTAAAAAGCACAATTTATGAAGTCCCATTTTTGTTATATTTGATTTTACTCTTCTTCTTTGGTAAACGGCCAGAACATATCAGCTTCTTAGTATAAAACAGGCTGTTTCTGTTGCATACAGTAGATGATTGTAAATAGGCTTTATTAGGAGCATTTAAAGACAAAAAGCTGGCCTCGGCATCGTGTTATGGTTTGATTTCCTCCCACGTGGAATCTATCATGGATTCCCAATTAATAATTTTAGTTTAGATAAGGCAAAAATCCCATGTTAATATTATTTCCACAGATGTCTGCAAAATATGTGGATGTAATATGTATACAGGGAGTATATTTTTTCTTTTTTTTTTTCTTTTTTTTTTACTGTGCTTGTAGCATAGATTGATTGTGTATGAAACAAGCTTTTACCAGTGTCGATTGGCAGCTTCAGGTGCAAACTCACAGGAGAAAAAAAGGAGCCTGAGGGCTGTTTTAGCTTAATTTACATTCATATATATCCCTGCTTGGTCATCAACTCCACCAAACCAACAGGAAGCATGTCAGTCATGATTAGATTGATTGGATAGTCTGCAAATCCTTATTTAAAATCAGTCCTCAATCTGCAGCCAGGTCCCTCATTATTGCTGTGGTCACATCCTTTACGTGGCCAGTAAATTCCATATTTCTATCATGGAAAACAACATACAAGTGAGTAAGCAATGGTCATGTTTTAGCCTCATGCTCTGTACTTATCACAGGCCATCTCTGTGTAGTCAGCTCCAGTTTTTTTTATTTTATTGCAAAGATTAAAGCTGTCACCATCTCCACTCTCTGTTGCCCAGAGCTGCTCTGTGCACTCTAATCCTGACAGCACTGAACTGTATCTGCTTATATGATGAGCTGAAGGAGAAGGAAAGTCTTTACCATTTTTCTCCCTGTGGAGTCCTGGAACAAGCTAGCACAGAAGAAGAGTGTTTGGGAAAAATAGGCTTAAATCAATATCGCGTTGTGCATAATTGCACGGTCAGTAGCACTATTTGGGGTAGTCTAAATAGGTCTGACTGTAAGACCATTGTCAGCTGATTTATAAAGGTTTGGCAATCTTACCTAAAACAGTAAAATGACCATGCCTCCTATCTCATGACAGTCTTAAGACAACACCCCAGATATGTGATGGCCCCCTCATCTGGTTTACTGTCCTCAGGGCTCACTTCCTGATCTCTACTGCCACCCTTATCTTAGACTGGTATCTGGTAGTCTCTGAGTGGGTGACCTTGTCCTTCTCCCAGTGGTCTAGTTACAAAGGAGTCTTAACTTTGATTAGACCGCTGTTTATCAAAAATACTAATGTCATACTCATATTTACAGTCTTTAAGATATTCTATTCCTGGTTCAACCAAGAAAGGAATTGCTGTTTTTATTACTGCAGAGTTTAAGCGTGATGATGCTTATACTTGAGTGCATTTGGTTAATTCCATCCTAACTTTCCCACCAGGATTAGTACGTTCTGTTCAAAGGTTACCAAGGGTCAAATGTAATTTATCTGCATTCCCGATATTTTGCACACAAGGCTAGAAACACCAAATTTGGCAAATTCATGAAGGCAAACATGCACAATGGACAATGTGGGTTATCTTGGACATTTGAATGATGCATTAGTATCTCAGTTTCTACTTTTGCAGGTGATATCAATCCTTTACTTTGGTAAATCAGGTCCCATTGTGTTTTATTTTGAAATTGATCAGATGGTTTAGGTCATTACCATGTTTGACTTCCCATTCAGGTCGATTCTACAGTGTGCAGGGTGCAGGTGCAGTTAAAAATAGGCTTTAGTAGAAGGGGACATGCTTCCTGTGGGTTTTCGGGTGAAGAAGATGACCCTCCCCAACTCCGCCCACCCTTCTTGGGTAGTGATTGGCCAGCTGCTTCCATCTCTTCATATCAGGTACTCTGTGTAGGAGCTGAAGAGCGCGTAGGTTGAGTCGTACTTTGGTGTTATTGTCGTGTTGACTGAAACAATCAGTAAAAAGGACGTCCAGCGTTAAATAATACTGTGAAATGTTGGTTAGATGTTTCATTAAAGCAATGCCTTATTGTATGAATCCCATGTGCTCTTAATTGAACAATCACGCTTTTGTCATGTGTCTTTGTCAATGCTTTTTTGTGCAATGTTATCAAGTACAATTTACTAGCAGAACCAGCAGGAAAGACTCAATCAGATGTAGTTTTAGCAGTTAATTTACCCAGATGGACCAATTCAATCAAAGAAGTTCAATCCAATGTAAAGACGTTTTGGCACCTCGTCCAGACAAGTCTGTATCAGTAAACTTTCCCGGGTAAAATCATTACAGTCCCAAGTCTGGACATGTGAAGCCTAAGCTAGTATCATCAAGTCAAGATGGATTGAATCAAGTCTTTAAAGAGACTGTTTTGAGTTCTAAAGGTCTGAAAGTTCTCTTGAACATGAAGAGACGTCAACCAAAAATACAGAAGCCCTCACAATATGTTGATCTTTTAATCACACAGCCTGAAGGTTAGAAATCAGTTTTAAGTATGTTTTTATTTGCATTTCTGGAGACTTGTACTCTCTCTTCACAAATCGCCCGAGTCTAAAATGTTAATCTCACTTACATCTAACAATAATCGGATTACAACCTCACTTTAATTCAAACATAACATCAGGAATATCGATGTTATTGTCCTTTTCTTGGAGCTCTACGCTTCTTTATACAATGACTTGAATATCCATTGCAGAAGGGCAATGTTTCTTTACACATAAAACGTTTTCTATGTTAGAATAAGCTTAAGTCTTTACAATCAGTCTTACTTTTTATTCAAATTCAAGGTTATGACCTTGTAGGAAGGTATAAAGTCGAATAAATGGTTTTAGCACCCATTTTCTTTGACCTTTTTTAAAAATTTGATGGGCTACTTTCCTTTTTCTGCTGGATCTGCATTAAATGATGTCAATTAGAGATTGTCCTTTTTTTCCTATAATCACGGTCTTTGTGTATATAATGTGATTTTTGGGGGGAGTTTTCACAGGTAATGATGAATATTTTAAAGCTTTGGGTAAGAGGGTTGTTAAATGTGCAGCAGGCCGCTTCAGACAGATATCTGTACCCCTTCACTTCACTCAAATAAACTCACAAATGTCTTTTTCTTTTCACTTTATTAATAATGATGTCATCCTGAGAGCCTTTTGATCTATGTGCAATATTTCCTCCTCATGCACCATAACTCTATATCCACATATTCATTTTAAAATGTTTGCTGCCATAAAGGCTGTGTTGTCCTTAAAGAGTTGTGCTCTTTGATAATAAAGAGGAGTTTGTTTTATTCACAGCTAAATGTGATATGAATGGATCAGGTGTCGGTGTATCTGCACAAGAAGTGGAGAGTAATTTAAAAGCTTGAAATCAACAAATATGACTGTTCTTGTTCATTTTCTGTTTGTTTACAGCATATTAAAGCACATCACATGTGTTGTCTACATTATTCTCTGATTATTTTGTTTTTTACATATTTATGACAAAACAATCCTATGGAGGTGTACTTTAAGTATGGATCCTATGTACTGTTTTATACATGAGCCCCGTGATAACATAAAATATAGAAAAAAGCCTGATATGTGACCCATAAATGCACAAAATAATCATGTACTGGTACATGGTGACATCTGATAAACCAGAAAACCCAAACTATGCATTGATAGGTAAAATTCAGGGTTATGTATTTACTCCCTACTCTTTGGTCCCTACTCTTTGGTTCAGTTTAAAATACACAAAAAATGTTAAACATGTGTAGAAATTAACATCTGTGAAACAGTAAGGTAGATTTATGATATCTAGCAAACTAGAGTGAAATGCTCCCTTGCTCACCCCTGTGTTCAGTGAATCTACAGAGGCCTTTGAGGACAAAAAGAGTATGATCCTCATTTTGTCAAGATTCAAAAACATCAACACAAATCCTTTCACACACACACACGCACACACACACACACACAAAAACACTTTTCATTCCATCTTTCTGTTTGAGTAGTACATTTTGTGTGACCGCTCACCAAGCACAACAACATGTGTTTTAAGAGGTTTGTCTGTTGTGGGCTTTTTATGTCAGGATTAGAGTGGACAGCAGCTCTGAAACATGGCTACCTCCTGTGTAGATATAAAAGTCTCATTCTACGATTTAAAAAAAAAAAAAAAAGGGATTTTTTTTTTTTGTATTTTTATTTAAGGGATTCACACTAACATAGACATACTGATAAATATTATAACCCATTCATGCTAGGATTTTTTCAGTAAATACCACTAAATCTTACAGATTGCACCTTTACTGTGTCAGAAATTAAGTTTACAATAATGTTACCCAGTGAGGAGACACATTCTTGCTGATGACTGAACTGAAAACAGTTTAATTCAAGTTTGCCTAAAAATTAATGGTTAGATTAGTGTTCAACTTTGAACATTATTAGATTCAGAAATATTCAAATCAAAGTTTTTTCCATGTCCATAAAGTATTCCAAGTAGCTGTAATATTTTCCAAACGTTTTTCTGAAGTTACTGACTCGGTCAACCTGCAGATTATTCTTTGTTTTTGAGAGTCAAAGTGGGTGTTTTTAAATGCAGCTAAAGGCAAATATATTTATAATAATAGTGTTTCTCCTTAAACAAATTACCTCAAATACTTGTGATGAAAGCTTTATTCTAAGTCTGTATTCAAAACTTTTAGAGATACGTAGATTCTTTACATTATGATAAACATCACTTTATTTATTGAGCATCAGTTATGCAAAGAAAAAGCATGAAATAAAATTGCCAACTCTGCTATTCTTTAGTTCCCACTTAATCAAAAGAAGCGGTCACAGTCCAAAATGTGATTAAACATCAATTTAGTGAAGGGAGTATATGCAGGATTTCCCAGTTCATCTTCCTTTAGACTAAACAATTTGGAGAAAACGTGTCCTCTATTGTCCTTCAGTTTGCTCTTATTCCTCACACAAAGGTCCATTTTTGCTTCATACTTCAAAAAATCTGGGTCAATACTAAAAACCTTGGGGAGAAAGTTTTTGAATGTCTTTAAAGTTGAACTGTGTTATGGCTCAACAACACAGATGTCTGACATTGAGCAAAATCAATATGACACTGCTCTTTAGTTACTAAGGTGGTCACATCACTGTCTGAACATTGATGTAGTCCACGCTTAGACTCGTTAAACTCTTGACTACTCATTCTGTAAAGTGGTTCATCTGTCGGTTTTACTTCTCAGCCTTGGACCTTGGCACTGAATCCAGTGGACTGGACCATCGGGATCACTGGGCCGATTCCTGGTGGCCTGGTGTCGCCTTTTTTTGTTTTTATAACCATTTTGTTTTTACTTCATATTACATTTGCAGTTATGTAGCCAATGTCGAATTCTTCACATGAGCATTTTATTCACTAAATCTGGCTTCAAATGTCCAAAACTTTTCACCGGTGCCGGCATTTCCGTGTCAATGTGTATTGGCCTGGCCTGGATGCAGTCAAACTCCTGGCTGGTTGGATTGCTTGGCTTTAAATGCAACACTTCTCCTTGAAACATAACTTGGTGTGCCTGTTTTCAACAAAGATTTGGGAGGTCTTCAAAGATGAATGACTGAAAGTTAAGATACCACAAAGTAGTCTAAGAAAGACCAAGTGAAGACAATCAATATCAGCAGATGAAATCTCAGAAGGATAGGATACTAATCGATATACATACACATATGAATCCAAGTCTAGAAGAAGAAGAATTAAAACACAGTAAATCCATAAAGATTCACATTAGATTCATGTGAGTTTCATGTGAGCAGAGTTTCTCACATAAATAACCTCAGTGTAGATGCTCAGTGATGGGAGTTCAGCTCTACGCCGTTACAGTCTTGGGTTAAAATCACATAAGTATTGTCAGATAGTTTTAGTTTTATAAAGGTTGCTTAACTTGGGAAATGTGTAACTCTGGAAGACATCAGTGGTCTGGATAAGAGACAGGATCTTTCCTTTCAAATAATAGGTTAGGCCTGTTACTGCCCCACTATAGATAGATGTTGGTGGAAAGATGGATAAAGGACTGTTCAATTGAGTAAATGCTTTTTATTCATAATTGAATCCACACAAAGAGCAGCAAGAGCAAGGGTTGAGTGGCAAAGGAAGGAGAGTTTGGACCAGGGCACTGATTTCACATCGCATGAAGCATCACATTAAAACAGCCAGATTGGACTTTGCACAATTTAACTTCCAAGCGGATTAAAACAGCTTCAGCCTTAAGAAACAAAATCCTCAAGTTGCCAGTTTGGTGTAGAGCTGGAGTGGTTGTAGCCATGTTTGATTCCATGAACCTCTACAGCATGTCATTCACCACTCTGTCTACACGGCCTCACCTCACTTTGGGGCATAAGAGTCTGAAAATATGCGATTAAAACAACAAAATAAATAAAACACCCCCTATCTTGAGCAGCACCAGCTATACTTGTAAAGACAAATACATTTTACTTTTCAGAGAACATGTTAAAAACTTCACGACTGGAATACCGTGGGTGTAACCGCTTCAATCATCCCTTCACTGTGTGGAAAATATGTCTTTTTCTACAGTCTGTGTACTTTTTACAGAGGTACAAACCAACAGATATGTGTCAGGACTGCACAATAAGATTCCCCAAACTGCCTTTAGAGCTAAAGTTTGATTGGGCAATGGCAAAAGACGCCATCAGCAAAAGTTCCTTTTATTTTTGTGACACATGCATTAATACCAACAGTTCCCATCTCGTCCTGGGCCATCTGAAAACTCCTTTAAATTCATAGCAGAGTGAGCTGGTGATGCATTTCTCTCAATACCAAAACACAACTCAATGGTTCCAACTGTATGCACACAAATGGCTCTGGTTTTCACTTCTTTCAATACTCGACCATTTGCATTTAGATGGAAAAGGGAACAAGGTTATTTGGACAAAACAGGAGCAATGGTAAAATGTTTGGTCATTTAACAGTTTAATTCTTCTGCTTGAATAGTTACAATCATTAGAAAGCACCACGGTCCAAAGAGGATATGTTGTTTTTGTCGTAACATGCACTTTTATTATCAGCGATCGCACCATCACGCCGGTCTTTCTGCCTCCAGGACAAAACGCTCAGACTATTCGCAACAAACGCCGACATTGTAAAACACCCACATCCCATAAATCTTCCTGCTCAGTCAGTGTGTGCCGCCGATGTCCCGCTCTGACTCCGTCTCTGATGGGATGACCTTTACCGTTTGTAAAAAAGAAAACATGCAGACTGTTGGGATGAAGCCTGAACTTTCTGCCTTTATTTCACTTTTTATCCCATTCTTCTGAAATCTGTTGGTGGAGTTGACTGGCAGAGTGAAGGATTACTCTTTAAGAATTTCAAAAAGCTGGCGCTGCTGACCTTATATATCACCGCGGACCTGATCGGATCAGAAGCCACCGCACTGTGAGGGACGAGTTTGGTTCTGATTGATTGATGTGCCGAAGAAAGAATAAAACGCAGCCGAGCGAGAGAGACGTACACAAAACAACACAAACAAACCGTCTGAGGAGTAGCGGATGAAGAGGAACTGAGTCAACCAACGCTGGATGGATCAATAGTTTAGTATTAACAAAGAATCAATGAATGTGTGTTTATGCAGAGTCAATGGAGTGATAAACTCAGAAAGACTCTCTCCTGGGCCTGCTGCTCCCTCAGCCTCAAATATTTTCAGCTTTCTAGCTCTGTTTTACATCCCGAACATGCCGTAAATCCTCAAATATAAACCAGACCCTTTATTCCCTTTTTTCTGCAGAAAGTACGAGGTCTTTCATATAAAGCAGGCTTGGAGCAAAATATACCTCTTTCTGTGCAAACAAGCCTTTAAGGGGAAAAAATAACACCTTATTCACCAATGTGGTGCAAAAAAAGTGCGTAAGATCCATACTTACTAATTTGTGTTATCTAAATAAAGTTGGTGTGTGCTTTTGTGAAATTTACCACAATTTTCATGAATGGAATCCACAATAATAATGGTAAAGACTTTTCCTCTCCATTCAGATCAGCATCGTCAGGATTAGAGCTCAGCACGCAGCTCTGAGCAGCAGAGAGTGGAGCTGTTGACGTCTCAGTCACAATAAAATGATAGTGATTATCTTCATCAAGTTTTTCATGCTCAGAAAGTGGATTAAAGTAATCTTTAAATAAGTAATGTTGGACTCAAGCAGATGAAAAAATGGAGCAAACTGTGCAAAGATGGAATTACCTTACATGTCATCATTTATATCTAAAAAAAATTCATACGAAGGCGTAAAATCAGCCCTATACGACTGAAACTTTTTTGGAGGGGACATTGCTTCATTCAATGATTGTTTGTTATGAATTCATTCAGATGTTTTTCTGTCTTCTGGTCACGTTATTTTATTCCAAGCATTGTTAAAGGGATATTCTGGCATGAAATTAATTTAGGGTCAAACACACAGTAACACTGAGTAA